TGCAATCTATATCCTGAAATCGTTCAAGGAGAACATACACGGAATTGACAACATCGATATCCCAACGGCTAATGTTACAGGCGTAAGAGTCTTGTGCCATGAACTGTCAGAATACAGATACAGGGCTGAACATACAGCATCATTTAGTGACTAAGGATAGAAGGAACAAGGAGTTACACCAAGAACCAAGAGGAACACCGAGGCGCAGTAGAGGACAAGAGGACAACAAGGAACATGAGGACAGTAGAGACTATATAAAGAAACATATCTTGTAAAATAAACCATCATCTTAAATGATCATTCTATAACGTACTTATACTTTCACAACCTATAATAAAGCGTGTCTGATATTTACGTTCCAACATGAACAATAGTGCATTCGAATTGTCTTACTTCTACTGAAATATCAACTGATTTTTTGGAAATTATGTGAATAGACGTAAGGACGATTCGTAATGTTTCTATATGTGTCTCAGAGTATTCAAATGCAACAAATATCTTCTATGGATGAATGTAGGAGCTGACAGAATAACTTAACAATACTAACCATTTATAACTTTGAATTCCTGACGTAATGAGATCTCGTTATGGTTAGGTACCAAAGCCAATTAGTCAAACACTTTTGATAGGCTGATACTGAGTAATGAAATTACTTATAATTGAAACATAAAAATTTTAGATTCTTTCGTTGATCTAACTGAATGGCAAAATACGATAATCTCACTATTTGCAATGGACATTACAAATTCAAGCAAAAGAACTATCAAAATAATTCGGTTACCGGGAATCGAACCCGGGTCTCCAGAATGAGAATCTGGGAGGATAGCCCCTACCACATAACCGATGAATCAGTTGTACTGTTCAACTGTTGACAATCCTTTAATTTTAATGCTTCACAAACGCCGTGTGGCGCAATTCATGACGTCATACAAATTTGAGCCGCTGCCCCTGGGGTGGCGGTGAAGGCTTAGATCCTCCCCTCACAAGAGGGTAGTAGGTTCGAATCCAATACGGTGCAAAAAGCATCTCAATTTACGTCTCTGGTCAAGAAAGGTTTCCAGTTGAATCCTACAAACTTAAAAAGTAAAAATCATCCTGACTCTATAAGAAGTATTGATGGATGAAGTTATAATGTGTACGTCTTAACAATATATTTAGATTTCATCATCATCAACGAACAATTTCAAGATTTATAGTAATAAAACAGAGCATCTTTGAACAATTTATTAGAACATTCCAAGGGCCCTTATTTTCAGAAATTTAACGAAATTCATGTTTGATTCCTACAAATTATAAGTCAAGTTAAGAAGTCTATAAAGATAGTATTAGTAAAAGTCTTTGAAGATCCGGAAAAGTAAAATTAAGGGTTTCGATTAAAGACGGTGTTGACCAATTTCCTCAGATGTGGCCTTGTGGACAGGCTCTTCCGGGTGAGTTGATGCCTTTTCGGCAGATTTGGAGTCTTTAGCTGAGCTTTCATGACGGTGTGAAGCATCATACGCGATGACATCATGACCATTTTCGTCAATGTCTTCAACAGCATCTTGACGCTCATCGAGCTTGAAGTTCTTTAAGAAGAATGAGAGAACGATTGGTACACAACCAATGACGATGGCAGGAATAATGAGCTGTCTTTGGTTGTTGGAGAAAGCTTGAATCATCCTGTCTCTCTCATCTGTACCAACTTCACCTAATAAGACAGCGTTCATTGGGCTATTGACGTAGGTGTTCACTTGTATAGCTGACCATTCAGGGAATTGTTCGGCGATCTTCTTTGGTAAGAAAGCCATGTTGATCGCGGATGAAGCGGATTGTCCGATAACATTACCAATTTCTGCAAAGAGAAGAATGGCGGCTGTTGCTAAAGCCATTTGTTGTTGTGGAACACTACCTTGTGCACCTACTTGTGTTGCGACTGCTGCGATACCGCCACCAGCACCTTGAAGGATCTGTGTCATAACTAATGCACCAATGTTACGGTTGTCACGAGCATAAAGCATTAAGCCGACACCTAACAATCTAACGCACAAAGCTACAACAACTGACCATTTCCAGTTTGGCTTAAGGATTGATGCGACAATACCCCAGAGAATACCGAAGAATGTCAAGGAGATGTTTTGGGTGTAGGAGAAGTAACTTGAGTCACCTGACAGCGTTGGTTGACCATCAATAACTACAGTGTACCAATCGACACTGACGGCCATGTAGTTGCTCAATGTCTGATACGACAAGTAGAAGCATATGAAATCAAACAAGTTGATGAGACAAGTGATTGCAATATTAACGTTCTTGATGAAATAGTATGGAATGACTGGGTAGCTTGCACATTTCATTTCCCAGTAAATGAAAGCAGGGAAGATAACGACACCACCGACGACCATTGATGCTGGAACGTATGCAGAATTCCATTCTACGAGTGCGCTTGATCCGGCCAAAACGATTGGCAAGAAGATGTAACAAAGAACAGCAATAAGGAGGTAAAGACCAACGATGTCATGTTCGACAATGAAGTGATAGATTCTGCTCTTCCATGGACCAGAAGTGAGCGGTTGATCACCATAGTTGATGATACCAGCTCTTTTTGCTCTGTACTGGTTCAAAAAGAGAATCACGATTGCAGGGAGAGTTGCAGGAAGATAGAGGATAGCTTCCAAACCGAATGCCAATCTCCAACCTACGCCAGTGTTGACACTAGTGATGATAAGACTGCTACAAGCAAACAGGATGAATGTCCAGACATTAATCATGGCAGACCACAAACCTCTCCAGCGTAAGTTTGTGTTGTCTGCAACGATAATGTTCAAAATTATCTGGAAACCAGAAAAACCAGTTTGCCAAAAAACTTGACCAGCGGCTATACCGGACACATGATAGCCAGATGCTGAAGTGACAACGTATCCCAATACGATGAAGAATAAAGTGACCAAAAGAGCCTCTGGACGACCGATAACGTTGCTCATTTTACCAAAGAATGGCTTTCCGACGGCAAGAAGGATAGCTGTGGCAGCAGCGATTTGGTACTGAGCTTGCGCGTTACTGATATTAGCATAAGCATCGGTGAGAAGGGTGACGTTGGTGTATTGATCCACGTTCATCATAAATCTTTACTGTGTTAAAAACAAAACGAAGGGAAGACGCGTACTTACGATGCTAATCCGATAAATAAGATCAGGGCAACCAAAACACCTTTATTTGAGACCTGTATTGTTTTAAAAGGATTGCTTATGTAGTTATAAATTTATTTACCTGCTTGGCTGCTATGGCCTTCATGGTACCTGCTTGTGTACCAAACTTGTCCTTAGCATTGACATCCAAAGCTGGAGGGTCACGACGGTCCTCAACGTCCTCGTATGCAGGTGGTTTCATAGCTAAAAGGACTTGTTAGAGGTTTAGAGGTTTTTTTTTTTACCAGTTTACTCACATTGCTCTTGGTGGTTTGATTGATAGTTGATCTATCGGATCTGATTGATAGATTGATTTGATTAGGAACAAAAATTATCATCGGATTTCGGCAAAACAAGAAAAAAAAAGATGGTGATATAGATGGAGCCAGTATATTTGAGTAGTCTCATAACAAGCTCTTCGGTCCTTCATGGATTTTTTATGCAAAAAATTTACAAGGAACATCATAGGCACATCCAGGCAAATGATTGTATTAAATTAGTTTAACGTGTGAAACAACAAGAATATATAAGGGGAATACTACGTAGCGATACAGAATACGCCAAATTGCACAGTGCCTTTAAAGGATAGTTTCAGGGTATCGTTTGAAGTTTATATAGATAAGTATACGGTACAAAAGGGGGACGCGTCTAGATTGCGATAGATTATCTATAAGATCTAAAACAGCGAAAGTCTCAACTAGTTATGGAAGCCTCAGGAAGAAGTTACAACACACAGCTTTGATAGAAAGGGTAAGATCAAACATAGGGTATAACGTGTTTTTGAATTATGTAGGGTTCAGTTTATAAGACACTTGTATTAAATATATATTATCACTATATTTAGCCTTTTCTATTACGTCCACTATGACGACTCAATGGCCAGCTAATGGAAAGCTAGAAATCGGCAAAGAAGGCGTTGACTTATACAATTTTACGACAAAACCTAACAATTTGACTGAGAAAAACGTGAAAGTTACTAGAGAGGACGATAAATTACGATTAGATCAAACTGACGACAGCGGACAGACATATAGCTATACGGGAAGGAAACAAGACGAGAATGAGTATAATTACGTGATGATATACGATACAGACAGTAAAAAGCTATCAATTGAGCCGATAAATGGCCAATATAGTCTACAGCAGCTCGAGGACGTCGATGAATTTCTCGATAAGGAATTACTGGATGGATTCCAGGATATCTCAGACGACGATCAGGAAGTAGAGAGTAACACGCTACCTGAAGGCGCAGCTTCTAATCAAAATACCCAGCCAATGTCATTGAACGCATTCCTAGGAAATGATAGTAAGTTCTAATACTACTTTCTAGTAAGATACTCAATACTTTCCAGAAAATGATACAGATGATGTTGTATCTAGCTCAGATGAGAGTAATTAATGTGTACTTTTCTATAGATTACGTGATTTCCCCCTTCTTCTCCAACGATCAATATGAGCGTCAGACCAGCATCTAGGATAGCATTCGAGCTGAACAAATCAGCAGACGTATGGAGCGTTAGTCTTAAGTTATATTCTATACTTCCCGCTTACCTGTCTTTCTAGATATTCAACCCACTGTGAGCAAATCAACATCTAAAGGCGTCATTAACGAAATACATAGCGTCATGCCAAAAACATCACTTAGTTTGGGACAGTTCGTCTTTATTTTTATTAGCGAAGAATGAACTAATCTAGGTCTCATACAGAGGTTTCATGAGTTGGAAACCCCCAAGTTACATCAGAAGTGCTTTGAATAACTCCATAAATGAGGATACATCGGTGCACCACTACAGGTACGCCATTTAGCTTATCGTCAACTTTTCTCATACTTCTGTAGTCATCCTAAAGGTAGACCACGCCTCCGTAATGCACTTTCAGAACACTTTTCACCTGAATTTACCTGCTTAAATGGCCGCAAGTTGGATACAGAGTCTGAAATTATCGTCACTGCAGGCGCAAACGAGGGTATTTACTCCATCCTCGCCGCCTTCCTCGAGCAAGATGACGAAGTTATTCTTTTTGAACCAGCCTTCGACCAGTACATGCCAAATGTTAGATATAACGGTGGTAAAGAAGTCTACGTCCCTATCAGATTCCACGGCGATCCAACAAAGAATTCAACTGGAGACGATTGGAAAATTGATATCAACGAATTGCGCGCAGCTATTACACCAAAGACTAAAGCAATGATATTCAACACTCCACATAACCCAATTGGAAAGGTCTTCAACGAGCAAGAACTCAATGAAATAGCTCAAGTCGCGATTGATAATAACCTTCTCGTTATTTCAGACGAAGTTTATGATTGTTTGACGTTTGACGGCTCAAAGCACCTCAAAATCGCTAACATTCCAGGCATGTGGGAGCGCACATTGACAGTTGGATCAGCTGGTAAGAGTTTCGCTGCCACTGGTTGGCGCGTTGGTTGGGTTCTCGGTCACCCAGAACTCATAAAGGCTACTTTAGCTGCCACCGTAAGAATTGTCTTCTGTGTCAACAGCACCGCACAGGAAGGTGCTGCCATCGGCCTTGAACAATCAAAGGAGCAAAACTTCTTCCACAACCAAAGAGAAGAATACGAAGTACGTCGTGATACACTCACAAAGCACCTCGATAGTATTGGTTTACCATACACCAAACCATCTGGTTCATACTTTATTTTGGCAGATATCAGCAAGGTAGACTTCCCAGAGGATTACCCATTCCCAGACTACATAAAATCGCGTACCCGTGACTTTAGATTTGCCTGGTGGTTGGCGCATGAATTTGGTGTCGTCACCATTCCGCCATCGGATGTGAGTGAATGTTGTTCATATAAGCTGAACTAGCTGATAAATTTGATAGTTCTATGGTGAAGAAAACCAAAAACTCGGTGAGCAATTCATTAGATTTGCATTCTGCAAGGAAGCAGATATTTTGAACGAAGCGGGAGAGCGTATCAAGGGACTTGCGAAGTATATCAAATAAACGAATGTCTATTTGTAATAGATTTATAAAATTTATAAAATTTCTCATATTTCCAAATTCCGGTCATTCTCTTATCTTGTTGTCAATCCTTGATGAATCGGTCAGGGTACAATAATAAAAAGGCACAAGTACGTAAGAAATAAAATGTTTAATGAAATTCTAACGCGTTATTAGCTAGCCCAAGCTTACCAGAGCTTGACCACTGATCTAACCTCACCCGTACTGCGCACAATAGGAAACTACACTTTAGGACGTACATTAGGAAGCGGAAGCTATGGAATTGTTAGACTATCTACTCATCGGTTAGTCAAGGGTGCTAGAGTCGCTGTCAAAAGCGTTTCTAAAACGCATAACCAATTATCGGCATTGGTTCGGGAACTACATCATTATAGACGACTCTCACACCCACATATCGCTCAATTACTCGAAATAGTAGCAACCGAAAAGGACATACATCTCGTCACTGAACTCTGCGATGGTGGTGAACTCTTCGACTATCTTGTCGACAAGGGTAGACTATCGGACACGGAGACGCGAAGGGTTTTTGGTCAGCTTATGCTCGCTTTACATTATCTCCACAGTAATGGCGTAGTTCACCGTGATCTGAAACTGGAGAATATACTCTTAGATAAGGATGGTAACGTCAAATTAGGCGATTTCGGCTTTGCCAGGGAGTTTGATGATGGTCCTGGTAACTTAATGAGTACATGGTGTGGTACTACTGCTTATGCTTCTCCTGAAATGCTTCGTGGTGAAAAGTACTCCGGTAAAGGTATGTATTTTGGTATAGAAAAGAATCTCGTTTGACTTTTGTTAGAAACGGATATATGGAGTGCAGGTATTATCCTATATGCTTTGCTCACGGGGGGCTTGCCATTTGATGACGATGATGAGGATGTTATGAAAGAGTTGGTATTAAAAGGCGAATACTACAACCCTTCAGATTTCCTTTCCCCCGGTGGGTACAAACGTTTACGATACCGTGCCATTAACTAACCCTCTTCTGATAGATGCGTGTGACCTGATATCGTCGATACTACAACAAAAACCCTCAGATAGACTTACAATAGAACAAATTCTCGCGCACCCATTTTTCACACGTTTCCCTTCTCAACAATTTCCTTTAACAACGCTCCATGAGAAGCTTGAGGAACACAATAACAGCTACGATGAAAAGCAAGTCGCTGATGCACTCGAGGAAGAAGAATTTGAACTAGACTTGGATCCAAATGACGAACCACCTCGGCGACTTGTTCCAGCATCTAAGAGCGTCGAATCGCTATTATCTATTAAACGGAGGTCCAACGGCTCATTTAAACAGCGATCAAGTATGAATAGAACATTCTCAAATGAAAAAGAAAGTGGTGCATCGACTCCACCAATACAGAGAACACCTTCGCGCACAAAAAGACGCAGTGTTAGTTCGACAATGACAGAACTACCAAATTTAACCCCAGTCGCATCACGTATACCATCAACAACATCTCTTAGGGACCATTTCAAAGCTGGTTTAGCATCAGCATCCACTGAGGAGTTAGATATGTATCCGCAAGAACCAAATTATCTGGAATTATGTAAAGCAGTACTTGCGCAGCCATTTGAAGAAGAATGGGAGAGAGTGTTATTACAATCTTTATCAGAAATTGGTTTCGATACCGGTCAAATTAAACACTCTGTAATTAATCACGCATGTGACGCTGCAGGTGGTCTCTGGTGGTTGATTAGAAAACAAAACATTGAAAGGCGTGAGCAACTCAGCCGTATTGAAGAAGAAGGAGCGTTAGAAAGGAGAGATTCAGAAGCTGAATACCTAATGATGAAGGATACGCGCAAACAGAAGGAGAATGTGAGAATGAATGAACAGCGGGCAGATTTCTCGAAGAAGAGTCTGCTTGATTTGAGTGAATCTTCGCATACGGGACAGTCATCTAGTAATACGGCACCAACTGTACAAGTAGAAGCCTCCACTTCTAGCCTGCAACTTCCAAATACTTCAGCACCTAGTTCACCGTCAAAAACCAAAAGTAGAAGTAGTTCGATTAGCATGTTACAACGAGCTACAACTGCACTCAGTGGTGGTGTGCTGCCAAGGAAAAAGAGCGAGGATCACAGTCTAAATGACGAAACTGTCACTCCTCCGCCAAATCATCAGAGCCTTACTGCTGATCCTAGAACATCATCCTCATCTTTGAATCAATCGTCACCGGTCAAAACCCTCAATGAAAGCAAAAATGAGAGTAAGGATTCATTCGTTTCATCGCCAAACAAAAGTGCCAGTAAAGATAATAATAAGAAGAATCTATTCAATACATTTAGAACATGTGGGTCACACTATAAGCTAGCTACTTGATTACTAACTTCGTTCAAGGGTTTACGGATGATAAACGTGAAAAACGTAAAAGTAAGACAACTAAGCAGCATCCAAAGGGAGCAAGTAGCCTATCAGATGCTAGCTATGTACAAGTCAGGAGGTCAGCGTCTCATAAGAGCAATACAAAGAATAGAAAACCTCGCCCTCAAAGTTACAGGAGAAGGGAGTCAACCTCTAGTACACATAGCTTAAAATCACCACAAATTACAGCCATGACATCGGCATCGAAATCCCGTCGATCGTCGTCAATTCATTCAAGAAGATCATCAGTTTCTGTACAAATTGACTTGAGTAGCTCACCATCCGCGACGCCAATGAATAGAAGAAGTAGCGGTAATAATATTAGTAGCGGTGTAAGAGGAAAAGCCAACCACAGCAAGTCACCATCAATGAGTTCTGTGGGAAGCAATAGAAGCACTGGTGGTAGACCCAACCCAGCTTATGGCAGAAGACATAGAAGGGGTTCCTCAAGCTCTTTACCTCGCGTTAGACACATTAGAGCGCCTTCTTCACCCCTTCCCCTCACCTCAAAGAAACATTCACGATCAATATCTGCAACTTCAAGTATGGAAGAAGATAAGCAAGTGCTCGGATTAGGATTAAAGGATAGTGATACTATTGTTTCTCAAAAGACATACTTTTTAGCATCAAAGCGTACTGCGGCTTTCGCTCCACCTCCACCTATTAATGTCAAATCACCAGTGATGAAATCATTCGGAAATCTCAAAGCAAGCAAATTTGACTACTCAAAAGCTTCTCCAACGAAAATATCAACAAATTTCAACCCCACTGAATCAACTCTTGAGGACGCACTTGAGTGGGTTGATGAAGATGATTTCGCAGGTGGGATAGGCCAAGGTGAAGCCAGCGCCTTTATTGGAGAATTTGAAGCTGGTATACAAGAGGATGATGACTTCCTCACAGAGCACTCCGATAATGATAATGAGATCGAGGGCGTCAAGAAACTTCGTAAGAAGAGTAAAGGGAAGAGAAAGAATGATGATAAGAGTGATAATAATACGGAGACATTGAGTGAATTTAAATTTCCATCTTCAACCCCTCCCACATCTGCACAAGGTCCTAATCAATCTAATACTAATCACCAAAAGTGGAGACCATCTGTTACGACAGCTGCCGTAATAGAAGAGGATGAAGAGGATGCATAGATACCCACGAGAAATTAATATATTTCTTGTAACGTCGTACATAAATCTATTACCAATATTAAATGTTTAATTTTTTTATTCTATATAGTCTATGAAATAACACTAATTTGATTGTGATTTTAATAATGATTGCATTGGCGTAAGTTTAAACACCTGTGCCAAAACTTTGTTGTCTGACTTTCCGTTTAAAGTGAGCGGGATAAAGTTCGTTGGTATAATGTAAGCAGGACGCATATAGACAGGGAGCTCTCTATCTACTGCATTCTTAAGGCTAGTAATAAGGGTGCCTCTGTTGTATTGTATGGTTGGAGATGTCGTCCGTCTTTCGATAACACTGATGTTTGAGTTGGAGGGCGCGACAAAGCTAACTAAGACCTCTTGATTAAGTGAAGGATGCTGAGTGATCAAGGTTGTTGCAAGGAGTTCCTCATCTTCGTTTGCGGCCAATCTGAGAATATTTGAGACACCCTCAGTTTCCAGTCTAACACCACGATATTTGACTTGTGAGTCTATTCTACCCATGATCTCAATTGAATTATCTGGTGTCATTCTAACTAAATCACCAGTTTTGTAAGCCCAGCTGTCGGCATTAGGGAATTTTACGAATGATTTTGCTGTCAAATGATCTAAATTGAGGTATCCTCTTGCGACAAGTGGTCCTTCAACGACTAGTTCACCTGGTGTACCCAAAGGAACGATGTTCATTTCTTTGTCAACAACCAGTGCATCACATGAAGGGAAGACCTTTCCAACGTTTTCTTTTGTATCTTGAGCTAAAACTTTGCGAGCTGATATACCAATCGTTAATTCAGTTGGTCCGTAAAAGTTTGCCAATATCAAGTTTGGTCTGTTTGCCCATTTTTCGAGCAGCTGAGATGGCATTACGTTAGTTGCTTCACGCTTTATGATGATACTTACGTTTTGTGTTATTTTTTCACCACCCGAGATCAAATACTTCAATGGGAGACCCTCAGGCGTCTCAAGAAGTGCCTCAATCATGGATGGAACCATACCCAAGTGGGTAATATGAAGCTTGACAATATATTCCCTTAAATCACCCAGTAACTGAGCCCTTGGGACGGTCACCAATCTCAATTTCTCATGCCAACTTTGAGTAATTTCAGAGATATGAACATCGAATGCAAGAGACGCCATCGCTAGTCGCTTATCACTCTCTGGATCACTAATTGGGATAGGGTAATCTCCGAACGTGACCATTGCCCAGTAGAGCGCTCTATGTTCAATGAGACATCCCTTTGGATTACCAGTCGTTCCACTAGTATAGAGGAGGTACGACAAACTATCGAGTTTCGCGAGATTAATGTCAGAGCTATCCTGAGCATCCACTTGTTTCCAGAGGTCAGTGTCATGAGAGTCAACAGCAGCCTCAGTGAAAATTGTTATATTCTCTGACGTGGTGAATATTACCTTCGACTCGCTATCTTTCGCAATATACTTTTTTCTCTCTTCTGGTAACTCAGGGTCGATCTACTCATTATTAGCTTGTGACTGGTAACTCATGAGACACTTACACTAGTGTAGCAACCTCCTGCTTTGAATATCGCCGCCATGGCTATGTAGAATTCTGGACAACGCGGGAGCGACAAGCTCACTCTGTCCTCTAGTTTCACGCCACGGTCAACGAGCCACCTGGCTAACTGGTTTGAACGCTTGTTGAACTCATACCAAGTCAGTAATATTGGCTGCGAATCAAGATCCGCATAACACTCGTGAGCGATCTTATCTCCTCTCTCAACTGCGTTTTTGAATAACCAGTCAACGACGAAGCCTTCTTGCGTCATATCTAAAGTTTTGGTAGCATGCGAGCTGAGGTTTTGAGGAAATGACTTGAATAACTCTCCTATCCTTGCATCCTGGTGCTGGACAAGTCTCTCTAAGACAACTTTAACTTGGTCGATAAAGACTTTCAATGAAATAGCCGAGATCAAACTACCGTCGGAATGAAGGCTGAGTTTGAAGCCTTCTGGAGTACTTATTCCGCCCATTATGAGACTGTCGGATAATTTACAACTATCGAGGTCAACTCCCCATACGAACAACGCCTGGAGTGGTACTTTATCATCCTTTACTCCCAATTCAAGTCTCGCATCATCATTTGAGAGCGGTACATTAGTCAAAAGTTGCTTATTAATGGATTCTGCAACGTCTGACAGAAATTCACTTCCTTCGAGCTGCACACGGATTGGATGTATGAGCGTTGCTTCAGGGTCTTCTATGTAGTCTTTTGTGGTTTCACCAAGTACAACATCTTGACTGTCGAGGTATTTCATCAGTAGGACAGTGTATGCCACCCTAACCAGCTTCTCTGTATTGGCCGACTGAGGTGCGTTGACTAGCACAGATTCATAGCGGGGAATGCATTCTGGTACTCTCGATTGAGTACCCAAGTTCTTAATTGGATTGTGCGTGTAATTGTCTAGCATCACCTTACTCGCTTAGGTAGTAAAAGACCGATAATCTGATCTGATAAAATCGGGAAAATCTTGATAAGAAATCGGGAAAAGATGAGAAAAATATTATTTAACTATTTGACATTTAATTTATACATATATTGTCTTCATATAAATTTCGGAGGTGTGCTGCGATTAAACCCTAATTCAGGAACGATCAGTTACGATCAGTTATCAAAAATTATCAGTTTAGATCCTCTATCTATCAAATCATCAACACAACCCAAAAAAAATGGAGAAGCTATGTCGCTTAGAATATAGCTTCGTCGCAGAGTCTAAATGTCGTTATATGGACATCTCTCTCGGGTTTCAATGGAGGCTTATGTGGATTCTGCCTCTAGCAATTTTCATCTTTTGTTCATTGGTAAAGATGATTATGATGTTCGCTATTGATAAGACACACACAAGAATCACAAATCACAGATTTGATGTACTCTCTATTAGCAAACTTACTCTCATTTGCATACAAATTGGTAGCATGGCTAGTGTATTACATTATAATTTCTTCGATAATTCAAACGGTACAGCATCATATTCCTTGCAGTTAGTTTCATCAATTATACTTCTCCCTTTATCATATGCTCAACACACCAGAGCATACGCACCTTCCACACTCATTTCTGCACATTTGGCTGTTACCTCCCTTTTTAGTGCTACTCAATTACGTAGTTTTGTCAATGCTGGATTGGATACTGAAAAATTCTTTGCTGGATACTGCGTATTTTTCGCTTCAACTTGCTGTCTTTTCTTCGCTGAGTTGGTTGAGAAGAGATGGTTAATGAAATCAACAATGAAGGTATGTTTGTATTTTACATTATTTTGTTGTTTAACGTGGTATTCCAGCCAAAGGCAAAAGAAACGACATCATCAATTCCTTCACGAATTATGTTCACTTTCCTTTATCCAGTACTCTACATAGGATTTAAAAAATCTCTCAGCTTGGACGATGTCAACGATTTCGGTTTACCTGAAGAGCTTAGTAGCAACGACGCTACTAAGAGATTCACAAAATTGCTCTACGGATCACAATCCGAGACAAAAGATGGAAAAAGAACACAGCCAATTCTCATGCCTTCAATTTTGGCATTTTACGATTTCTTCTTTGCAGCAGTGATACCAAAGTTACTCTATGTTGCTGTAACATTCGCACAGCCATTCCTTGTCTCAACTATGCTGGCTTTCATTGATAGCTATGCAGACGAGAACGCTGTACCACAAGACCCAAATGTTGGTTGGGGACTTGTAGGAGCTTACACGATCGTCTACCTTTCCTTAGCCGCTACTACTGCGCTCTATTGGGATAAAGTCTATGCGATGGTTATCAGATACAGAGCCGCATTAGTTAGTGTCTTATTTGACAAGTCTGTCAGACTTGCTTCAAGTGTCGCCGAAAATCAAGGTAAAGGCAGTGCTGTCACTTATATGTCTGTCGACGTTGAGAGAGTCGTCGAGGGTGTCATTTTCTTCCACGAATGTTGGGCAGCGATTGTCTCAATCGCCTGTGCAGCTGTTATTTTATGGTTTAAAGTGAGTTATCACTTTTCCAACTCCATCACATAGCTAACGAAGGAAACAGGCAACTTATGCTATGATCCCACCGCTTTGCGTTATGATTGGTTTCTTCGGTGTAACATCAATCGTTGGAAAGAAAGTTTCAGGTGCACAAAAGCGCTGGATGGGAAGTACTGAAAGTCGTCTCGCTGTTATTGGTTCCGTAATGAAGCAAATTGTACCTACAAAGTTACTCGGACTTGAACCAGTTATGCCAACATGGATAAATCCTCTCCGTAACCAAGAAGTTGAGCATCTTCGCGCATTCTATCGTCGTTTAGTCGTCGTTGTTGTTCTCTCTTCAGCAACTATCAACTGCGCCGGTCTTTCAGCATTGGGTACATTCGCAGGTATATCAGGAGACATCCGACCACAAACGCTTTTCACGATCTATACTGTTGTTCAGCTGGTCACATTGCCTATCTCAACAGTCGGACACTGCTTCCCGCTCCTCGTCGCATCCTGGGCTTCTATGAAGCGTATTGCCGGTTTCCTTGTCTTGGAAGAAAAACCAGTCAGCATGGGTGGTGAACTTCCAACTTCCTCAAACAGCTCTACGGATACACTCAAATGTAGCACCGAGAAAGGAGACTCTTTGTACGAGAAATCTGAGAAACCAATGAAAGACGTCGATGTTCCACCTTCACTTTGGAATGTCAATGCTAGTGCATCTTCAGAAAATGAGTCAAAAACCATCATTAAGGACATAGATATTAGTTTCCCACTCAATAAGCTCTCTATTGTCGTTGGTCCAGTCGGTAGTGGTAAATCAATCCTTCTTAAGACACTTCTTGGTGAGACACACATAAAGACTGGTACTAGAAAGACTCCTGGTGGCACATCAGCAAAGATTAGTTATGCACCACAAGAAGCTTTCATCTGGCCAACCACTGTCAAAGAGAACATCATTCTCGATGGTGATTACGATTATGAATGGTACAACAAGGTCATCGAAAGCTGTGCTCTCGAATACGATTTCAAGAGAATGTCTAAAGGTGATCTTACCCAATTGACTGAGAAGGGTGGTGTTAGTGGTGGTCAAAAGCAACGTATATCCCTTGCAAGAGCTTTATATGCTAGCAGAAACTGTTCATTTGTTGTACTCGACGATTGTTTCAGTGCGCTCGACGCTCACACAACTAAGCACGTCTTTGAAGCCCTCTTCGGTAGTAAAGGATTATTAAAAAGACAGACAGTAGTGATGGTCACACATTCCCATAAGCACCTCACAGCTGCTGACTTCGTAGTTGCAATGGAAAGTGGAAGCATCCTCGCCCAGGGTACACTCAGAGATCTCTACAAAAACGTGATTGATATTAAGAACTACATCGGTGATATTCCAAAAGAACTCGAGGAGGATAATGAAATTGTTGAGATCAAGCCGGAGACAGAAGAGGAACAAATCCTTGAGCTTCAAGATGCTGCTTTGGTTGAAAAGCCTGGTCATGCGCGCAAGAGTGTTGACGGTAAGAAATACGATCTAGTTGATGAAGAAGACCCAGATGAAGAGGACGCAGGCGCCAACCTCGGATGGACACCTTATAAGTTCTATATGCGTCATTGCGGTTGGGCTCGCTTATCAGTCTGCGTATTCTTCCTTATACTCTACAACGCTATCGAAGTTGGTTTACAGGTAAGTGTTTTGTTTTTCCATTTAGAAATACTAAAAGACTCAGATATACCTTGAAAAATGGTCTAGTGCCAATACAACTGACCATCGTCCTTGGTTAGGTGGATATGCTGGTTTTACTGTTGCTGCATTCCTTACTTCATTCTGTATGATGTGGATGTACACACAGTACACTGCCCCACGCGCAAGTTTGGGAATGCACGAAAAGATGCTCGAGAATGTCCTTGAGGCGCCGGTCACCTACTTCCAGAAGACTAGTTCAGCACTCTTGATCAATAGATGGGGTTCTGACATATTCATTTCTGATTTTGCCTTCCCTATCTCGATGCTTGATGTCTCTCTGACGGCCGTCTACGTTGTTGGTGCTGCAATCTTGATTCTTATTGCCGTACCATGGTTGGCTATCGCCGTTCCAGTTTTGGCGGTAATTTACTGGTTACTTCAGAAAGTTTACTTGGCGACTAGCAGACAACTTCAGCGCCTTACTATTTCTTCAAAAACACCTCTTTACACTTCATTTAGTACCCTTTTGACTGGTTTGGTAACCATCAGAGCATTCAAATCTACTGCTATGTTCAAGGATCTCTCAGAGTGGCATCTTAATAGATCACAAACACCAATGTATTATCGTGATTCTGGTATTAGATTCTTGTGAGTGTTTCTTTCTACTCATTTGAAAATTATTGAACTTACTTTTTAGACGTACATTCCTCAACTTAGTAACAGCCTTTATTGCTATTGGTATTGCATGTATTGCTGTCGGATTGCGTAATACAACCAGCGCAGGTTATCTCGGTGTCGCATTGTCTCAACTTGTCAGTATGGCCACATCTCTCACAAACTTGCTTTTGGCGTGGACCAGAGTAGAAAATGGTGTAGTTTCTTTAGAGCGTATTGTCGAAATAACGCAACTAGAGTCTGAAGAAGATGCACACAGACGCGATGCAGAGGAAAATGAAAGAGTTCTTGTCGAGACCAAAGAACCAGCTGCCAGCTGGCCAGAGAGTGGACACGTTGAATATAAAGATGTGACATTGAGATACAACTCAGGCTCACGTAACGCTCTCGATCACCTCAATATTCACCTTCCAGCTGGTCACAAGTTGGGTATTTGTGGTAGAACTGGTAGTGGTAAATCATCGACTATTTATGCTCTCCTTCGTGGTCAACCACTGACAGAAGGTAGTATAATAATTGATGGTGTCGATCTCGCTACTGTACCATTACACACCCTCAGATCAAGAATCTCAACAATCAGTCAAGATCCATTCCTCCTACATGCCAGTATCTCTGAGAACCTTACCTTAGGTTGTCCAGAAGGCACAAATGACGAAGATATCTGGCAAGCACTCAGGGATGTTGGTATGGAAAAGCAAGTTGATGAACTTGAGAAGAAGTTAGAAACCCAAGTAACGACTGATGGTACCGAATTCAGTGCTGGTGAAAGACAACTTCTCTGTATTGCTAGGGTATTACTTCAGAAGCGTAAGATTGTCATTCTCGATGAAGCATCCTCATCGATGGATGGTAAGACAGACGTGAGACTACTTAACCTTCTTAAGACAGCTCTTAAAGGTATAACCGTTATAAGTGTTGCTCATAGAATTTCAACTATCAGCGAGTATAACCAAGTCATCGTTATGGATGAAGGAAGAGTACTCGAATCTGATAGCCCTGCTACCCTTTTAAGAAAGAGTGACAGTGAATTTTACAAACTTGCACATAGTCAGGGAATGTTAGACAACTAATTTTTAGTTGGGAAAGCTAAAAATGTTGACAAATAAATTAAATTAGAGTAATGTTTTAATTATTTTTTTGTATATTAGGTAGGATACATAACTTCATTCATTTGTATCAGAATACATAGAACTCGCAGGTGAAGAAGGTGCAGATGAGCTTTCGGATGTACTATCTTCTGACATGTATTCATGTTGGTATGATGAATTTTTGAGTCTATTACGCGATGGCCAAGAATTCTGATATATTCTTCTATGAATTAAGCAAGTGTGACATTCGTCATTGTTTTCCAACTTATCGTTTTTGCATTTATCATTAGAGCATAGTATTTCGTTTAAGTCCGATAAGGATGAGAGGGGCGTGAGTGATGAAGAAGCGGAAGAGTAATTAGTTGAACTGGTAGTATTAGATCGTATGTAGCTATTGAATCTAGTTCTAAGTTGATTATCTTGGGTGTTATAATCAAGATTTTTAAACGCGCCATTATTGTTGGTTTCGCAAGTGAGACAGAAGCAATTTTCATTGTTTTCGCCAAAATAGTGGTTTCCGTAATTTAATAAAACCTCCTGACCCGATTTAATCCATTGGTTAGTTCTGAAATATACGTGATTCTGTGTCCTTTCGAGCTGAACATTGTTATCGCAATCATGGTTAGCGAATCTGGCAGGACCAAGAAATATGCGAGTACCAGTAGTAAGTGAAGTTAAAATACTCCAATCGTTGTTCGAATCGCGTAATACTTTATCTTGATCGTGAGATATTTTTATCAGAGTCGCTAAGCAGTTAGATATTAAAGTATCCTTCGGTATATTCTTAGTTGCTACTAAAGAATATTCAGACTTTTTGGTAAATTCTGAAAGCCTTCTATTATATCTAATCTCGAAGGGCGTTGAGGGGTGAAATAACAAAGAGTAGACGTGTAAATGATCTCTAAATAAGGATTTATATGATAGCTGCTTCCTACGAAGGTGTTTTTTAATGAAATCCAAGCTTAATAAAGCATCAACTAGCTTGTTTGGGTTATAATTATATTTCGAGAGAGACTCAATAACTAAATCCTTTATGTTATTTGTATTTAAATCGCAATTTGATGATTTAACGACATTAAAGTTCCATACGATGTCTAATAAGATAGTTGATATGAGGCTATCACATTCAGATAGTCTATCTAGATCAGACATAGTTGAGTCTATTCGATAGTTCTAAAGTGACGAAAAAACGCGGTGTTAGATGGTAATTCCTTAAAAGAGAACAATCATCATGCAAATTGGAATATCAGAGGATCAAAATAGGAAATATAGGAAAACTATGGAAGATAAAGTGACAGTTATTGAGGATTTCAATAACATAAATGATCAATTATACGTTGGATTGTTTGACGGCCACGCTGGAAAATCATTATCTGACTACTGTGGGGCTAATCTACACGAAAGAATATTGAGTAATTTGGAGAAAGAGAAAGAGATTTCAGATAATTTAAACGCGTCATTTTTATCAATTGATAATGAACAGTCATTGTCTAGTGGATGTACAGCTGTTGTTAGTCTAATCCTACACCAAGGGATGAACAAAGAAATCAACCAGGATAAAAGAGAAGCGGAAGGAGCCAGAACATTGTACACAGCCAACGTCGGTGACGCTAGAGCAGTTCTATGGTTGGTTGTTACCCTAAAATGACGTCATAAGTCTAATGAAGAATTTTTTAGCAGAGCAGGTCAAGCAATTAGATTAACCTACGACCACAAGGGATCAGACGATAATGAGCAGAAGAGGATAATGGATGCTGGTGGATACATACTTAATGGGAGAGTGAATGGAGTATTGGCAGTCACAAGAGCATTAGGGGATAGTCCAATGAAGCAATACGTCGTAGGTTCACCATACACCACAGAAATAGACATCACCGACGATGACGAATGGTTGGTTATCGCCTGCGATGGCTTATGGGATGTCGCAACTGACAGCGAGGTCTGCGAACTGATAAAAGAGTGCAAATCTGGTGAGGAGGCTAGTAAATTATTATTAGAATACGCTTTAAATAATTTATCGACCGATAATTTATCGATTGTTGTAATTAAATTTTAAACTCCCTTTCTTTATTACGCTCAAGAATGGGTTCTACGTTATCAGCACCGGTGCGTCTAAAATAGAGCGAATAGACTACAAATTGAACTCTCTTAGGTCGTCGACAAGTCCTATGCGACTGGAGAAGACGCCGACTTTGTCTACGCAGTCTCTGAAATGCAGGGTTGGCGGATAAGTGCGTAAACCGACATTACATTCTAAAGCTAACAATAGAAGGCATGGAAGACGCTCATACAGCTGTTTTAGACCTCAATAGAGCTCATGATTCTCATGCTCCAGAATCCCAGGACGCCCAGAATGCAAAATCTTTCGAAACTAAAGAATCCAATCCGACAAACTCTAAAAAACCTGCATTCTTCGCTGTTTATGACGGTCATGGTGGTTCAAACGTCGCCAGATATACGGGTGCCACTTTGTACGCTAGATTAGCAAGATCCGAAGAGTTTAAGTCCGGTGATTGGCACAACGCTCTCATAAACAGCTATTTAAACACGGACGAGGCTATCAAAGCAAACCCTGAGTTATCTTCTGATCCTTCAGGTTGTACCGCCGTCTCTGTTTTAATCACTCCACCAGAACCAACAGCTACAAACTCATCAATATCCGCAAGAAAGGTTATTTGCGCCAACGCCGGTGACTCCAGAGCGGCCTTATCATTAGCCGGTCAAAGTTTACCCCTCTCATACGATCATAAACCACAAAATGAGGCAGAGTCTGATAGAATTGTTAAAGCAGGCGGTTTCGTTGAAATTGGCAGAGTAAATGGTTAGTGGTAATTTTTTTATTATATCATATTAACCATCCCCTAGGAAACCTCGCGTTGTCACGTGCTATTGGTGACTTTGAATTCAAGCAAAACCCAGACCTCGGCCCAGAGGCTCAAATTGTCACCGCAGTACCTGATATCATCGAGCACGAATGTACTGGCGAAGAAGAATTCTTAATCCTCGCTTGTGACGGTATTTGGGATTGTTTATCCTCACAACAAGTTGTGGATATCACCAGAAGAGCCATCGCTAATGGTGAAGAACTCAAGGATATTTGCGCTCACATCATGGATAAATGTTTAGCACCTGACTCAGAATTAGGTGGTATTGGCTGTGATAACATGACAATCACAATCGTTGCAATCTTGGGTGAAAAATCAAAGGATGAATGGAGACAATGGGTCAAGGAAAGAGTTGAAAATGGAATTGGCTACAGCACCCCAGAATCAGTTCCAGATATTTTTGAAAAATCCGAATTGCCAATTGATAGATCAAACGACCAGGCAACCTTCGATGCTAACAGATTTGGCAACTCGCCGTTGTCTATTTTGTCAAATATGGCAGGCGCGTCCGGTTCCTCTTTGCAAGAAGCTTTAGAATCTGGTGGAATTGTATTTCAACCTTCAGGATCAGTAACCAACAAAGACGGCCAATTGGTTTATGCTTCATTATCAGATGATAGTGAAGAGTCTGATGAAGAGTCAAATTCCTCACAACAAAAGATTGTACCAATTAAGGATGGTGATGAAAGACAAATCGAAGCATCCGGTGGTTTGACAGACACATCAGAAGATCCAATTAAGAGTATGAACTTGGCTACTAATAGTGATAAAGAAGAAAAGGAGTAAATTGTCATCGATTACAAGTGATTCTTATACATATAAAATTGTATACCCCAGCCATCAACATCGACCACTTAACAAATCAATGAACCTTACCGAAAACAAACCGTCTCCTAATTTAGAAATCACTTAATTTAAAACATGAATTTGATGAATACACTCAATTAACGCTGATAGCAGTCATAATAAAATTTTCAAAAATCAAAAATCGTTTCGTTTATCTCTTGTTACTCTTTGAAAGGTTAATGTATTAATTCTTTTATTTGGCTTATTTTTATTTGGCTTGTTTCTTTTTTAGTTTCTTTTAGGAAAAGATTAGGTAAGCCGATGACCGATCAGATTATCTATCTGATGGTTATCGTCGGCGATAATAATTTATAGTGTTTTAGATGACAGCAAGTGCCTCTCTGTTAGGTTTACAAAGTTTATTTCTTATCTCTTATTATCGCTCCAATCTCGCCTCCGATATCTAACCCCTTAGTTACCTCTTCAACCGTAACTACGAGGACCAAATATATCTAACTACGTATAGTTTGATATATTTAATTACTTTAAACTCACATTCCGATTACTGGATTGCTGACGTTTCACACTCAATTTGGTCATCACAATCCAGTCTATCAAGGATTATCTGAAATGTCGAATGAAGCTACGACTAGAAACCATCTAGATGATCGTTATAATACTCAATTAGGCGTACGTAAAGTCATAGCAGCTCAATATGTTAGTTAATAATCCTTACTATGAATATTATTTAATTTATACTCTTAGGCTTTCTCTAGTAGCTCAATAACTCTACTTTCAGTCGGTATCTTCTTGGCCTCGTGGGTATTAGCTCATATAAAATCCACACATCTAACGGTCCACTCAGTTTCATATTTGCATTCGATCAAGGCACAAATAGTTACATGACTAATGCTGCTTTCAATGAAATTGGTCACAGCAGAGCTCAGTTGGCCGTCTTAGCGGCTTCTTCAATCATAAACGCAACTGGAAAGCCTTTCTTCGGTAAATTACTCAATGTCGTAGGCAGACCTGAATCGTTATCAATTACAATGCTATGTATGTCAATCGGTTATTTTATATCAGCCGCTAGCCCTACGATTATCGGTTTGAGTGTTGGTAGATGTCTTTGGCAACTCGGCAATAGTGGCTTCCAAATCGCTTTACAAGTAGTTATTGCTGATGTTACTAACCTCAGATATCGTGGTCTCTTCTCAGCTATCGCTGGATCCGGTTGGCAGTTTATTCTTTTTTACTTTGCAGGAAAAATTGTCAATAAGGCACTTTCTCCTCATGGCGTTGGTTGGAGAGGAGTTTTCTGCATTGAAGCTATATTTTTTGTCCCTGCTATTTTGCCCATCATTTTAATCTTATTTAGAGCCCAAAATAAAGCAAACAAAGACGGTCAAATTAATGTTAGAGAGACGAAGGTGCCACTTCAAGAAAAATGTTACAATTTCTGCAGTGATATTGACATTGTTGGTCTATATTTCTTGCTTGGTTGGCTCGTCTACATTTTCCTTCCTATCGTCTTGACTGGACAAAGCTCCATGGAATGGGACGGATCTACGCTACCCCTGATGGTTATCGTCGGTGTAACCGTAATCTTCCCTAGTTTTATTTATTGGGAATCTCACAATGCCGTACACCCTATACTTCCCTTACGATTCTTGTTAAACAGGACTATCATCTCAACCTGCATTATAAACCTTTGCGATTTCATCTCGTTTAGTTTATCATTCAACACCTTAACACAATTCATTTACGTCGCCACCGATTACAACGATGCCTCTGCGCTTTACTTGACCTCAACACAGAATCTATGCTTGTCATTTTTTGCTATAGCTTTCGGATTACTGGTGTCAATATATCAAATGAAATGGAAAACTCCTGTAGTTATCGCGTTATTAGTGAGGATGCTTGGTAATGCATTGATGCTATATGCTCGCGATCACCCTACTACCTTTGCATTGGTCATGACTCAAATCCTTCAAGGTGCCGGTGGAGGTGTCGCATCTGCTGCCACACAAGTCGGAGCTCAAGGAAGTGTTCCACATCAAGATCTCTCGTTGTCAGTTTCTGTTATACTCCTGTTTGCTGAAATCGGATCAGTTATAGGGTCATCAATCTCAAGTGCACTCAATACTGCTTACCTTGTTAGTTTCATATCTGAACAATTCCCCGAATGGAGTTTAGAAAAAGCGACTAAATTTGCAGATTCCCCTCAATTAGCAAGAAAATTGGGTGAACTTACCTCAACCGATCGTATGAAGCTTACAAAAGCTTTTTCAAATAATATGCGTTTACAGAATATACCAGCCGTAGTTATATCACTTATTCCAATATTCGTCGCTTTATTCTTCCTAGATGATTTCAAATTAGATAAACGTAAGAATGTCGTTGAAAATTACGATGAAGTTCATGAAAGCAATGATGAAGAAAGCGCTTTGTTGGATTATAGTGATAGCGATTCACATAGTCAACACCAACAACATTCACATAATTCCACTAATGACACTTTGCATGATAGGAAAACTAAATCGAGAAATAGTTCGCGACGTTTTGCCTCCTAACGATATTTAATCAATAACCAAATAACAAGGACAATATTATTGTAATATAGTCATTTTTTCATTTACATGTTTACAGGTTTAGTTTACTATACAAATTGCGAACTGAAGGAAGAGTAAGCTGTCTGGAAGCTGCTAGTCAAAGATCAAGTAAGTTATATAAAGTTGTAGCGCCTGATCCGTAGATTTTCGGCGACTGGTTGCTGCTATCATTATCGTCATTTTCATCTCTGTTGTTGTCATCAGTGCTCTCTGTGTTATTCATAGATATAAAATCGTTGGAATGATAATAAGCTCAACTCATAAATCAACAAGTCTGTTTTGATTTGCTAGTATTATCTTGGATAACATGAAATGTACGTACCTTCGAAACATTTATATCAAGTTTTAAAGTCTTTATGCGAAGTTGAGGTAGGTTTGTTGAATCCATAGCTGTACTGTTGTTCATTGTATCTTCTAGAGAATTTGCATTCGGAGTGGTATTAGGATGTGGTCAACCATGGTCTGCAGGCTTGTCATCATCTTCCACACATCGCCGGTAATTACTTTGAGCGCTGAAATAACCATAGAACCTAATACATCCAGGTTGTAACAATTAGCTTTTGAACTATTCCACGAGCCTACCGCAGTACATTTTGACAATACTAAAGGTCTTATATTTACTGTGAAGTCTATAATAAAACAATGGTCTCTTTCGTATTCCTGACAATCATATTTGACATAATAAGAACACTTCGACACGCCCTGTTGGAGCGACTTATAAAACACGATGAAATAGGCACATAGACATGCATACATAATACAGAAACTACCAAAGGAACATCCCTGAAAGCGAAACATATATAATTTACATATCCTGATTACTGTTGGTAACATGCTGGAGTCATTGTACATCCTATTTGATAGTCAATACGAAGTAATTAGTAATATCTTGCACCCACCAGTGCCTGGGCTATTTGGAACACAATAACATGTATCATCTGCGTAAAGGTCAGAAAAATTGAGTCACTTAGTTGCATATTCACTTGGTGTGGCTGCAGCAGCAACATTCATAACAGCGAGGATAGCAGCAAGAGAGAAGATCTTGGAGAACATGATGAATATGATAGTTTTTGATAGAGCCTAGGCGTATTTATACTCTCAAACCGGTACATTTCAGCTTTATGCTATGCAATTAGTCCTCCTTTGGTACCTAGGTTTCGGGGCAGTTTGTTCGCCTTATCGGATCTGATAGAAAATGACACTACTCTGGATTTATTTTTTTCAAAGAAAACTTAGTCTAGGCCTTTTTGAATTCAATCACTCATATAACTAATGGCGGATTTTATGGGCTTCCGTATTTATTGAAATGCCAAATACTGTGCCTATCAGATTATCATCTAGATCTGATACCCCACAAGTATTGACCAAAATGTTATTTAAGAGGACTTATCAAGGAAATTCTTCAAATTGGGTATATTTGCATTTGCATCTGTGACCTGAATTGAATACACGGAGTGATTCGTCATTTTCGAATACTTGCTATTGGTATATATGCAATAAGATGATTAAAACATAGGTGATATATGCTAAGAAACAGATAACATTGCTCATTTCGTCTATAAGTACGCTTCATGGAGCACAAGTGAATAAGTTGAGTAAAAACATCAATAATGCTATAGATGACCTTTTTTAAAGTTAAGCTAACATCATCCAAAATGAATATCGACTGGATATCATTTATGTGCTCACCTTCAACTCCCATCTATTTAAGACAGTACCGGATCTTTTCTCCAGAGCTTGGCAGGGTAGAAGCAGAAAATGCAAACGAAACGAAGTTAACAACTACATCCAGCTTAATTAAGATACTGCGAATGATTAACACTTCGTTTACTTGTAACTGCATCATTCATAAGTGTCAACGTCGATGTAGATGTTTTAGTGACTTAAAATACGACAGATTTCTTGTCGGTTGGGTCATAGAATAATACTGCTAGAACTAGTGTAGACTCTTCCGCAAGAAGTTTCAATTTTACTGCTTGGAATCAATCAATGGCAAAAAAGGATTGAATAGACAGAAAACATCTTCAACCAAGTGATTTCGCTTGTAATGTCTCAGAGAGTGTTCAGATTAGTAGAATGATGTTATTAGTTCTTGACCGCTTTACTCTGCGGCTATTAATGCATAATCAGGGTATCATTTGGTAGACGAGCTCGATCACAAATACATTAAGTTTCGAGAAAGCCAAAACTCTAGCAGATAATGGATCATGAATATTAAAGATCTACCTCCAGCTACAATATTAGCTCATTCTATGTTAATTGCGCTTGTAAACTTTTTCAAATTCATTATTAGTAGCTGGACACCTTTACGATAATTTATGGGCGTTCCTGTCAAATCTCATGTAGTTTGTGGTTTAAAATCATGCATAATTCTGATTAGGCTTATCTACTAGACATAACACTAATCCTAGTTGATCAATGTAATGAAAGGGTTTTATAATTTGGGCTCTTGGAACTTTGTGGTGACCTTATTAAGACCCTGATAGTCGCTTCTCGCTTTGAATCTGTAGCTGTTTTACACAACTACATCAGCTGGTTGAGTTTTATGCACTGTGCACCAGGGACGCGTATAATACCCGTTTAATCATAGGAAAAAAGAATTTGCACAGCTTTAATGAGATTATTACCAAGACATATGGAAACTAATGTTAGAAATCAAGATAACAACGCTAATTACCCAATTTGAATCTGATTCGGATAAATTTTTGGGGTTCTTTATTGCTTTGACACCACACCGGAGCTTTTTACTTTGTGCCTTGGCAGGGTACTTGCAGAGCATGTCAAACGTATAAAATGCAGGTGCATATAATAAAACCTTCTTTCAATCCAAACTATTAACAGCATGCAATTTTTAACAATACTTTCACTTGCAACTGCAGCATTCGCAGCTTCAGTCAAGAGAGATGTCTTCACAGACAGCTCAAAATTCAACCAACTCATTAGCAGCCCAGAATTAGAGCAATGTTACCAGAACCAATGTCTACCAATTCGTGAGAAGTTACGTAGTGACTGTTTACCTATCATCCAAAACACAGATATAAACTCAATTGATACGGAATTAGGATTCGAATTTGGCAATTGCGTTTGTGAAGGCTTCGACTTTGCTCAACAAAACCCTGAGTGTGGTGACTGTATGAATGATGCTAGTATGTCTTACCTTTTACTTTCAGACAATTACTGACGGAACAACAGTCGACAATTTGACGAGCGAGCTCGACCAGACTTGCACTGCTATTCGCTCAGACCCATCAAATCCAGAAAATGATGACTCATCAAGCATTACTAATATACCACCAGCTTCACTTTTGGCTTCCTCTTTGTTGGTAGTCGGTATAAGCTTCATTTAAGTAGTCTAAACATTGGACATGTTTAGATCTATTTTCACCATCTAATATTTTTTCTAACTTGTTGTCTTCGTATTGAAGCGTGTAATAATTTGATATTATAGATACAATACTTGACTGGGACTCTAAATACTTAAGATCATAATGGCGAGTTTTATGATACTATTTTTAATCAATAAGTTATACATGCTTTCAATTAAAAGGTGTGTATTACACATAAACGCACATGGATTTTGAAATTTATCAAGACATAACAGGTAGATCAATGCGTGAAATTATCATAGGCATATAAGAAACACACCCAATTAATCATAGTTGTCTTTTGCTGTGATGTTCAAACGAAGTATCCTGGTTAACACTGCAACGGGTTTTTTCCGGTTGGTTTGACAGGATTCTCGGCAAAACATCTCAAAGCCATAAACTAACCTTCACATTTAGGCTAGTTACTAGTAACAATGAGGTTCTTAACAATCCTTTTTCTTCCGAGTGTAGCGTTTGCAAGTCGTATTAACCTTAAAGCTGCTTCAACCAACGCAGAATTTGATATGCTGCTCAAAGATTCAAACTTGGACCAATGTTACCAGAATCAATGTGGGCCAATACGTGAAAAGTTACAAAATGATTGTTATAAAATCATCAAAGGCAAGCAGCCCAACTCAATCGATATAGATACTGCATTTAAGTACAGCAACTGTGTGTGTCAATCAATTGACTACATTCATGACCATCTCGACTGTGCGGATTGTATGAATAGTGCAGGTGTTGGTGCTGGTAAGACTTATTGTTTCACGGTTGGGACAATACTAACAAAGTAATTAGAAAAGAACTTAACGGGAAAACTTGAGCAAATGTGTGTCGATGTAGATGCAGATCCAGAAAACACAGAGGAAGACAAATCATCAAGTGTTGCCAACGTTTTTCCAGTTACACTCTTAGCATCTTTCTTGTTGGTTTCGGTTGGAAATTTCCTTTGAATTAATTACAATTAAAGAAATTTGTACATTTGTAGATATTATTTCATGTTTTTGCCTATTCAATCGTGTAACATACTATTTATCGTATTTGATCGTATTACTGCTACACATAGGCACTCAATCCATAATAAATGTGTCTGTGGAAACATGAATTAATAAATCAATAATTATTGCAGTTAGGTACAAATGTAGATTTTCTTTTACCGAAGCATGACCAGAAATAAAACATCATGAGACGAGAAAAAGCATACCATTATACAAGGATATATAAGGATATATATATATATATAACATTAGTATAAACAATGCCAATGCATAGGTCATAGGTCAGTATCATATGATCATCTGTCAAACCAATTATCTTGGTATAGCACTGCAATAGGCTCTTTATTGGACCTGACGGGGCCCCAATGATGCATGTGATGTACAAACACATCAAAGTACATAAAATGCGGCTTTTAACCCCTTAGACTATTATCAACTAAAATGAAATTACTAACACTGCTTTCCCTCTGTAGTGCAGCATTCGCAGCTTCTTTAGGTACTCAGCATTCGTTAATGATCAGACAAGCAAGTGTTTCAGCCCAAGAGCTAATCGACAACCCACAATTAGAGACATGCTATGAGAATCAATGTGCACCTATTCGTGAAAAATTACAAAGTGATTGTCTCAGTATTTTAGAAAACTCAGATCCAGACAATATGGATGAAAAATCTTCCTTAGAATACAGTACCTGTATTTGTGATAGCTTTGACTATGTCCAGCAGAATTCTGATTGTGATAGTTGCATTCGGGAGAGTATGTCATAACTTTCACATTTCATAATGATTACTAACGAGGCTTAAAGATGATGGCGGAACAACAGATGAAGTTGGCCACTTTTGCACAGGTATCCGTTCACTTTCTGACGATGAAGATGTCTCATCGAGTATTTCAAACATTCCTCCAGCTAAATTTGTAGCTTCTTCTTGTTTGTTAGTAGCTGGTTTGAGCTTTCTTTAGTACATTTTAATAGATACTTGTACATTTTTTTATAATTAACTCGTTATTCTGATTTTTGAGAAAATGTGGTTTGAATATAAAGCCTGGACAGATGCTAGTAAATAATATATTATATAGTAATTCTTTTAATTAGAAGTAAGCATATGTAGATAATATTTATAAACGCATATGTGAATATAAATGACTGATGACCAAACGCCTTCATGAATGGATTTTTGAAATTGATTCTCAGAGCATAGTACACTATTCTGGGTATCTGAGCGGCTTTTATAATACCCTAGGAGTAAGTATGCTTGTTTCACTTACTTGAAGTGCGCCAATCTGTCCCTACCTTGAAATTTTCGCTGCAGCGTGGACGATATATGGTTGCTTTCGACGCTTTCAGTTTTGCTAATAGCCGAGGGCGTAATCGGTACGTATTAATGCGCTGAACATCATGAGACTTATTGATTATCCAAAGGAACGTGTCGACGGTTAAATTTTCACAAGAAACCTGAGACAGACATAGAAGGTGAAGAACCATAATACAAATAATAAATCAAAAGTACAAGTATCAAAATCAATCAGATGAATAGATGTCATGAGACCAATTGTGGATCAACACTGCTTTGACACTGCAGCGGTTCTTTTTTTTGTAGTCTTGTCAGGGTATTAACATAGCATATGAAAAATACTTAAGCAGGCGTACAGTTTACACTCCTCTTTAATTCAAACATCGACCAACTATAATGAAATTAGCAGTAGTTCTTTCACTCTCCACAGCGGCATTTGCAGCTTCTATTGGTTCACAAAAGCCTATTCTAGCCAGATATAGCTATCAAGACATTGGATCATTGCTCAAACAACCTGGTGTTTCGCACTGTGCCGAGAATCAGTGTAAACCAGTGGACGACAAAATACAAAATGAGTGTTCAAAGATTGTTGGGGACTTCGAAGCACCCGAAAATATAGACAGAGAACTTGCGCTAAAATACTCGTTCTGTGTTTGTGATGCTCTCGCTTATGCTAGAGCAGACTCACCATGTGGTGTTTGCCTCGATGAGGGTAGTAGGTCTTCCATATTCTCACTACAATATGTTCGTTAACAGCATACTTAGTTGAAGATACTACTGATGAGATCGAAACATTCTGCAAGCCGTCCTTTGAAAATCCAGAGCTTGGCAATGAGTATCGAGATTAAGTAGGTATGACGATGGTACGATAAGGACAAAAAACGTTTTTATCAAACATTGTTATATTTTTACTTTTGTCACTTGATAGTATACTAACTGACGATGTATTATCATTCTTCCTTTAACGACTTTGATGAATGTTGCATAATTATAGTGCCGTAAATCATTGGATTACATTGATGCGCCAATTATCTGTTTGTCGAATAAGTCTTGTAGATTTATACTAAGTTCTACTATCTTATTTGCAGCTTCACTTGACTCCCAGACAATGTTATTAGCTAGACATGTAGATCCATATTATAAGGATTCGATCAAAAGTCTATTATTGGAAGGCTACACTTTAACATTCACTGAGAAAATACGGGACATCCAACTTATCATCACAATTCATCCAGAGTCATGAACTTCCAATTTCCTTTTAGAGATGATGACATGTAGATCTTTCAGAAAAGTTTCAAGTAACAATCTTAAAGTATGTTTGATAAAATATTATAGTGCCGTTAATAAATTAGTTTCCTAACTTTTGCTGATTTGGAAAACATGTCAAGTTGTCTAGATGAAAATGTTCAGCTTTTGCTCCTGATAAATCTAATTGTATTTGGTATAATATTGTTGACAATACTGTGTATTTTTTAACCTAGTCAACTTTTTCGGACTCTCAACAGCAACTATCCGGAGCATTTCACGACAACAAACGATCTAGCAGTGGGTACTATTCGTGGCTTTCAACACGCATTGGCTTGGTTGGAACTATCTTGAAGATGGCAGCATCGTCAGACTTGTGCAATTTGGGTGAAGCTTCGAGAGTCCCCCCGTGCATCTGTCGACCTTGTCAACCAATTGTTAAAGATTTACAAGCAATTTGGTCATAGCGCTTAGTATTGTTGCGCGTTTAACTGTGAATCATCCTCGAAACAATATTATTACGGCATTTTAAATCAATCGGAAGTTATCACTGAGCGTCGACTGGTTGTCGAAGATAAAACACGCTTGATGAATCTCCTGCCATGGAATATTCTAATTTCCTTGTGGAATAATCAAGTATGTTTATCGAGGTTGTTTTAATAATGACGGAAAGTCTTAGCACTCTAATGTGATGTACTAAATAAAACACAATATCGATGATACCGACACTTTCTGTGTATTTGAGCTATAAAACCCCCAGGATAGTGAATTATAGTGTACTTGACAATATTTCTACCATGTAATGTGACGTAAATTACCTTTCATAGATATCGTAAATATTTCACTTGCTGTAGCAAATAGCGTCTACCTATTGACACCTCCAGCAATGTTAAATTATACATCCGGATATATACACCCACGAATAATATATCAATTGCGCTTCCGTCCGTTAAATTGGGTGATCAGATGATATCATTTAAGACTTCCTTATCCGTTAAAGCCGTTGAATCTGTTCATCATGAGAGGAGAAGGAATAGTAAATTCAAGTTTAGATTTAATAGGTAATACGCCTCTAGTTAATCTGGGAAAGATCACAGAGGAGAATAATCTGAAATGCACTCTGCGTACGTTGTTTCACAACAGTAGAGGAGACGGACTGATGTTGCCACAGTTGGGAAAGTAGAGGCCTTCTCAGCAGGCGGAAGTGTGAAGGATAGGATAGCACTGCGTATGATACTCGAAGCAGAAAAAGAGGGACGTCTAATCAGGGGTGTATCAACCATTATTGAACCCACATCAGGTAATACAGGTATAGGACTCTGTTTGGCGGCAGCAAGACTTGGTTATAAAGTAATAATTACTCTACCAGAAAAGATGTCACTCGAGAAAGAGAGAATGATGACTGCACTCGGCGCGAGGATTATTAGAACACCTACAGACGCACCCTCAGAATCTGCAGACTCTAATATAGGTGTAGCCAGACGACTAGTTCATGAAATAGAAAACGCGGTCATGCTGGATCAATATAGCAACATCAATAACGCTCTCGCGCATGAGAAAGGCACTGCCGTCGAGATAATCCGTGATATTCAAGCCACCAGAGGTGAAAACGCGATTGCAGATGTTTTGTTCGCGGGTGTAGGTACAGGGGGGACTATAACAGGCTTAGCACGCGGATTAAGGAAGCATAATAAGTCTCAAAACGCCAAAAATGATTACAAAGATGGCTTGCTTGTCGTAGGTGTAGATCCCGTTGGTAGTAGTCTCGCGTTGCCCGCATCCCTCAACAGAATTGAAGACGGACAATCAGCTTCTTATGCCATCGAAGGTATTGGATATGATTTTATACCTGCTGGTTTAGACAGAAATGAAGTCGATTATTGGATAAAGACTTCAGATGATGAGTCATTCGATTGCGCACACCAGCTCATACGTTCTGAGGGTTTACTCATTGGCGGTTCAGCTGGGGGCTGCTTGGCAGGTGCATTGAAGTATTTGCGAACAACTGAAGAAGGAAGGAAGATATCTCAAGACCCAAGTAAGACTGTCGTATTGATATTCGCAGACTCAATACGCAACTACATAACAAAAGACTGGATACTAAATTAAACCATCTATTTGATTGTAACTTTTTGCATGAATTAATTTCAATAATTTTAGAACTATTGTTTTGGTTAAAATTAAGTTTGCAAAATGTCTCTAACACACCTTAGACAAATCTCTACCCCAAATACCTCTCTTAATCCAGTCTATCATAACAAGTGCTCTTGTACGGTTTGATACCTGCTCTGACCAGTAAATTGATCTCCAGAGGTATAAACTAATAAGACCACCAGCGAATGATAAGTCTGGTGAACCGAAATCGAATACAGCTGAGTTACCAATGTATGCCAAGCTACCCAAGTGTCTGTAACTAAATGGAACTGCGACAACCTCATCATCCACATCGCCAGCTTCATTAACCATATCAGTTCCAGTTAATCTGTCTCTTGCTGTGGCCAACTTGGAGAGCTTCTTACCAAGATATTTACCCTCTTGTGAAGCAACCTGTGCAGTGGCAGGAAGCGAAACAATCTTTGAGGAGATTTCTGAGAATAAGCTTGCCAATTCGTTTAAGTCTAAGACATTATCTTGGTCTTTATCATATTGTTGGAATATCTTCCTAATTTTTTGTAAGTGTGCCTTCGCGAGTGGGAATCTATGGCGAAGTTTCTGTGACATAATTTCAAATTCTTCAAAGTCAATCTTTCCATCTTGATCTTTATCGCAGTCGTCGACGAGATCCAAGAGGGCATCGAGGAGGTTGTTGTCGACGGTTGCGTTATCACCGATAGCATAGACTGTACCTTGTGGTGCGCCCTTGACTCTCATATGTGAGTCAACGATGATAGCCTACGTATGGTTTTAGAGACTCGTAAGCATAATTCTAGAATACTCACCTTGCTGTGAAATTGATTAGGAAGTTGCTCACAGACGCGCTTAGCGAATGGATTCATACCTATAGTTGATTAGTTAGTGTCTCATAGTAAGATCATCACCAACCTAAACCGGTAGACCACAGGATAAAGCCAGATGGGATCTCATGCTCGACCTTTTCTCCCTTATCTGTCTTCAACGTGTACATCATTCTATCCTTCTCTACACGACTGACACGTGCATTCAGAATAACATCGATCTCATCCTTAGCGAACTTCTTCTCAGCGTATTCGGAGATCTTTTCAGAGTAAGTGTTAAGAATGTGATCACGGGATTGTATAACATGAACGCTGATCTAGTGGGGGGTTACGTCAGAAACGAGAAAAAAAAAATTGCTGTGACCACTCACTTCCTTACGAAGTAACTTTGGGAAGTACTTGCCGACCTCTTCGTTGAGTACATCGAAGATTTCAGCAGCCATTTCGATACCAGTAGGACCACCACCGCAGATGACGAAACTAAGCAAACGTTTGCGCTCTTCTTGTGACGTAGTTGGCAAAGCAGCCGCTTCGAGGTTTTGCATGATAGTACGTCTAATTCTAAGTACGTCACCAACAGTCTTGAGTTGGTAGCAGTGTTCAAGACCAGGAACACCATGACTGGCAGTGTTGGCACCTACTGCTATAACAACTTTATCGTATGGTACGTAAAATTGATCAACTGAACCGTCCGGACGTTTTGAATGTACTTCAATAAGACGGTTACCCATGTCTATGTCTGCAGCTGCACCTGAAATGTAGTGTCCTCTGAGGCGTGCAACGAGCTTCCTCAATGGTTCGACCAAGGATCTAATTTCAACTGTGCCGACTGCAGCGGAAGGGAGCAATGGCGTAAAGAGCGTGTGGTTTGCTGGACTGATAACTGTGACTTTATAATCACCATGTTCCAATTCCTTCAAAACACCAATACCACCCCATCCATTTCCGATGATGACTAAATGAGGCTTCTTCGAGATCGATTGAGCCTCTGGATCCTCCTCATCATCCATGAATACGTTCGTTATAGGCAGGTTCTTTTTACCACCTGTCTGTGGAGCGAGTGAGAGTGGATTAACGTGTACTTTATCAACGTTTGAACCCTTATCTATTGATCTTGTGTTAAATAGTATCCTCTCAGAGAAATGGACCACTCACATGTCATTGCATCGTGTGCGAATATAATCTATTAAAAGCCGATTGATAAGAGATCGCAGAGGAAATATAATTGATAAACTTACAGTAATGAAGGCTGATATACCAAAAACTATAGAACCACCTGCAAATGCAGCGTATTTAGCTGGTTTCACGACGAACCTTCTCCAAAGTTGGTCGGATGGGTTGGGAGAGCTAGCTGTTGATTGGTAGCGTATCTGCTGTCTCAATATACCCGTCCTAGATACAGTCCTCGCAGTTCTATAATAATTCCTTGCTATCATTTCGGTCTTGATTGTATCTTTGAAATGACAGTCCTCCGAAAGATCCAAAACGGTGACGTATTCAATTTTTTTGGTTTATCGCATTATTTTTATTCTATAGCTCTGAAGCTCAGTCACCGCTTATGTCGGAGCTTGCATAAATCCCGCTCCTGGATTACCCCCCTCTTAGCCGAATATAGCCATGTTTATCAATAATGCATTATAAGTTTACAGGATTTTTCGTCAATTTGTATGCAAGCAGTTGTTAGTAATTTAAAGTATTTTAAACTTTTTTTTAGAATTTCCAATCTGGTGTCGTTTCCATAGCCCAAGTGAACTTCGTCAAGAGCGTCTTAGCGAAGACCTTCTCTACTGGAACGTCATATTCCTTACACCAAGCAACTGTTATACGTGGATCGATATAGTTGATCTTCGATGTACCGAGTGAAACATCCTTAATTTCATCCTTGTTGGATGCGTTCACTCTGAACGCTTCGAGACGATCTTCGATCTTTTGCATGGAAGTCAAGAGATTCGATTCAGACTTCTTTCCGACGTCAGGCTTGCCACTTCTGCGTTCATTTTGTATAGTTTTCCACTTTTCATCGACATCATTCAATCTATCATCGAGTTCTTGTGGTTTCATCTCTTTTTGGTCTTCAGATCGAAGCTTTTCGTTATCTAGAGATTCAGTCAGAAGAAATCTTTTCCAAACTGAATACCTACCTCTTTCAAATTTCTTTCTTTGTCTCTCTTTGTCTTTTTCACGTTCGTTATCTTCATGAGCATCCATCCATTCATCGTCAAGGTCAGATTCCTCTTCCTTAAACTTTGGATTTTCCTTCCATACTTTCTTGTCCTCAACTACTTGTTCAAGCATTTGACGTATCTTCCTGCGTTGATATTTTATAGCTTTGAGTCTATCACCCATTTTGTCCATTGCAGCACCATGGGTTTTTGAAACGTTTTTCTGGTGGTTACAGAGAATTGCAACATTCCTATTAGCTCTGTTGAACGCCAATAACTTTTCAGCGACGGTACCCTCCTTTGGTGTATTCTGAAGCTCTTCTTGGAAAGTAATTGAAGCATTGTAAGTACGGAAAACCTTTGCTGATAATCCTTTCATGAATTTACCGAAATATTTGTTAAGAACCGTTGTTTGAATTCTATCAAAAATTGGATCTTGAGGACCCTTTGGCTCTTTCTTGAAAATGCGTAAATTCTTGAAAACTTGGGGCGAAACTTCAATATCCTCTTGATAGAATCTAACACTGTCTTTACCAAGGAAATCAAAGGTGACAAGGTTTGGTGGTCTTAACATAACGTGTTCACATCTCAAAGAACAACAACCGACGGTGTCAGCTTCATCTTCACCTTTTTCATTACCAGCACGAAGTGCGAGTCTATCGACGAGGTAGACGGCAGTAGCTCTCTGTCTGTCGTACATGACCTTGTTGTTAAGGTCAGCCTCGTAATCTTCCCGAATTCGTCCTATATGTTGCTAAACAGGTTGTTAGATGGGTCTCATTAAATAATCACCACTAACTTTTAGCTCTCTGGCTTTTTCGAACTTGCTCATATCACTTTGACCTTTTAAGGTACTACCAGGAGCGAGATAGACATATTTGTAATTTCCATTGATATTCTCCTTCCACATTGCCAACCAAGTGACAGTATTGTCATGTTGAACGCTTCCCCATTTTCTACCTGATGGTGCCTCAGGTACTTTAGCGCCTTCGCCGATATTGATAGTAATTTGTTCAGGCTTTATGCGCAACTTCAGTTTACCCTTCCTTGGGTGAGCACCACGTCCTCTAAAGAGTGAAGGTGGTTCAATGCGGAAGTTACCAACCTTCTCTTTACGACCGTCCAACAAGCAATGAGTGAATGGTTTCTCAATCTCTTCACGTTGTTCCTTAGCGGCTTTCTTTTCATCTCTTGTCATTGCTTTCTTCTTCTCCTTCTCTTGGTCTAAGTAGTCTTTGATCGGTTGGAAGTCACACTTTTCGAACTCTTGAATCTTTGTGCCATCGAGCTGAGATAGTGTGAGTCTATTGTAAGTTGACTTGTATGGTACTCACAGGTGGGTGTTTACGCAGAATGTCCAAGAAATCATTGAAAAAGTTTTTGTTAAAGACTTGGTCTGCAGCGTGGTCTGAACCAAGGACAGCGGCGTAGAAGCCTGCGACTTCTTCAGCTTCCAAGGAAAGTTCAACATTCTTGCCTTTTATGGAAAGTCAGAAAAATACCGTAAATGATAAGATAGACATACCATCATACTTCATTCGAACCTCCTTTGGTAGAGGGACGTACTCTGGTGGGAAGAAAACACCGTTGTGCTCCAAAGTTGTCCATCTCTGTGTGCCATCACCGAGTGTGTCTTGTTGAACCCACCATTTGTAGTCGTCCTCCTCGTCTGGTTCTTGTTTTGGTGTGTCAGTTGCGTCATTTTCAGACTAGATTGTTAGTAAATTTGCAAGATAGCTAGTAAACAACAAACCTTCAGTTTTGAAGGGGACGCAGGCGTTTGTGACATTGGAGTTTTAGGTGTTTGTGACTTCTTTGGCGTCTTTGAAGGCGCCTTCTTGGGTTGCTTAACAGGAGAAGGCTCTTCAGATTTAATAGAAGGCTCCTGCTTGAGAGCTGGTAGGTCACCATTCGTGGGTTTCTCTTTATTATTGCTATCTCCGTCATCCTGGTTTCTATCAAGATAATTATTATCTAAATCGCTTAATTCGCTATCGCTATCTGAGCCAATATTTTGTTTAGCTTTCTTTGGCTTGTTTTCTAAGTCATCTCTCGCTGTCCTCTTTAGATTACGTGACATGATGGACGTTAGAAGTAAACATGTAGATAGCCATTATGATGACATTTTAGGCCTTGAATAATAAATTTTACTATATTTATCGTCTTCATCTCTCCTTATAAATTGATATCTCCCTTCATCTCCCCCTACGATGGCACCAGTATCGATATTCAAGAAACCAGGTGCACAGAAATTTCAATTAGTGCACAAATCGCAGTCTGATAAAGATAGGGATCCTAATGATGATAAAGGCGTTCTCAAACAAATTGATAAGAAGACAGTCAAACCTGGCGATGCAGCAAACTTTGGTATTTATTACGATGATAGGGAATACGATTATACGCAGCATTTGCGTACTATCGGTGGACAAGACGCTTTCGGTCAGGAGTTAGATAGTGTCCTCATAACTGCTCCTGATCCTAAAGCTGAGAAAAAATCTTTCATCCTAAGGCAGCAGCAGGAGAAGGACGCACAGGATGAAGCTATAAAGAGAGCTTATGAAAACCAAGCGTCTATTCCTTTAGAGTTACAAGGTTTTAATCCTGATATGGACCCTGCACTCAGACAGACTTTGGAGGCACTCGATGATGAAGCTTATCTCGAAGACCTTAATGAGGAGGAGCTAGACGAGGAGGACGATGACAATGAGTGGTTTGACGACCTCCTCGGTGACGGTCTTAGAGGCAAAGATGAAGTTATCGATTTCGGTCCAGACGAGGAGGAAGACCCTGCGATTACTGCTCGTAAAGAGAGAGAAAGACAAGAATACGAGACTGCAAAAGCTAATGGCGAAGATTTGTCTCAATTCCATACAGAAGATTGGATGCAGAAATTCAGAGAATTCAAGTTAGCATCAAAAGATCAACCTTCACCACCTGCCTCGGACGATTTACCATCCGATGAAGACGAGTTCGAAGAAATGAGTGATTACCATTCGGAAGGCGCAGACACCGTTGGTTCACTCAGAACAGGTATTGGTGCTGCAAGAACGAGAAGAAAACTTCGTAAAGCTGGCTCAGACGCTAGTGGATACTCTATGTCAAGTAGTTCTATGTTCCGTAATGATGGTTTACAATCTCTTGATGCTCAATTCGACAGAGTGAGTGGTTATCTTCTTTAGTAATCTTATTGCTCACTATATCACAGATTGAAGAAGAATACAACAGCGAAGAGGATGAGGATGAGGAGGAAGATGAAGAGGAAGGCTTTGATCCAACAAGCGATCTTAATGTGCACTCAAGAGAAGACTTTGACTCCATCTTGGATGAGTTCCTCGATAAGTATGAAGTTGTTGGTGGAAGAGTCCAGCAAAAATTGGAAGGTGACACTCCAGCTGAGAAACTCCAAACGATGAGACTTGCAATGGCAGATCTCGCACCAAAGGGCGATCAAATTAAGAAATACGAAGACGCAGCATCAAAACGTATCACTTCAGCGTATAGGATAGCTACAGGTGAAGAAGAAGACGATAATAGCAACATTCCAATGCCATTTGATGTTGATGCAAAGGAGGACAGAATGGATGCGCAGACGATTTTAACAACGTATACCAACACTGAGAACCACCCAACAAAGATCCGTTCTCAGGATCTTCTCAGTGGGAGAAAGAAGGAGAAAAAGGAAGGACCAGTGAGACATGTAGCTTTTGCTGAGAAAGAGGATGTTGCGCCTGTCAGAAAGGTACAAATCGTCGTCGATCCAAAGACTGGATTCCCTATGGAGATTGGGGAAGACGGAGAAGTAGAAGATGAAGAAAGCGAAGAAGAAGAGGAAGCAGCTCGCCGTCCTAAAAAGCAAACAGTTTCACGGAATAGAAACGAATCCAAAGAGGAAAAGAAAGCACGTAAGCAGGCAGCCAAGACAGACAAGCAAAACAGGAAAGTTGAAAAGAAGGAAACTAAGGAGGCATTCGCTAATGAGCGCAAGAGTCAGATTTCTAAGACAGCGAACGCTAAGCAAAGCCAAGATGTCACAGCCAGTATGAAATTGTAATAAACTATTCTATAGACGTATAATACATTGCATTTTTTATTACTTGTTTTTCTTCTTCGGGAGCGGGATTCTTAAGTCAGAAGGATCTGGTAGACTTTGATTCTCTCTTGGGTCTAGTATGCTGTCGAGAACGTAATGTTTGCGTCTAGATAATGGTCTGCAAGCTTTCACGATAACTGAGTTGCCTTCTTCCATGGCGTTTGTAGGATCGTGTACGAGTAATTTTGTAGTGCGGGTGACTAACTGAGAGTATTTATTAATAAAAGACTATATATGTACTATAAAACGTACTTTACTAGTCAATGGATGCTCAACCTGTCTATCCACAGAAACTGTCGCAGTTTTGTCCATTTTTCCTACTTTTGTGACGCTACCACGGAGAACTCTAGCTGCACCGCCTATTGCGCCTTTAGTAGCAACTTTTGGCGCCACAGATTGGGCTGCTGCTGCCACTCTCGATAACGACATCTTGGCTGTATTGTAGAGAGAGCGAAATCTGATAGAAGATTGTAGTTTAGTTTATTGAGAAGATTTATTAATACGACATTCATCAGTTACTAGATTTCCTCCCTGTGGAGTATTCTCTTACAACAACGATGATGTTCAATATTGCAAGAGTATTCAGTAGAGCAAACAAGCCTTTACAACTGTCTACTATTAGTACATCCTCGAGAGTACTCTCAAAGACACAAGACAAAGGCGTAGGCGTACAAGAGCAATCAACCCCAGGTGGTCCTTCCCCAGACGAAATTGCCCAATCAGACTCTGCCTACGATCCCTCCAAACCAGATCCTACCTCCTCAGCTGAAGGTGTCGAGCAGGAAGTGAGTTTCTCGCTCAACTTATGACATCATCTAATCCAACAAAGACAGGAAAGCCATTTGCAGGGGGAACAACAGCGGCAAATCCAAAGGGAAGCCCTGTAGCTAGCAAATTAGGCGATAAGAATGCTAAGCAGAGTGGAAACACACTCTCTGGTGGCAGACCCCATTTGGATTCAACAAAAAAGTCTAGCTAATGTATAAACACTTTACAAGAGGGCAAAATTAATGATTTAATGATTAAAGTTAAAGTTTGATAAAACTAATTGATAGAACTTTGATAATCCGTTATTTCCATTTATGTTGTCTCAGTAGTACTGCTTAACACGATCAACGAAGCCCTGCCAGAGGCCTTTGCCTCGATCTAGTCATATAGGTGGTGCACCTGGTGGAGCGCCTGGTGGTACAGACTGTCTTCCATTCCCTGCTGCCTGGCTAAGAGGGTGTATATCCGGTCCTAGTGGCGCTTGTGCACTTCGTACACTTGGTGATGGAGGGAATGGTAATGCAGACATGGTCGGTGATCTAGCAGCAGCCTCGCTAATTGGATGTACTGGTTGTATTGGTGGCATACCTCTATACGCCGTACCTTCTGACATCCTTGGCGAACCCATGACTGATTCTGGTAAGGGTATGTTACTTGCGTGTCGAGGTGTGTGCATCATTGAAGGCGCGCGCTGAATACCCAATCCTGTACCAGTGCTACCTAGATGCGGGTGTTGATACATCGAAGAGCCAGGTCTGCTGTGAGGTAATGGTATACCTGCAGGATCACCAAATGATTGAAGAGATGGGTTGCGGTGATGATGACTATGAGGATGGCTGTTTGGATGGCTATGTGGAAGGCTATGATGATGGCTGTGGTGACCTGTTTGATGTGTGTAATTCGATCCACCGTAAACAGATTCTGGGAGCGGCACACCAGCTGGATCCAAGCGTGGCATTGGCGTACCTTTCAAAGAAGGCGGTTGGAGATTGATCTCCGGTACGGGTGTGGCACCTCTGCTTACACCACCTAATCCTCCAGGTGGTATAGGTGTATGGACTCTGCTTATGCCCCCGCCGTTCAATCCTAAAGCTGATCGAGGACCCATTTCATTTTGTATTTCAATCCCCGTTTCTTGTCCTGGTTCGACGATAACGGGATTATATGGTTGTCCTGCTGGTCTTCCTCCTCCAGTTTCATAGGGATGTATGGGTTCAGGAACGTTTCCTCCTTGCTGAGTGGCTGAGTAGGAGGGACGCCGATAATAATCGCCGTCGCTTTGTCCCAGAGCAGCGAGGTTCTCTGGTTGCGACGGCTGGTTAACAACACCCAATGGTGGTTGTGATGACTCTACGATAGGACTTCCATTCGCTTGTATACTTGGAGGTGGCTGAACTGATGGCGCATCTGTCATCGTTGGCGGTCTCCGCGGCCATCCCGGTGGTTCGTAGTAGTTTTGCAATCCTTCAGCACGTTCTGGACGTGGTGCTCTATATGGACCCAATCGTGGATCTGGGACTGTCGAGGGCGGATAGATTGACATTTGATCGGGACCTCCAGGTGAGCTGTGATGAGGTGAATGTCCACCAGCTGGTCCATATGGTCCAGCTTGTAAGTGATCATTCATCATTGCAGGTGGTTGCTGATATTGCTGTGGCTGACTATGATGGTGTTGGTGTTGAGTGTAGGAGTGCCTATGACTTGGCCTGCGACGCGGTTCATAAAGCGAGTTAGCGCGTGAGTGACCATTCTCCATACGTGGAGATGTCGCAGTGTGTGTAGATGGTGCTTGGGTACTTGGCGAACGATGGTGCTGTGGTATGTGATGTCTCGCCCCATTTGGATTAGACACCACGGCAGCATTCGCAGCAGCCAAAGCTTTCCTCTCACGCTCTCGATCTTTCTCCTTACGCCTCTTCTCGCGCTCTTGGTTACGTCCCCTGCGTTCAGCTTCCTGAGTTTCGTTAGTAATTTTCACAAGCAGATAAAAGGCAACATACAACAATATCCGCTTTGTGTGCTCTCTGACGTAAAAATAAGACCTCTTCTTCCGCATCGTCGAGATCAATCTGGAGTTGCCTAATCATATCACCCGCGTGAGCCAGCTCACGATGTCTCTCACCGTCTCTGTATCTATATCCTTCGATGCGGCGTGTTTCATTAGCTGCCGCGATCTCTGCTTCCTTCCTTGCCTGTGCTAGCGCTAATCCACGCGCTTCTGCATCGCGGAGAGCTTCCTGGAGACCCTTGAGCGTTGCCTCGTCTGATTCCTTGCCTTGCACTGCATCTTGAAGTTTACGTTGTAGTTTCGTGATTACTTTACGCATCTCGTTTTCTGATTCTTCGGCCGTACCGACAATCTCGAGCAACTCTCTCTCCATTTGTGAGGACTCGCGACGACGGTCGGCTTCTTGAGTGACGTATGGTGCCATGTGTGGAGGTATATCATGGTCATGGACGATGTGGTCGTGATGTATGACATGTTCATGGACAGGAGAGTGATTGTGTGAATGATCGTGGTGTGAATGTCCGTTTTGTGGTTGATCGTGGTGTAAGTAATCGTGGTGTGAGTGATCATAGTGATGGTTATAATCATGATGAGGATCATGAGAATGCGACGATCCTCCATTCGAGTTGTGAGAAGGTGCATGCGAGCGTTGATGCGAAGGCGCGTACGAATGGCGTGAAGGAGCACGTGAGGGTCCTAAATTGGATGCCATACGTGAAGGAGCACGACTATGAGCTTGAGAAGGCGCATGCGACCCATTATCATGGTGATGGTGATGATGTATGGTTATATGCTCGACATGGTCTCCAGGATGCTCGTTGGAATGCTCATGTTGATGTTCATGTGCGTTCTCCACAATAACAGGTATTTCAGGCTGAACAGGAGAAGCTTCCTCTATCTCCGCATGATGTGAGTGGTGTATCGAAGGAACATAATTCTTAATACTTCTAGGACCACCATGGAGGCTCCTAGGGATTGGCTCGGCGGTAGGGGCCACAGATGCTGCCCGAACAGTGCCCATCCCATCATGATCCGCGGCATCACCAAAATTTCCGAGATTTGGACCAGTTCCTTCAGTAACTAGAGCTTCCAAACGAGCTCTCAATTCGGAGAGCTTGCTGTCCCCAGCGCGCTCGTGCTCTTCAGGAGCCTCAGTCAGTAACTCCGAACGCAAGCTTGGTTCATCGTGAGGTCTCTCCTGGACGATTGAAGGCGCGTAAACTGTTCCCGTACGCGACTTTGATTTGAGGTCCTTGATTGTCGCTTCGCTATGGCATCCAGTTAGCTGATAAGATCCCCAACGAAAGTAACACTCACTCGACCGGCGAAGGAATTTTCGACTTATTACCAACACTAGTATCTATCGAATACACATTACTGTTCTCTCGTAAAACTTCCATTCTGCTTGGCGTATTCCTGTGTGACTTGCGAGTCTGATTGGATTTCACCGATTTCGGCGCAGGCGGTGTCCTATGTGAGCCCCTGGCACTACCCGCATTGCTCAATGCTGGAGGTAGTGTCTTGCTTTTGTTTGAATAGGTTGACATCCAATCGTGATGGTCTATGTTGAAGTAGCTTCTATCTCAAGCGCGATGTGATTTAATCGTTGAAAATATATCAAAAGTTCTTAATTTGGGCACTGTCTAGATTTTCTATTACGAATCGGTCAATTTATTAGCTTTGTTTTGCTTTCGTCTCACTTTGCTCCACGGTATCATCACATCGAGTGTCTTGCCGCACAGGGGCTACTACGCGGAGCAGCATGCTGTGCATAATTAGATTCACTTTATATTTACATGTTTCTTTAAAATAACACCATTAATAGATATCCATGCAGACTGATGTGATCGATTTCAGAGTTCGAAAGTTTTCATAGTATGTAAACTGGCTTGAACTGCTGTGCACCCCTGGCTTTCACATACCTAAGCCATCTTTTCTTCATTCGCCTTGACGAACAACATTTTCCGACTTCCAATACGCACAGTGCTCAGTTGATATTATATATAAGTAAGGCTATTTTAACTCGGAATAATTTCTTAGGCTTCCGAGTTGAATCTAATCTTGCTATGATTTTTGCTATGCCATTGTTCTGAATGAAACAGGGATCAAGTTACATCATTTTCACGGCTAAATTGCATGCATAAATCAGACTCATTTGCTTTGGAGAGCAATATACACCATTTTAATGCCTACGGTGTTCTCCTAAACTTGGTGAATGAAAACTTGCACTTAGATATCGATATACATTTGAAGTACTGATCATTACAATGTTTTTTTTCTTTTAAAAAAAAATCTCTTCAAAATCACAAAATCCAAACAGAGCCCGCAATGGTGAATGTGCCATACGGCATCACTTCAAAATCATCTCTGACTCCTCGAAATCTAGATGCAATTAATATCAAAAGCCCAATTCATTTCATATAAGCGTAGCTTACCATCTAAGGCAATTAATTGGTTTCCTCATTGTTAATCACCGAGTGATAACAATCCAATTTATTATACTGATGCAATAATGAACCAAATCATCCGCAACTATGCCAAATACATTTCAAAAAGTTACTAATTATTCTTAATGATTATTGTGATGATGATGATGAAATCTGAATATATCGTTAAGACGATACAAAATTTAGCTGCGTCCATCAATATTCCTTATAATGAGAAGTTGATTGGTGCATCGAATTGACGATAGCTACTCGCTTCTCGGTATGACTTCTTATTCGGCTTTGGAATGACAATACATGTCGCTTCTTTGAAACATTTGGGTAATGTCCAAGGTGCATGGAGCTATTCGCTATCTTTATCAATATGGGTTCTATTATCTGTGTGAAACCTTTATGGCAAAGACCGGGGTATTATCTGGTCATGCCGCTTTCTCAACTTTCTGTTTACCCATAGCCACTGTCATGTCCAATTTGTGATTCGATGATGTCAGGATACCGATACAGGGTGAACACACAAAATCATTCATTAACTAGGATGGAAGGAGCAAGGTGTTATATTAGACAAAAGGGGAACACTGCGACGCAGTGGGGAAAATAGGACAGCAAGAGGATGACAAGGAATATGCGGACAGTGAAGACTATATGAGAAGACCATATTGCACAAAAACAACAACCTTGAATGATCACAACATAATATGTATATATATATAACGAAACATATTATTTCCTTTTCTTTTTTTTTAAAAAAAACAACTTTATATAAGGACCCCACCTGCTGCTTATCTTCTTGTATCAACATTTATATAGTATGCTTAGAATTGGGATGATTTTATTCGTCGCCATTATATCTATTGCTCTGGCCTACCAAGCCAGTACAGACATGGTCACCTTAGGAGGAGGAGCCTTTGCAGGGGGATTTTTTGCTGTAGTTGATAGATGTACTCGGCGTAATGGAGTAATTAATGGCAGAGAATGTTTACAAGCAGTACTCTTTGAAATACTTATAGCAGCTATTTATGGTATAGGCAGGTATGGCCAAGAAACAGGTGCCTTCAAGAGAGAATCATATGAAGTAAATAAAGGATTTTCATCAATGACCACGCTGCCTATTTCTGTTTTAGAGGACTACGAGAGGACATCACCAGAAAACAGAATTAAATTTGGTTCTTTTTCAGTGGCTGATGTGGAAGGCAGTGAGCAGTGGGAAAGTTATGAAGATGATAGTGTTTTTCATGTTTTCAATGTTAAAGATGAAGAAAGTCCTTATGGACATCACCCTGCGGTTATACATCGATTTTATAGTGAAACCAGGACCCATGAGGTATCTTCCCTTAATTATTTAATGGAAGAAGGGGTGAAGAGACAGATAGGTAATAATGATCGTTGGGTTTATTCTTATGCAGCCAACAGCCAGAGCTTTGGTCTCAACCAAGAGCATTATCCTAATGTACCTGTTGATACCATAGAACAGATGTCTTACGACCTGTTAGGACGTCTAGATGAATTAGGTGCTGATAATATACGCATTGATATCAACGGTCAATTAGGTAAGTGGGGCAAACTCCAGGTAGCTAATGGGGATACCCAAGGAGGTATAGGACCAACCCAGTGCGAATCCTACTACAATAATGACTATGCGGATGGTAATAGGTGGCATTACACATATCAAGTGCATGATGAGTTGTAAAAGAATAATTTGTTGTATGTCATCACATCTATATTCGTATAGAGCTGGCTTAATATATGATAAAATATTAAGAATCATAGAAAATTCTTTCATGCTACAGAACTATTAAATAAGAGGACCAATGTCCAGAAGAAAACGAAATGGAGATAGACCAAAACTGTATACTCACACGCAGAAATTATCAATAATCAGCACACATTTAAGAAAAGAAACAAAAGATTATGGAATATGTTAACATTGTCGATCTCAACCGACATTTTCAAATCCATCGATATAGATTATGAGACACGCATAGCTACCAACGTATACAAAAGCATATGTAACCTCTTCGAACCAGAGGGAAACTTGGAACAACTGCAAGTAAAATTCCTCAGTAAAACGTTAACTTATGGAGAAAACGCACAAAAATTTCATGGTTTTAGGAGTTCTATCATATGAGTTATTCTATAATTTCTCCAGTATTTTGGTTTACTACATTTTTTGTTGTCCTTTTTCAATTTTTGAAGTTTATAATCCCCTATCAAAACTCTTCATTTTCTTCGGCTTTACACTATTTACTAGTGAACGTAGCCTTTGCCAGCACTTCCAATATCATAATTTTCACAATGAGGGATATAGAAATTAAGTCAGGATTGTCATGTTTTATAATAAAATGGATAGCGGTTTGCTGCAAGAAACACCATCATTGCGAGATCCTCAAGTAAAGTCAATAGCGTAAAAATGAAGAGTTTGTTCATTGAAATATTAAAACATTTTTCAGATTGTGTTCATTTTTCACATGAAATATGGTTCTGGTGCCTCAAGTTACAACTAAATTTTCGACAAGGACTCATTAAAGTGTGATAAAAAAGACCCTAAAGCTACTCGGCTAATCGAATCCATCCTAAAACGGTCTTTAACATGTTTGTTACCATATATTAGCACGGAAACGTCGGGTGTTTCACATTAGTTTGTTATTAATTTCTTGCTATTCACCGCATTAATCGCAATTATGCCCGCCATTCAAAGTATTTGGAAGAATATTTCTAGCAATAATCTACAAATACCAACAATAAGCTACTTCAGGTGACGTTTTCTCCACTTTTGCGTCTCATGTCATCAATGGAATCTTAACTACTTATTTACTAGCCTAACAGATGTATGACAAATAAGCTTTATCCAATCTGATTCTTTCACGCGCTCTAGCAAGCCCTACTTTGTTGTGATTCCTATAGTGGTGCCGAAATACAGTGTCAAATTATTTGTTAGGTGCGAAACCAGCTTAATAACCACGAACGTTGGCATCAGAAGTAAAAATGAAACAATGAAAATGACAATGAGATACAAAATTGCGAGAAAATGATCAATAAACAATCCGTATACCAAAGTAACAAAATACTTCCTAAATAAACTAACCAAAAAAGTTTACTCCTTAAATGAATTGCATCTATCCAAAGAAAGAAAAATTCCTAAGAAATTGGTGGTAATCTCAATTCTTCAAATTTGGGACACATTCACCTTGAGTGTCAGTCGAAATAGCATAACTGCTTACGCCTCTATAGTCCTTGGCGTACCATATATCTCTACCAATGCAACTGTAATCCAAATCTCTTGTTTGCGGGCCGTGACTAACAGGCTCTGCAATGTTATCAAAAAGTGTAGCATACTGTTCTTCATCTATGATAATACTATCAGATCCATCATTAATTATACCAGAATTGATGGCAAAATCGCTAGAAGGAAATGGATTGTCATTGGTAGGCTCATAATTAGGCTCATAATTGGGCCAAATTGTACCTCCTATTCCAAGTGTATCTGCCATTCTCCAAGCCATTGTACCTATTTGATCAGGGGTACAATCTATATGTGTGATGGGATAAGAGAAGGCAAATTTCGTTACAACAACCATCTGCCTAGTTGTGAGGCCATAACCCCTAATATAACCTCTCACGTTGGACAAAAGAAATGACCTTGTAACTTCATTGAAATCCAACCCGTCCACGTGGAAGTATTGTCTCATCATACATGTAAAATTGGTTGCTAATTCAGTTGTTATATACTCGTCTCCTACTGTTTCCAAAGCATCAGCAAGTTCGAAATTATTAATCAAAGTATCTATGTCCAGATAACTGACAAAACTAGTTCACCGAGTCCGAACGCCCCTGGAACGTATCTCCAAGCTATCCATGAGGAGGCGAGTTACCTGATTGTCTCTTCTCAATTTTAATACCACGTATCACTTGCACAGGGCCTTTAACGTCATCTAGAGTAAAATTCTCGTTGCTTCGCGTCCCAGCTTGGATATGAAGAGGATATCGTTATCGACACTTTTTGACTACCAAGAATACTCAACATAGTGAAATATGTGTTGAGTTTGGGTTTGCTCTATCACACTTTTAATGTGTTCCCATCTATGGAAACTATCTGAACCGCTGCACCATTCCCAACAATTATCAGGACGAGTAGTGCCAAGATGTAAGCTAACAAGTAAGCTGTTTATCTGTGATATTTCATTTCCTGTGTTACCAAACTGCTTCAAAGTGGATTCCTTGTAAGTGGGGGCTAAAAGTCTAAACTTAAATCGAGTAGGGGTTTGTCTAACAAATTCAATTATGTAATGCACTTTGAATAAACTTCACAATAGTTATGCTGTTTGAAGGTAAATAAAAGCGACAGAATTATAGTTATGCGTTGCTCATGTGAGATCTTCTCACATCACGTGAAATAGACAGGTACCACCCTCTAAAGTTAAATAATCCATGCGATCAGCTTAATAACAACTTGAGGAGATATACATATCAAAAATAGATTGTTGCGTTGATCTAGAGCTATAAATAATCAAATGAGTTACTCAGGCTAGGTTGTTCAAAGGACGCGGCAAACGGCATCTAATCATAATAAGCGGACAGTCTGAATGACTATTCTGAGGCACCTATGCCTAAAAATTCTTTATACTATCTTTTTCATGATCTATTGATCTCAGAAGATACTATATTATATGGGGATGGTTATCTAACTTTTGCTTTTATACGACTTTAGGGGCCTACTTACGCGGATCTTCTTCGTCAAACTTTTGAACGATTACACTACCCAATCGTAGGTTGTATATAAAAAGGAATGGTGTGACTTTCGTAAGTGATGATAGACTTTTTTATGATTAAATGAAACATCCAAGTAGAATCCTAACAACCTGAGATACTGAAATGAATTGTGTTTGGAAAACAAGGATGTCATTCCTAGAAGGTGCAGTAGACTGTGCGGCGGACATGTAAAGATCTAGTAACATCGGCCTAGGAAGTACCCCGTAATGTCAAAGGAAAAAATTATCCAATTGTTAGAACGTCAGGTTAGTAGATATGGTAAAGAAGCCTTCAGTAAAACACGCAGGATAGAAAAGTACTTGTAATTTTTTGTATTTGTTGTGTTCGTCTTACGTTAAAATCGAGTTCCTTAAAAGTTTCCAGCACAAGCCATCTTATACTTTGCCAGCTCCAACTGAGAATCTCTACAATAGGCCGTTGGAGATATGCATAACAAACATATCTGCTCTGACCTCTATTCAATCTAACATGAGCCTGCAATCCTGAATCTGTACACGTTTTGGAGTCTTGCAACACCGGCTCAAGCTTGAAAGTCTTACCGCAAACTTACAGACAGGCTTCACAAGGCACTTTTTGAAACGACCGTTACTGAGGTCGAGCTTTGGGGTGAGTAGCACAATTCATCATGGTCGATGACATGGACTTTAGGATGATGGAAAGGCTAATATAGTATGACCGCAGAAGGATACTTAATAACAAACACACCTGATTTAGGACCGGTCAACTCTTCTTGAAATCGAAGAAGCAATGATACATAAAAATCACGGTCTTTTAGAAAAAAAAAACTATCATATATACCATTTAATTTATCCTTCCAAACGTACTTGTTGATTTTGCTTTGATTGCTATTTGTCATCCTCCAATATACATCTCTGCGGGCACAACTAGTTAGGTAACCAATATCTGAAGGTTACTTCACTTAGGGCGCCAACACACCATATTGAGTATCTCCAATCATTGTACATACGCGTTATTATTATTCTGGTCAGGGACGCCGTGACTACTTTCGCAGAGTGATTCGTGCCATTATGTGTCTTCTACATATAAATATTCTATGCGAGATGCTATCATCTATGCCGCACGTCCTGCATTTCGGTGAGTCGATTAGCTTGAATCGGTATCGATATGACTTAGTCGTAGGGAAGTGGCCTGTACGTAGCTGGGTTGCTAGGCACCGTGTCGCTCTGGGTAGTTCATTGAGGATCTTAGCGGTTTTTGCAGCTGTCAGCTTTCCGGCTGATGTTTTTGAGGTCCTAGTATGATGATGATGATGATGAAATCTAAATATATTGTTAAGACGATACAAAGTTAAACTGCGTCCATCAATACTTCCTAGTATGATGATTTTTTAATTGGAGCTAGATCTGCGTCTTCCACGCTTAGAAAATAAATTATTAAAATATTTTGAACTTTCAGATTCCTTGTTAGTATATCGGCTAGTACGCCCGCTTGTCAGTTGTATAACTATTCGCGGGAGAGCTGGGTTCAACTCCCAGACAGGGAGTAATTTTTTGCATCCTTTATTTTCATAAATTCTTTTGCTCATATGGAAACTTCTCCTGCACCTTGGATTTTTGGGCAGATCATAGGTTTATTCTACGAAAAGAGTATTATTGCATTAATACCTTAAATATCTTATTGTGACTTAAATTCTGAAATATTGTCTAATTTCTATGCTTTCTTTGTTTAATCTAGGTGAGTACATCTACATGGCAAGATAAGAAAAGTGGAGGATATAGACACGCATACCCGGTGTATATGGTATGGACATTCTGCATTGAAACGATTAGAAAGGTGCGATTTCGTAGATGTGATATAGAATGATGTCGTCAGAGGTGCTCTGAGATTGAGAAGATTGAGTAATGACGATGGTAATATATATATATAGATACTTGTCTTATCGTAATGCTTCTGAAATTGTAATCAAAGTATGCTTCTGAGAGACGCAGGTGGTAAAACACGAAGAGAATGATGAAAATGGCCGATATCTATCTCAAGGACATATTATCTGCTAGTATCCAGAAATGCTAGTCTTTGTCTTCTTACATTACGATTAATTAGGTAATTACATCTTCTATCATAACTATCATCATTGATATGAACGACGATAACAGACCGCTTCCACAAGGATGGATAAAGGATTTTGATCCCCAATATAACAGACCATTCTACGTAAATACCAACGTTGAACCACCAGTGAGCATATGGGTACATCCACTGGACGATCCGAGCTACAATCAGCAATCTAAGAGCTCGTTTGCACCGCCAGCTGGACCACCTCCAGAGGCAGCAGGTGGATCACCGTATTCGTCTAGTCATAACTCCCCAATGCCGCAACCGGGTTCTAACAGCCCGATGCCACCACCACAACAAGTGAGTAGACGATAATGCGTTGGTTTCTACTAACCATGGGTAGACTAGACAATCGAAATCAAGTAAATTCAAATCTATGTTAGGTTTGGGATCATCTGGATCTTCCAAGCCGTCATATGGCCAGAACTACGCTGGATACGGACAACCACAACAGTATGGTAGTTCATACGGTCAACAGCAGCCATATATGCAACCACAACAAGGGTACATGCAACCACAGCAATCATACATGCAGCCACAACAGCCAATGTGTAAGTTTTATAACGTAAAGATGACATAACTGAAAGATATCAGACGTACAGCAACCAGTCGGTGGGGGTAGACGCATGGGCGGTGGTATGGGCAGTATGCTCCCTATGGCTGGTGGTTTAGGTGCCGGTATGCTAGGTGGTGCCTTCCTAGCGCATGAATTCGACGAATCACAACAGGACGCATATCAAGATGGCTACCAGGACGGTGCAGATGGTGATTTTGGCGGTGGTGATATGGGTGATTTCTAGGTGGACATAACGTATTTTCGCGATCTTCAAAGTATGAATGCACCAAATGATATTATATTGTATTGTAACACTCTAATTTCCTCTTAATTGATGAAAACCACGTTATTCATATCCTTCTCTGCTCCCTCTTCTTCTACTTCTACGCTCATCGTCGCGAAGAGAGAAATGTTAGCGACGAGCACGGCGAACATATCGTCACTAAGTGCATTACCAGTGGAGTATGCTCTCCCATTATCCACGCAAACAAACGACGATATTCGCACTGCAGAAGATGAACAGTCAAACTTCGCGGTGACGATTCCCCATCCAGTAAATAAACATCATTTATTATTGGCTAGGCTATCAAACAACTACAATACGCTCATTTTGTCAACTATACCACCTACAGCGCCTGCACTATCGATCAATCTACACTCAGCTGCCATACCTTCAGCAGGGCTCTTCTACGATGACGAAGCATCATCAGTGCATATATTATTAGTCACTCAATCTGGCGCACTTCTCCGTTTAGCTGTACCCCTTTTCGTTCTCAATTCACCATCAAAAGAGAATTTACCGGATGGATGGGCTACTGAGTACGTTTTGAACTGTACAGACGCCGAAAACAGCCAAATTTCAACTGTAGAACCTGTTGATATTTGTACCATATTGCTGGGTATGGTAGATGGTTCATTAGTCCTTTGTGAGCAACCTAGAGGCAACAGAACGCTGCTTGGAAAAGGATTGGTTAGTTACTATGAGAGTGAGTTATATTAATATCCTTATGAGTCCGGTTAACATGCTTAAAGCTCAATGGACGGAAAGTCAAATGCGTCATTCTTCAATCTTCTCTTCGATGAAGTCTCTCCTCCCGAATCCTTTCAGTTCACACGCAAACTCAGCAATTGGTCCGCCAACTCAGCTTATATCGCTTACGGCTCACATCACTGAGAAATCTGCATTTGCATTTACATTATCCAGAGACAGAAAGTTACGTGTCTGGTCATTAATCCACAGATCCTGTATAAGGACGATAGCATTAGGCGACCAGTATGATTTTATTTCAGGTGATCCTCGCAAGCTGTTGAAGACATACTCTACAGATGCAGATGATGAAGATGGTATTGGATATATAGCAGTTCACCTTCCAGATTACGCTACACCAGGGTTCTACATTTATTCTTTCGAGATCAACAGAAATGCAGGACTTGGTGAACTCAATATGATCGCTGAGAGGAGCAGTGAGGCTGGTTTGGAATTACACGATATGCACATAATCAACGAAGGACAACCTAAACTCTGGGCACTTTATGAGAGATCAGGTATTCCATTCATTAAGCACACAATTCTCAACGAATTAACTACCGACATCCCAACTGAGGTCATTCCAGCACCATGGCAGTCAGTTAGTCAGTCACCAACAATTCCACTCGATCCAGCTGCATTCTCAGATTATGTTTTGAGTGCAGCAGCAGGAACTCCAATTCCTGATATCTTCTTGGACATTATCTTCACCCCAGGTGCTTTCAGTCCTTTGACAATCTCACATGCCATATCAGAGTACACCTCGTTAATGATAAATGAAATCGCGCCAGAGAACAGACCAGAAAAACTACTTGATCCACCAGTATATGATGATTTAGCTCAACATGCTGCAGATGTTGTTGGTTGTCACGTCGAACTCGAATATGATGTTTCTTCAGGTGCACCAAGGACTGAGGAGTATCAGCAAAAAATTAAATTTGAATGGCTTAGATTCGCTTCATTGGTTGGTGAAGCTCACGGTCGCGCACAACTTCCTTTGCATTTGGCGATACATGCTCAACAACCACAACAAATAATAGTAGTTCAATCGGAAGCTATTTCAGCCCCAGTTGTCGAAGATCAATGTCAAATCATCCGTCGTGTCACGGATCCAAACGTATCATCAGACGTCGTTAAAGATTTCCTCGAATTGGATCTACAGAAACTATGCTCAGATGAGATAATTTCTCAAGAGAATAGAGAATCTGTTCTACGCGTATTCATGCTTGCTAGATCTCTCACTCAGCTCGTATCTTTAGACAGATTGAGATCTCTTGAAGATGACATTTTGCATATCGCTACCAACGTCTTGGATGATTCAGCTGAATCACTTTTGGCAAAGCTCTGGACGAACGCCACCAAGGAGGCTTTCATAGATCCAAATACAAGTGCGTTGTTACAGAATGCAAAAGATACAATTTCAACCAGCATCGACGCATTCTTAGTAGCATTGGAGAGCTCATTGAAGATACTTACTGATGTTGGTTTCAGTTACCCACCGAATGACTTGAACAGCACCAAGACGATACTTACGGATGACCTCTCAAAGACCTTAGTTGCATCTGCACTCATGAACCAACTCAAGGACCGTTACGTCTTATCTAGAGATCTCATGCTTTTAGTTCTGTTTGCAAAATCATCGAACTTGCTTGGAAAAAATGCGGATTCTGTCGTGAATCGCGCTCTGAATGTCTTCCACAGGGGTGCATTACTACGTTGGATCGCCTTGAGGGGTGTCTCTGAAGAGCCTGAATTCGACATCGAGGAAGGCCTCGCTGATGATGGATTAACCGACCAATTTGGTGCAATGCACGTCACAAATGCATCATCAACAGAGCGTTATCCGAAGCTCCCCGCAAGTTCGCTCATACATGCTATCCTACGTACACCATCATATGCGCAACTCTCCAGTGTAACAGTATTTGAAGACGTTCAAAATGCTGTAACTTACTTGCCGACGGCACCAGCAATCACACATGCCGCCAATCACTTCCTCAAACACATTAACCTTCTTATCGACGAGAGGTTCGTAGAATGTAGACCTGATGACAGCAAATTCGGCCAAACATTGTTAGATTTCGGATGGTATAATCTAGTCACTGATTATGTTAAATTCTGGTCAGGTTCTGCTGGTATGTCCTACATTAACGCCAAAGCGAAAGTAGAAGATTGCGAATACGAGGAAGCTAAATCAGACTTTGAGATTGGAGCAAGCGGAATACTTGCTAACGACGAGACCCTTCTTGCAGTCCTACCGAAGGAGGTGAACAGTCTTGCGAAGTATTATGAACACGTCACTGTCATCTTTGAAGCAAATCAAGCAGATGATTATATTTCACACTTTGCTCAGTATGCACTTGATGAAGTCCTCCAAGGCGATGATGAGGGCGTTGACTCCCATGCTCTCTGGAACAAACTCTTTAGATCCCAAGCTAGTGTTGGAAAATATGAAGAAAGTTACACAACTCTCATGGCAATTCCTTACATTGATATTCAACATGAATGCCTCAGATATCTCGTATCAGCGATGTGTGAGACTGGTGATGTTGCAAGGCTCGTACAGTTCCCATTCACTTCTCTTCAACCTGAGCTTGAAAGAACACTTTCATTCAAAGCTCGCAACTCTGACGCATTGGATAGACCGAATTACTACCAGATTCTCTACTCGTACTATATATTCAGAGGCAATTTCAGAGATGGTTAGTCGATTTTTTCTCTTATGATATGTTTTAACACGTATTCCCAGCTGGTGCAATTATGTATCAACATGGTCGTCGCCTTGCAGAGATTCCATGTCGTCCTGGTGAATTTGGTGAACTTGCAACACTCCAAGCTCGAGCATACCTCGGTGCAGTGAATGCGTTGTCTCTCGTGAACCCTGATAATGCATGGGTAGTTTTACCAGTGACAGTAGACAGCGCAGCTAACGTGAGTATCTTCATATCAATTTAACAACTCCTTACACATTCTTAGGTCCGTAAAAGACGTAGGCTCACGACGCATATACCCGAATCAGAATTTAAAAACGAGAGTAAAACATTAGAGATAGTCAGATTAGAGGATATTCGTCATGATTACACACTCGTTCTTGCACGTTTGCAACTCGCACAGGAGTTCCCAGAACTTACACATGCCAATTTGTCAATGGCACCTGAAGATATAGTAGCATTGTTCACTCAGCGTGGTTTATTCTCTGTTGCAATCTCCACAGCTCGTACACTCGACGTAGACATGACAGGCATCTTCACCAACCTCGCTAATAGATGTTTACAACTTTCGAAGTTAGGTGAATACGCAGAGTGAGTAGTTGACAGATGTTCTTTGAGATTAATTCTAACATATCACAGCGAATCTGATGTCGGAGAGTGGATATTACTTGATGAGGCAGCATCCAGTTGGCATGGAAGCGTTGCAGACCGCGCATGGAACTACCTTAGGGGATCTCTCGACAAGCATGACAAAGTTGAGCGGACGCAGGGTAAATACAGAATAGCAATAGTTGAGCATTTATTCAGCGTCGATCGCTCATTCGATGGTGTACCTTCATGGTTGTTAGCTATGTTTGCTTCACATCTCGCACCAGAGTTGATAAGGATTTATTACAAATTTGATCTCTTAAGTGATGCACTTAATGCATCTATCAGAATACTCGAGCAGGCTAACTCGAGGTTGAAATTCTCTAGCAAGAATGATCAATACCTTCCATACACCATTATAGATCAGGTAATTGAAGCTGCGAACGAAAGGGGAGATTTAAATGATAAGATCACTTACATTAAGCAACTCTATGAGGAGCGATCAAAGTCATTAAATGATAAAACAAATTTAACCAACGGTATATAAAAAATCATCAATTTGTAATTTCTTTAAATCTAATCTAATTTATGATATTGTTCTAAGGAATGTTGGGACGACAAATGATAATATACTACCAATACTCAAACCTCCAGTTAGATAGAAAACTAGAACGCTTGCACCAATATCTTTGGCATTGTGTTCTTCCTCCCCTGGAATTGAAAGTGGCTCGTTGAGTTTTACATTATATTGCTCATTTGTACCAGCGGTGAATACATTGGTTGCGATATATCCATTTGATAAGCCAAAGAATGCGATTAAAAGGAAGAATATTGAATCGTGTTTGAGAAATGATGGTGCGGTATTTGGTATATTCGACGCGAGGAAGAGTGGAATGAAAATCAACCGACTAGCTGACATCCCAATGAGAACCTTGGAGGATGTTGGATGAATCGTCTTAATGGTAGCGCTTTTAAACCTCTTAGGGAGTTCCACAGATGGAAGAGCTCTTCCTGCGAGATCTGCAAGGTTGAAAGCCAAAAAGTGCACCAAAGGGAAGTACACAGAGTGAAGCAACAAAGGTTGACTTTCTATTGGATCAGAAGAGCGTACCAGGACTGTAATTGTTGGGAAAACAGCCAAAGTTACGGCGAAATCTACCATCACCGCTGAACCATATTCCCATACACGTGAATTAACCTGCTTCATAAGCTCAATTGGATGAAGTGAAGGTGTTTTAAGCTTGTTGTTGGAAGTAATTTCGATAAATGTAGCAGTTTTTGACAGCTTATAGAAAATTCCCGCTGAGACAATCAAAATGAGTGTTGAGATAGCGTACGATGATAATATAGCAATCGCGTTCGCAGCCGCTACATCCTCCTGAGTACCACTAGAAAATATCTGTAGAAGTAGTTGGAAGAAAGAGACTAGGACTGCAACGAGACCTTGTCCAGTGCTTTATAATATCAGCTGAAGTTATATGACATTTCTGAACCCACAAAATCGCCTTCAAGTGTGAAGGCCCATATAAGCTTGCAACGGCAGTGCCCGCTGATTGTAAGTAAGCGCTTCCAACGGCGGTGCATGTTGCGCAAATAAGTACACAAATGTACAGAAATTCTGGTTTAAATGTCCCAGAAATGTAAGCCAGGAATCCCAAACTGGCCAAAGGGATAGTCATAAGCATGAGTGAACGCTTCACCCGACTGTCAACGTCCGATCCGGGATGTGTGAGCGTCGCAAAGGCGAGAGTGAGGAAGTTTGGAATAGTGAAAGCAGCGGAGAGTGATGAGGGAAAGAAATCGTATGGGATTGCGTCGTCAAAGAATGGCAAGGCCAGTATAAGTGCATTCCAAGGTAGCAGCATCGATATACCAAGGGCAAAGAACGTAGTCAAAGTTAGTTTCTCTGATGTGTCAACCTCTTCATCATTATCCTTCTGGTTGTCCACCGACTGATATTTAAATCGTTGCAAAAATCTAGATAGTGTGTCCATGGTAGATGTTCAAGAAGCAAACTACGTCATACAAAGAATACAATGGTATTAAGTACAATAGTAAAGTAAATATATCTATAAATAATGAACCTAATTTGCGTTAGAATGGATATGGGTGACTGTATGGCATATGCATTGAACTTGAGTGCGGCATCATTGGCATTGCGGGCATGTTTGTCATTGGTCCCATTGGTGGTGGGCCCATACTACCCATACCTCCCATACCGCCCATTCCACCCATTCCACCCATAGGGCCTCCCATTCCCATAGGAGGCATATATCCGTAATTTGAATGAGATGGATAGTGAGACATAGGCATAAACCCATTGCCATAGTATCCGTCATTCATATACGGCTGCTCATAACCATACTGAGCGCCATAGTCGTCATAACCCGTATATCCACCATACATGGTATCAGATTGACCTGGTAAATACTTGCTATTGTAATACTCCTGATGTCTCCTTTGATTACCAACTGAGTGCCTCCTAAATCGCTTTATACGTGAATGTGTCTCCTCGTAGCACTTTTGTGACGTTTTTGCTGCCCACTCGCAGGCTTCTCGGATATCTTTCTCGTTTGTAAACGCTAATTCCTCGCATAATCTGGATAATTTGTTCAGTATACGTCATATTCTGAGCTAAAAAACTCACTTGCAGGATTCAGCTATGGCAATACCAGAAATCCACTCCAAAACCTCCTTCATAGCCGGTACAAAGGAGGGCATGAGTATAGTGTGATGATTCTCCCATATCAAAAACGCTTGATATCCCGCTGCAGCAGCCAATTCTCTGGTTGAGTATGGCGGTTCAAAGTATCCTTGGTAGTAATACTTTGAATGTGCGAGCTGAGCTTCTTCAATATGTGAACCACCAATTCTTAGTATCTTTGAAGCAAGTTAATAACGAAGATGCTTCAAATTTAAAGACTTACACTGCGAATTGCAGCCCAAAGTTCACCAAACCAAGAGTGCGGGAATCTATCCCTGGATAATCCTAGCGTACGGCTGTGTGCATTGAAGAAATCATTCGCCTGCCAGCTAGGACTACCTGTGTAGTTTGGTACATAGTGACGGTTCATCGCTGAAGTCAATCAAAGAACAACCGGAGTACTTTATACGGCGATCAAAGTATAGAAATATATCAATTAGATACTTCTCAATGATTCAATTTCCTACCAATATAACAATAGAAAGACAATTTTCACACCTTGGCACATATGACATAACACAGAAGAATAAATTAAATTTACATTAAAATTAGTCGGTATCTTTAACAGCTGTTATGTACTTCTTCCAGGCTGTCATCTGGCCAGAACCCCTGCCTGCTCCCATACCCTTTTCTCTTTCGAGGGCAAATAAAGCATCGTTTATATTAATATTACCATGTCCAAGGTGTGCATCATGCGGAGGTGGCCCTAAAATCTTCTGTTGTGAGCTCTTTATGGAAAGATTTGATTGTTGTGGTTGGAATTTCGGTTTTGGGAGGTTAGAAGAGCCCTTAGGGGTGGACGACGCGGATGTACCAGTCAGCCAGCTATACTTTGGTGCCAGACCCGCACTCCTCAACGCGGTCTGATCTGAGAGCTTCTTTTGTACGTCATCGCTCATGTTTTTAGCAGTTGAGAGGTCCTTTTTGCGCTTTTTCTTCTTTTGGTCATCTTCTTCCAGGAATTGCTGTTGTTGCTGTTGTGATTGTATGAGATGCATCTGTTCCCTCTCCTGGGTAATACGTTCAACACGCTGACGTCTAGCTTTCGTTTCCTGTTCCCTTTCGATCTTCTCCAGCGCTTGGAGTTGTTTATCGACATCTGTCCTGATTTCCTGCGAGTACAACGGTGTGCCATTTGGGAGTGTAGTTGGTTCAACGATATGTGAGCTACTACAGCGATGATAGTTGGCCTGTATCATTAATTCGACAAGATGCCTCAGCCTCGCTTGTGTAGCTAAAGCTAGGAACTGCAAGCAATCCTCGTCTACTCGTTGTAACTGATGAGGTGCGGCTGCAGCCCGTATTTTATCTCTTAAAATAGCATTATTGAGAAAGTCCTGAGTGTGTGCTCTCTGTTGCCTGATACTATTAGCGTATCTAGATTGTAGGATATCATTTGACTGTAGGATAGCCTCGTGCTCAGCTTCGATATCTACACCTGCATTTCCTACTGCGTCTATTAAACTCCTTACGTCTGTACCTTTCTGCGATTCTGCTGGATTATTTGACATCCTGGACGTATGAAAGCAAGCTTGTACTCCTACCACAACGATTGAAAAATGGCAAATTATTTCTATCAAATTCCGCCCCCGCCATTTCCAGCTCATAATCCAAACCATACAATTAGTGCATACGATAGATACCACGGTACGCTAGACGGTAGCTGGCGAGGTGGATGGGGGGATAGAAACGCTGGTACATTCAGTTGGAAGGATCCTTATTTAAGAGTTTCCAGCTATTCTAGTAATTCATTAGCAGATTTCAGAAGGAGAGAAGGTGCTACTGCCAGAAAAGAGCGTCTTCGTAGTGTCTATAACAGTCTAAAGAGCGAAGACGATAAAGAGCTTAAATTACTACCTTCCAACATCTCATGGTACGATTTCTGTCAGTATGTTTATAGGAAAGAAATCGAACTGTGGAATATTTATAAAGACCTGGATGTTAACAATGATATGAAACTAGACAAAGAAGACTTAAGACTGGCTCTTCTTAAAGCCAAAATCACCCCAAACCAATCGTCGTTTGACGATTTCTTCAACTCGCTAGATCAAGACAACAAAGGCGTCATAGAATTTGCAGATTTTAGAGACTATTTATTGCTATTACCACAACACCCGCACATTTCTGAAATTTACCGCTATTACACACTTAAGTCTCAGTCTCAACTCACCTCAGACGCAGACGTCATTGTCTCCCCAGATGTCTCTCGTGATAGCTCGGTTGACAGCCACAAGGAGGTCGAAAAGGAAGAAGAAGAGGAAGAAGAAGAGGAAGAAGAAGAGGATAGCTGCACAAGTGGCCTTCTAGGTGGTAGTCAAGCAGCTCGCTTCCTCCTGGCAGGTGGTATCGCGGGTGCAGTCAGTCGAACTGCAACGGCCCCATTCGATAGACTAAAAGTCTACCTAATAACAACAACCAAAAAGACTAATATGAGCGGTTTAGCAGCTTTATACTCCGCAATGCAAAAAATATACCACCAAGGCGGAGGTATAAGCGCATTCTGGGTCGGAAATGGTCTTAACATCGTTAAAATCTTCCCAGAATCCGCTATAAAATTCTTATCTTACGAGACTGCAAAGAGAGTTTTTGCAAAACATTGGGATAAAGTCGACGATCAGAGTGAAATAAGCGGTACATCTAGATTCTTTGCTGGTGGTGTAGGTGGTATAACATCTCAATTATCAATCTACCCTATAGAAACTACAAAAACACGGATGATGACAACAGCTTCAAATACCTCAAAAGCTAGGGTGTTACACACAATGAAAGACATATACCTAAAATCAGGTTTCACTGCCTTCTATCGAGGGTTGCCTGCAGGTCTTTTTGGTGTGTTTCCATATAGCGGTGAGTATAATCGTTATTCCTAACCAACCACTAAATAAAACATTTCAGCGATCGATATGTCTACCTTTGAAGCCCTAAAAATAGCATCAATGAAGTATCATCAAGGTGAAGATCCATCAAACATTGAATTACTCGCATGTGGTAGTATATCAGGCTCAATTGGAGCCACTTCAGTCTATCCACTCAACCTCCTTCGTACGAGACTGCAAGCGAGCGGCACACCTGCCCATCCACAAATATATAAAGGTTTCTTTGACGTACTACAGAAGACCTACACGATTGAAGGTCTTAGGGGTTTCTATAGAGGTCTTATTCCAACACTCGCGAAAGTCGTTCCAGCAGTTTCGATATCCTACCTATGTTACGAGAACGCCAAACGAAGTTTAGGTGTTTGAGTATATGTCCTTAGTGCTATTTTTATAGATTATTATGCATTCGTCTATACATCTACCTAAAGGAAATATTCTATATATCCGATTCATATTCTAAGCAAAGGAAGCAGCTTGGAAGAAACGCTGGCGACGTTGCTTGTAGTAGAACGCACGTTTGTGAGGGAATTCAAACTCCTGCACTGGGTTAATAAGTGTGCATAAAAAAGACATCTACCCACTCTGTTCAACTCAACTGGCAAAAGAGCTTTGAGACGTGGTCCTAAGCCCAAATCGACGCGTGGTTCAATGACGACATTCTGGGTGCGGGCGTCACGAAGGAAACAACAATGCATCATACTCGTAACGGTTGCGACGACTATAATGTGCTATTAGTTAACAGTAACACTCTCTGATGGAAACTCACATCTGTCCTTTCCTCTAAATTCTTCCTCTCCGACGAGCAAATGGATACCTTGATCGTAATCTTCCATACCACCGCAATAAACGTTGATAGGATCTTCTTTCACCCAAGCTAACTCGCCGTATCCGGCTGGTTTTCCATTCCAGCAGAAAATGAAACCCATCATGTGTTTATCTTCCAATCTGTCTTTGATATACTGATGGTGCTTTTCATCTGGACCTTTTTCTCTCCAGCCGACGTTTACTCTGTCACTGTTTTGCCACTTTTTGTAGAACTCAAAGTGTTCAGTGTTGGTGCCGTCGATGTGAACAAAGGAGAGTGATTGACCAACAACATTGATGTACCTTTCATAGAAAACGGTACCCGGGGCAGGCTTTGGAGGACGCAATGGGTGTACTGTAGCAACCAATTCATTCTTTGTAAATGATTGTATCTGAGGGAAGGCACTGACTGGTGAAAAGTCAACTGCTGTAGTTGCTTTCAACCAGTGGTTTTCGACGGATGCACCAGCACCCTGCCAGAATGATTCTCTTGATAAGATGACAACGGCGCTGTCAGATGGACTGTCGAATCCTAATCCAGATTGTACGATATAAGCATACTTTTCATCAGATGGCTTCTCAATTGCAAGGTATTCCCTATTAGTTGCAGCCCAAATGGCTCTCAATACAATCCAGGTGTTATCACGTGAAATGCTTGAAAAGTCGTAGACTGCGTCTTTCTCTATTCTGTCGTCGTTGAGTATTCCGAATGGAGAAACGGCTGTTTGATTTGCTGTCTTTGGAATAGTGAAACTGGTTGACTGAGATTCTACTCTAATGCTATTGTCGCCTATAATTGCTCTCAGTTGCTCGCTCATTCTGGTGGTAGCTGATCAAAATCTCATCTGATAAAAGATCTGATCAAGATTTGATAAAAATTCAAAAATCGTGAATTAAAATTATTTATTTTAATTTGAATAATAGAATAGTAGAGCTATCAATCTAGATTAAACATTGCTAAAACATCCGAGAAGACACCTTAAAACTGCAAACAGCACATCTAACATAATGCGTAATTTTACGATATACTAACAAATTAATCCTAACATACGCTCATATAGCCATATCTTCCTCTTTCTCCTCTACCATCCATGTTCAAGCAGACGCTAAAAAAGTCTATACAGAATAGCTCGACCAGGCTATCGAAACCAGCGAATTATGGACAGCCAATAGCACATACTCACCCTTACTTAATGAAAGATAGCGATCTTACGCCTGGAATTAGCGTACGAGAATATGAACAGCGAAGGAAGAAGCTAATCGGGCATCTCAACCCGGGTGATACTGTAGTATGCGTATCTGGAAAAGTTAAAATGATGAGTCAGGGTATTTTCTATTCCTTTAGACAGGCTACAGATTTCAACTACTTGACTGGATTCCAAGAACCGGATTCTGCGGTCATATTAGAGCGTGACGATACACTTGCAAGAGGATACAAAATGATCCTCTTCGTACGCCCAAAGGATCCCCATATCGAGCTCTGGGACGGTGCACGAACGGGTCTTGACGCGGCAGTTAACATATTCAAAGCTGATGAGGTGGGTAAAGAGTGCTGTCTACATTTTTACTAAATAACAATAGTCAAAACCAATGTCAACTCTCGCGTCATACCTCAAAAGCACATTACGAGCTCACAAGACCGTCTACGCATCACATCCAGACCTTCCCGATAAGCTTAAAAGGCGCGTATCGTTTAACAGCTCGACAAGCCATGCGAAAGCGTTAGTTGATTACCTTAGTACTGCTCTTCGCGGCCAAGGAAACACAGAGAGTGACTCCGTTCTATCAACGCTCGGCCTGCCTAACGTTAAACCACTCGCACCAATTGTACAAGGATTGCGCAGTGTGAAGAGTCTTGCTGAACGCAATTTAATGCGTCAGAGTGGTCGTATCGCCGGCAATGCGTTCAGAGACGTAATGGCATTCGCGAAACCGGGTATGAATGAGCACCAAATTGCAGCACGTTTCGAGTATAAATGTGCACTATCAGGTGCTGAAAGACCAGCGTACGTACCGGTAGTAGCATCAGGTGCAAATGGCTTAGCAGTACACTACACTGCTAATACAATGCAGGTTGAACCAAATGAAATGATACTCATGGATGCAGGTTGCGAATACCACGGATATAACAGTGATATAACTAGAACTTGGCCAGTCAACGGACGTTTCACCCAGCCACAACGCGACTTATACCAGGCGGTTCTCAATGTCGAGAAAGCCTGCATCAAACTCTGCACAGAGCAAAAGAGGGTGTCGTTGAATTATATACATAGAGAAAGCGTCCGCTTACTTGGCCAAGAACTCAAGCAAATTGGTTTCGATAGCCTTAGATATGGCGATCTCGAACGGATATTGTACCCGCACTACATCAGTCATCCTCTCGGTATGGATTTACACGACACACCGTCATTTGATCGCAGTCAGACGCTTGTAGAGGGTAATGTTGTAACCATAGAACCTGGTTGCTATGTATTCCCTCATGATAGATTCCCAAAATGGTTCCACAACATTGGTATCAGAGTTGAAGACGACGTCTTGATAGGCAAGGATGAACCAACGATATTGACACAAGAAGCACCGAAGGATATTGAAGATATTGAGAGTGCGTGTAATGTGGTTCTATCAACATAGGATAGTAGATAAAACATAGAATGCATATTTTGAAATGAGTGTCCTCCGGCAATAATTTGTGAATTTTTGGCCGTTAATTCAAACCTCTCGGTAATCACAGATCACAATCATGAAAATGATAGCCGAATTTTGACTTCACTAGCGGAGGCGAGAAAGTAGTGGGCTTCATGTCACCGAGCCGGTCGTTGGAGTATGTTGCCTGAGGACGGTTTCGTAGATGTCAATATGTTTTTATAAAAGGCGTTTATTTATGAAAAAAAAGTTTAGTATTTTTGGTTGCTATATCTCCCGTTGGATCGTTATTTTAACGAAAAATTTCACGTTTTATTGGCATTTATTAATAGATACCCAATTAGGTATAAAGCAACAAAGCACGCAAATATTCATTCTCGGATACCTGCGCACATAGCTGCCTCAACTTAATTAAGTAGGTGATGGGTATGTGATCGATCATAATTAGCCAGTGTCAGCAGGGATGGATTGACAGGCACCCCGAAACTCGTATATTCGCAAGAGCTGTGCTACTGTTATAGCATTCACTTAAATATATGCCACTCCAATAGTCTGGTTTCTGGCGATAAGGGTAGCTAAAACCCCAAACGGCTCTTCCGTCCATTGTACCTTACTCCGGCGAAGGAAGACTGTCCTCCATAGATTGCGGAAACGTATAGAATATATTGCAAATATACAATTGAGGATAGAGGAATTTTCTCTCGTTTATTCAATTGAGGACGACCTGTCATTAATGACCTGTCTTAGCATTCCTCAGGAACAAAATGCACGACAGTCAAAAATTTCCTATGGCTATAAATTGCACTCGCTTTTTACAACATTCCTTCCAACTCGAACTTTCAGAACTTAAAGTTTCAAGCCTTTTTACTTCTTTCTATCCAAAAAAGACACACTCGTTCATATTTATAATGAAGTTCTCACTTATCGCATTTATGGCCCTTGGTGCTGCAGTTATGGCTGCTCCAGTTGAAGTGAGTGTATTACTACTGCCTTGTTATAGGGTGTTTGCTAACGAGAAGAAAAGAAAGTCGCGGATGTTGACGCTCAAGTTAACGCCATCAGCGAGTCACACAAGCGTGGTCTCATTGATATCGATGCTTTGATTAACATTCTCAGCTCATCAAAGCAACATAAGCGTGGTGAACTCGTCGACGCAGATGTCGTTGCCAATGTCCTCTCACATCAAGAGCAACACCACAAGCGTGGTGGTCTTATTGACATTGACGCACTTATCAACATTCTTAGCTCATCAAAGCAACACAAGCGCGGCGGTCTTATCGACATTGATGCTCTCATCAACATCCTCAGCTCATCAAAGCAAAAGCGCGGTGAACTCGTTGACGCAGATGTCATTGCCAATGTACTCTCTCACCAAGAGCAACACCACAAGCGTGGCGGTCTTATTGACATTGACCTTCTCATCAACCTTCTCAGCGGTCAAAAGCAAAAGCGTGGTGAACTCGTCGACGCTGATGTTATCGCCAATGTCCTCTCAAAGCAAGTCCAACACAAGCGTGGTGGTTTGCTTGATCTTGACGCTGGTATCAACATCCTCAGTGGTCAACAACAGCACAAGCGTGGTGGTTTAATCGACATTGACGCGCTTATCAACGTCCTCAGCTCATCAAAGCAAAAGCGTGGTGAGGACTGCCCAGAAGATCAAGAAGGCGGTGAGAAGAAACACGAGGGTGGCTCATTGATCGATCTCGACGCTGGTGTAAACGTTCTCTCAAAGCAAGAGCAACACAAGCGCGGTGAGCTTATCGACGCTGATGTTATCGCCAACGTCCTCTCCAAGCAAGTCCAACACAAGCGCGGCGAAGAAGGCGGCAAGCTTGTCGATGTTGACGCTCTCGTCAATGCACTCTCTGAGGTTAAGCAACACAAGCGTGGTGGTTTACTCGATCTTGATGCTGGTGTCAACATTCTCAGTGGTCAACAACAACACAAGCGTGGTGGTTTAATCGACATTGATCTCCTTATCAACCTTCTCAGTGAACAAAAGCAAAAGCGCGGTGAAGACTGCCCAGAAGGCCAAGAAGGTGGTGAAAAGGAACACAAGGGCGGTTCATTGATCGATCTTGACGCTGGTGTAAACGTTCTCTCAAAGCAAGAACAACACAAGCGCGGTGAGCTCGTCGATGCTGATGTTATCGCCAACGTCCTCTCCAAGCAAGTCCAACACAAGCGCGGTGGTTCATTAATCGATGTCGATGCTCTCATCAACGTCCTTAGCAAGTCAAAACAACAATAGATCGGACACTACTCTGTTTTTTTGAATAATACGGAAAACTTTTGCTATAGTTTGACATCGGAATACCCGCAATATATTTCTTTTTTCATATTACTTTGTAATCCTCTTATAAAATTTTAAATTAACTAATTTGGATTTTTGCTTAATCTCCTGACTTGTCTTACTATTTACTCGCGAACACTATTTTTTTTATTCGAGGTATCTAATTATATTCATGAAAAAACACTGGTTATATAAAATAAAAAAGAAGGAATCATGTAAATTGTAATGGATTTATTTTACGCCACCAATCAACTAATTCCTTTTCATTAGCCGATTGTAAAATATATGAGTTAGATTGTGAGTATATAGTGAATAAGTTTCTCCTTTGTAAAAGATCTTCAATTTCTCTACTCCTTTCCAATTTAACTGAAGATAAATTAACGACACCAACTTCATCCAATTCATCAGAAGAGGTGTATATAAAAAGCCATGGTCTTCTCAAAACGAAAAACCTTCTGGACCATTCATCACTATGTGCGTTTGTTAAATGAAACATATATCCTGACTTTGACTTTGTTTCCGTTCTTGCTTGTAATGTCACAGTTGGTGTGTATCCTAAATCTAATGGTGTTAAAGGTTCAACTTCATTCTCTAAACCAATCGGATCATTAACTGAAACCAATTTAGGTCCACAAAGTGAGCTCTTCCAGGTATCAACAACTTTACTGGCAAGTTGGTCACTATCATCTGCTTTCGTTCTCTTGATCGCCTTTGAACTACCTATCGCACTCATTACAGCTTTCGTTGCTTGAACATCCGCGATAAGCTTTTCTCGCTTCATCAAAGCATCATAATCTTCAACCAAGGAAATACCTCTTGCTTTCCAATCACCCAGCTTTTCTTCACCATGGATGTATCTTCCGTTCGTATCTGTTCTCCACAAGGCTTTTGCTGAACGTGAAGGTGGTGGACTCATCTTTAGCGTAAACAATGAGCTTGTTTTCTGTAATATCTTTGCTGAACTAAAGAAAGAGAGAAGTTTTGACGTTCCGCGATCTCTACCATTGATATTGACAGAAATATCCATACCGAATGCGGCATTTTCTTCACAGTTTTCAATATCAACTTCCCATTTTATTCTTAATAAAACACGCTGACCACTACCTGTTACTCTATTGAGGTATAATGCATCATGTCTTCCCGAATCCCATCCGCATGTGACTGAGAGTTGTGACGAACCATCAGCATTATAGCGAACCTCTTGATTCTTCGGAAGGGGAAGTTCAATATCTCCACTAGATGAACTCTCATGAATACGCCCTTTCGGATCTAGCAGTCTTATACCGCCTAGGTATAATTTTGTAACCTTATTCCACGGTAATTGACGACCGGACTGATGGCTCATAGTAAGAACAATCCTTCTTTGAAGACCTTGCCTGAGATTGAAACTACCAGGATCGAGAGGACCATATGAAGAAACTTCAACAGATTTGTATTCACCACTTGCATCTAATTCTTGCATTTGTAACCAAGCCGTAATATCATGCTTCTCTTCATGTAGTAGTTCAACTTCAGATTTACGGCCAGATGATGATAACGTCTTTTTATGCGTTTTTAATTCAGGTGTTAATCTATTCACTTCACGAGCATTATCTGATTTCTCAAGACTGCTCATAAATGATGGTTTGACCGCAGCGAAGAATCTACTCAAATAGTTAGTCATAAAACTAGAGAACAAAGACACTCACTCAATTGGTGCGTATTCATTACTTAAGTGACGAGCAACATCCTCAGTGATAGTAAATGTAAGTGTTTTGCGGAATTTCAACTCAGTTGAGTCGCCAGAACTGAGGTCTACAGCTGGCGAAGAGAATACATCTTCAACATCTGCACTTGGTCCTGCAAATGATGTCAAACGTACTTGAAGGTGTATGCTATTGAAATCTTCATATGTAAGACCACGTATGTGATCTACCATAAGTGAGAGACTGACTTTGGATCCGAGTGGTATGTGCGAATCAAAAAGCTGGTTGATACTTGGCGAGCTAACCATACCAGGCGCTTGTGAAAGTGTAGCTGACGTCGATGAGCGCGGTGTAAGCGTTCCATTGCTGACGGTATCATTCGTGTTCGTTGTTGGTGGTATGACAGATGCTATCCTTAGTTCAACTTTGCACGATCCAAGTGCTTCTGTCGTATATCTGCAGAATATTGGTAGTTGGTATGATATTGCTTTCTGTCTAAGGACAGGTGAAAGTGATAATAACGAAGACTGTTGCATATGTTAACACAAAATAGCAGAAAGATCATATACTCACTCCAATGAACGAGTATTCTGGCGGATCTTGAGAATAGAACGGTTCAAGTGTAGCGAAATGTTGACTGACGTTAGGCCTATCAACAAAAAGGGTGACATTGCGCATCCTTTGAAGTTGCTGTTGTAGTCTCTCAAGAGACCACAAATAGATGCTCTTATTTTTCCTATCGATAACCCTCACAGCAATGGTAGGTCTATATGCATTGGTAGATGCGGAAGACTTATTAGAGACCTCGCCAAATTCTCCAAGTCCAGCGATAGTTTCAAGTGCTGATTGTGGGAACGAGAGTGCTCCGCCTGAATCTACCGTAAGGTTATACGAAACTCCGGTTTTCAGTTCATTACTCTAATGGGATGGTTAAGTAATACACTAAAGTGTTAAAGGCAACCTACCATAACGTTGGCCTCTTTAACTAAAACTGCATGTGTGAGTGCAGCTTCAGCCATGGCCACTCTTCTTAGCCTTTTCCATTTGTTTAAAACGACATTAATCAAAACTAACTCTTCATCACTAAACAACGCTGGTTCAAAGCTCTCATTCGAATCACGTCGTTTCATTTCTCTATGTTTGCGAACCATCATAGTCATTTGCTTCTGATATAATTGAATCTTCTGTGCCATTTTGTCATTCTGGGCTTTCATAATATCTACATCTTGTTGTGGTATTGCTTCAATTTTACTATTAGCTTCCGAATCGATAGCGTTCGAAGGATCAATACTGGTATCGTCGGTGATGGTTTCTCCAGATATAAGTCTACCGTTGTTTGAATCATCCCATTCCGAATCACCATCAACCATACTTAATCTAGATTCAGGACGTGCTTTACGAACGGTACGAACTTTTATAAGATCTTCATAGATTTTGTCCAAATCTTCATCATTATATTCATCAAAGTTCACACCCGATTTAACTGTTGCTTCTTTACGGGCTAATTCCCAATCATAAGTATGGGCGAAACTTTCAGATGGTGAACCAGGTCTTATTATATGTGAGTCATCTCGCATTGATAAAGCTTCTAATTCAGTTGCTGTCATACTTAAATTCATCTTTGATGCTCTAGTTTCACGTGCTTTTCTGACATCTTCTGGATGATTGAATCTAAAAACATGGTATTCTCCTAAAATGATGCGGTATCCTGAGAAAAGCTTGTGTGGAACACCAACCTCTAATTTGTTACCATTAACCATTACCATAGCATCAGGAAGGGGTGTAACATGTACACTACCCTCCTCATTTGCAAAAATACAGTGCTCGTCTAGAATTGTATGACCAGAAAGCTTAATCTCACGGACCTTCTCTGATTCCATGTTACCGACTAGCGTCTGACCAGGCTTGATTTGATAAATCAGACATTCACTCATGAGAGGATCTTCGTTAAGATTGACAAGATGAGGCATCTTCTTTGGTGTACTCACACCAACACCCTTTTTATCGACAGTGATACCGAGATCTTCGAGAGCTTTCTCTCTTTCAACTTGGATTTCTTGAGTCTTTTGAAGCTTTTCTTCCCAAGTTTCGTTGAGTGAACTCATAATTTTCTCAGATTGTTCCATTTGATCTTGTAAATCAGCTTTCGACACACTCTTTATCTCACCTGTGTGACTCTTATATTGAACCATTTGCTTTTCAGGTGGGACGTTTGCATCGAAAGTTGATTCTTGACTTGCACCAGCGGCTCTTAATCGCAATGCATCGAGCTCCTCCTTGAGTTCACGGATGAGTTTAGCATTTGGATCTTCATTAACAACAGCTTTGTTCTTGATCTTCTTCGCTTGATCTGCATATCGGAGTGTACTTAAAGTTTCTTCATAATCTGCAGGAGAAATAGCTGCAATCATCGCTGTTTTTGAATTACCACCAAGATTATCTTTAAGCAACCATGTAAGTACAGAATCACGGTATGGGACGAAGTCTTCAGCTTTTTTCTTCTTCCCTTTTATTGGAGTATCTGGAGCGCCCGAAGCTTGCGCGAGCGCTGCTATAACTTTTCCAAGGGTTGTGAGAGACTTGTTAATGTTAGCACCCTCTTTGAGTCGTTGTCCGGTTGCTCCTGTCGAGTTCGCACGTTCAGATCCAGCCAAATCGACCAAACTTATACGTGAAACTTTCTCTCCTTCCATACCTGTATCAACATCCAAGCGTTTTTGAGTGAGGATCAAAGTGAAAACACCGTGAGATCGTGAAGACGTCGCGTTCATTTGTGTTGCTGCAACAGTACGCGCTTTGTTACCTTCATCCATCATATTCATCATTTCATCATATGAATTTACAGCCAATTTACTCAGATCTTCAACATAGGGACCAAGGTGAGGATGTTCTCTAACTTTCAAATGATTCATATTCCTTGGGTTGAGTAAATCCTTTACTTTTTCATTGTAAATTTCCATATAAGAACATTCAACGGTGTATCCGAGATTTGGATTCTGATTTGATGCGATACGATTAAAGAGTGATTCACAAGTGAGTGGTATGATACCTTTATCTTCTCCGTAACCCATCATAGAGTAGGATTTACCTGAACCTGTCTGACCATAGGCGAAAATACAGCAATTGAAACCTTCAAAAGCGTGTTGAAGAAGTTCGTCACCGAGATCATTATATAATGTCTGCTGTGAAGCGTATCCGGGCTCATCTTTCGGTCCTGCTGACCAGTAGGACTTATCGAAAGCAAAGTTCATCGTCTTTTTTGCTGTAGCTTTCTCACCAGCCGCCAGTGTACCAGGCGGTGGCGGTTCCAAGAAAGTCTGGTTTCCTTCCATTCGTATCAGACCCTTTGCACCTCTAGCAATTTCTAGAGATAATTATGAGAGATGTTGTGATATAGTGTATGTATACACACCTCTGCTATTTAAAGGTCTACATCGGACCACAACTCGTATGTTGCCCGACATTATTTACGTCGTTTGTTATTTAATGGTGGTAGTCTTGGTTCAAGTTGGGACTATTGAACGATAGAGTAGAGATATGGCAGAGATATTATATTGACAAACTATAACAGCTGTATTTATTTACATATCTCCTCTACTTTTTCAATGTATAGATCTTTTGCGATGTGACTATGACAAGTTGGGCAGGCATGCGATCAGATATCTCGTATATTCTATAAGTGATCGATAGATAAGGATAAAAGACGTGTATATCATATCTGTCTTCTCTTCTGTAGACTATTACGCGTTTCAGGTTGGATTTCAAGAATTGTCTTATATTCATCGTAAAAATATCAGAAAATATTTTGTAACGCGGAGCAGTGAACATTCACGCGTCAGATCAGAAATAATCGCGACAGAGACCGATGACGTCGATTAACTGCTGATGACTGTGTAAGTCCACAGAGCAGAAACGGGCAGTCATTGAGTACATATTCTTATAAGCATACCATCATGAAGTCTAAAAAAACATTTCATAGCATACAAAATTTTCGTTAAAATCAGAGTTAAGAGGTTGTCTACTTCATGTTAACGACACATCTAATGCAATCGCCACCGTGCATATCATGGAAAGCCTCGTTGATGTCCTTGAGGCTTCTTGAGTGAGTGTGGAAAGTGTCAACGTCCAACTTCTTGTTGAGGTAGTCTAACACGATACCAGGGAGCTCTGTTCTACCTTTGACACCACCATAAGCGCTACCTTTCCAAACCCTACCTGTAACGAGTTGGAATGGTCTAGTAGCAATTTCTGTTCCTGCTGGTGCGACACCAATGATGATGGATTCACCCCAACCCTTGTGACATGCTTCAAGTGCTGATCTCATAACTTTAACGTTACCAGTACAGTCGAAGGTGTAGTCTAAACCACCGTCGGTGATTTCGACAAGGTGTTCTTGAATGCTTTTGTCTTTGATCTCAAGTGGGTTGATAAAGTCGGTCGCACCGTGGTGAATGGCATGGGATTTTTTCTTCGAGTTTGTGTCAATTGCGATGATACGGGTTGCACCTGCGGCTCTAGCACCTTGGATAGCGGCTAAACCGACACAGCCGACACCGAAGATGGCGACCTGTGCACCTTGAATGTATCTTTGCTTGGTAGCTGCACCGTAACCAGTGGTGATACCACAACCAAGCAAGCAGGCCTTTTCAAGGTTGGCTTCCTTCGCAATTGAGACAACTGAAAATTTGCTAACAACGGTATATTGACTGAATGTAGAGCAACCCATGAAGTGGTATACGTCTTGGCCTCTACACTTGAATCTAACAGTTCCATCTGGCATGACACCTTGACCTTGGGTTGCTCTGACGGCTTGACAGAGGTTTGTTTTGCCGGATTTACAGAATTTACAGTCCTTGCACTCGGCAGTGTAAAGAGGGATGACATGGTCGCCAACCTTAACGTCTGTGACGTTATCGCCAACACTCTCTACTGTACCACCACCTTCGTGACCGAGAACGCATGGGAATTTGCCCTCGCTGTCGTGACCACCAAGGGTGTATGCGTCTGTGTGGCAGACACCGGTGTAATCAACCTTTATTCTGACTTCATCAGGGCCTGGTGGTAATACTTGAATGTCTTCAACGACCAAATCCTTTCCAGCTTCCCAGGCGATAGCGGCTTTACATGTAATGATCTAATATAGAGTTAAAACGGCTGTAGACTTAAATATAAATACGCACTTGAGCACTCATTTTTTATTTAAATATGAATGAACGTAATAAAGAGACCGAGTTGGGCTGCTTAAATAAGCAAAAAGACCGGCGACAGCGGATCTATAGCGGGAGGTATTCTTCCGAGTGTCTCTAGAACGGCATAAAGGAGTTTTATTGTTCTGTGCAGCCTATCTTATTGTAGAGTCTCTATGGCTGTAACAGCAAGGAGAAGTAAAGCCCCCATTGGGGAATAAAATCTATTTAATACTATTAAAATGTAAATAATTAATAAATAAAAACTTTTTATTTGTTTATTCCCTAAATAACTCCCTATTCCCTCACCATCATCATGTCCTTCTTGAGATCAGCAGTCAGAATTGGTGGCAGCGCTAGAATAAGCGCTAAAACAGCACAATCTAGCGTTTTAGGCAGAAGATTCGCATCTGATAATGGTCCTGTTATGGTGCGTCCTTTTTTTACACTCAGTTATCGTCTTATAGTACAATAGATGCAAGTTAGAGAAGCATTGAACGCCGCCATGGAAGAGGAAATGCTCAAGGATGAAACCGTCTACGTTATGGGTGAAGAAGTCGCACAATACAACGGTGCTTACAAAGTTACAAAGGGTTTGTTGGACAAGTTCGGTGAAAAGAGAGTCATAGACACTCCAATCACAGAAGCCGGTTTCGCTGGTTTGGCCGTCGGTGCTGGTTTGGCTGGTTTACGCCCTGTTTGTGAATTCATGACCTGGAACTTTGCTATGCAAGCTATCGATCAAATCGTCAACAGTGCAGGTAAAACTTACTACATGTCTGGTGGTAACGTACCATGCCCTGTCACCTTCAGAGGTCCAAACGGTGCTGCTCTCGGTGTCGCTGCCCAACACTCACAAGATTACGCCGCTTGGTACGGTTCAGTTCCAGGTTTGAAGGTTCTCTCCCCTTACTCTTCAGAAGACTGTAAGGGTCTCTTGAAATCTGCCATTAGAGATCCAAACCCTGTTTGTTTCTTAGAAAACGAAGTCCTCTACGGTGTCAGCTTCCCAATGTCTGAGGAAGCTATGAAGGACGACTTCTACCTCCCAATTGGCAAGGCAAAGGTTGAAAGAGAAGGTACTGACGTTACTTTCGTCGCTCACTCTTTGGGTGTCCAACACGCTTTGGACGCTGCAAAATCCCTCAAGGAACAAGAAGGCGTTGAAGCTGAAGTTATCAACCTCCGTTCAATTAGACCTTTAGATATCGATACCGTTATAAAATCTGTAAAGAAGACCAACAGACTCGTCACCGTCGAGGGTGGTTTCCCTAAGTTCGGTGTTGGTTCAGAAATCTGTGCCCAAGTTATGGAATCCTCAGCATGGGATTACTTGGATGCACCACCAATTAGAGTCACTGGTGCTGATATTCCAACCCCATACGCCCAAAACTTGGAAACACTCGCTTTCCCTAACGGCGAAGTTGTTCACCGCGTCGCAAAGAGAGTTCTTTACAAGTCATAATAGACGAAGCAATAAATTTCTTCATTTCATTCCTTTTTCTATACACTGGTAGATAAAAAATTTATACATTAAACTTTTAAATTACATTCCCCAGTTCTTTATATCAGTGTAATGATTGTTTACTTCTCCCCAGGTTGTATTCATGCTTATTCCTTCCTCTTTGAGAATCTCGTTGATAGCTTCTCTATTATAATTTTCAAAGTTTATAACAGAAGGTGAGTTTGGTAATGTCTCATACACTCTCCTTGCTTCAGAGACTTCATGAAGGAATGTCTCAACACTTATTCGGTGTTTATCAAGTAAGAGTTGCGCCAAATTATCATTATGTTGCAATATGTTTTCGATTGAACCATACTTCTTTATGTACTTGAGTGCCCGTATTGGACCTATAGAAGGTATGGTAATTGAGAAATCAGTTCCACTGAGTAGAGCAAAATCGATGAGCTTCTTATGTGTTAGCTGGTCATTCAGGTATGTATTATTTCACCCACCTCTCGCTTTGTCAAACCTAAAGCGCTATGGAGAAGAGAACCATCAACTATTCTCAACGATTTGACACTCTCTCGTATCATTTTAGCACCATATATGAGTACATCGGTGTCTTCACTAAGGACATAATCTGCGTGTCCCCTCAAAACTATGGCACTAGCTAAGGCTTCACCCTCGTGAACGGGATCCTGGTCAACAATGAAAGTGGGCACTCCAGCAGCTTTTAGAAGCTGTCTGACGCGCTCATAAGTACTTGAACTGGGCGGTTTCTTGCTATACCTAATTATTGTCTCGTTTGTTGTAAGTTTAAGAGAAGCGATTTGAGAGTGTATGTCACCCTTAGTGGTATCATTAGAAATATTTTGGTATAATTCCCACTCCTGTCCGTTAAGCAACAACTGAGAAGGTGTTAAATTGTTTTCTTTTAGTGCATTTTCTTTCAAATAGGCGATATCTTGATCTATTGTGGTATATTTACTATCTTTACGTGTGATAAGCTCCTGAAATGAGTTTAAACGCTCATAACGGGCTATTTCTGCGTCTAGTCTCCTTTGTCCTAACAAACGGGATTCTTCGCGTCGTAGACTCTCTCTGTGTTTCTGACTTAGACGGTTCTTTCCATCGAAAACTGCTATCAGTTTTATTCCATTGTTACGTGCATCATTTATCAATTTAAGATAACTAAGTATGTAACCTTCTTTGCCATAATAAAAACGTTGAGTGAGTAATGTGCCATCACTTGAGATGTTTAGATGAACTCTTTTCCTTACTATCAGAAGACTCACATTGCTACTCTCGATCCTCGGATATCTCTCCAGCGGCCGTTATATTGTTTGATAAGCTGTGGACTTATAGGATGATATGAGTAGACTATAGTATATCTAACAATAACCCACCAATACCTCTTTATCGTTGCAGTCAAATCCTTCACTCCCATGATCTCATCGTCGAAACTAATCAAGGAAAGCGAGAAAAGTAAAAAATAAATATTAAATATGCATGAAACCGCTAACTTAACGACCTTCAAGTGAGGTTTTAAATACACTAAAGCTTTCATTCTCGAGTAAACCAAGTCTGGCACCTTCGGTCAATAACAATGAATTCGAGGACGTCGAGTAGAATGGATCAACGAATTCATTCGCGTTGATCTTTCCTTGGGTGAATATATATTCTCTTAGTATCCTCTCAATGTTTAGCAACTTCTCCGTCATTTCAGATAATGTTATCTTAAATTGTACCGTATCTGGTTGTCCTATTTGCTTGTATTTGAAAATTCCATTCAAAGATTTAATTAGGATTGGTAAACGACGATAGATTTCTCGTAATTGTCCGCGATCACTTGCATCAGCTTTCTCTGATGTTGTTCCGACGATCAATTCTGGAACTCTCTTTAGTATGTTTGTATATTCGAGTAATAGCTATTAAAGTTAATCTCGTGATCGGATATATCAAAAAATTATCACTCACTTTGCCACCAGATGACCAATTGTCAACGCTAACGTCAACATTTTCAAATGGTTGGAGTAACTTGTTGAGTAAGTCCAGATCATCCCGTATGATAGCCTCTGGAGCAAGTGTATTTACAGCTACAAAGTGAGCACCTGTGTATTGCTCTGCAGCGAGCAACAATTTGTATTCTTCGTACATATTACCCTGGTAGTGAGCATATGTTGCCTTGGTTGTTTGGTTAATAAATAATAAAAAAAAATATAAGAGCACTCACCTTAGCTTCAGCTAACCATGTTTGTGGTATACACAATTTATCCACCAAGAATGCCTCATCTTGTTCAGAATAGTTCATAACATTCCTGGTCAAACTATCCTTGATCGCACTTTCTCTCATATCGTCGAGTTCTAAATGCAGAAGGATGAATATACTCCATTGGTATAAACCTGCTCTTTCAACTTGACTGGCATAATTAATTGCCAAATTGTCGGCTTTCTGTGAATGTCCTTCAACAGTTCCATCTTGGTTTTCATCCATCGCTACATCAAACCTTCCACCAAAATCTCTCAATCGGAGTACTCTAGAGAGAATTGTGTAGACATGCCAGCTCAGTCTCCAATCTTGCTTTGAAGAACTAAACCCAATTGGTTCTAATGCCCTTTCAAGTGTATATGCAGGGTCAATGAACAATTTTATGAGTGAATAGATAGCATCAAATGGCCCACTCTTCTTGTCAATGTGATGGTGAGCTATTGGTGCAGAGGCAGTTGGTTCAAACTTTCCATCTTCGTCATTAAATGCATTATCGTAGGCGTCAACAGCATCGTTAATACCTTGTTCATCGAGAGTACCATACCATAACCTTAAACCAAACGATCTCAACCAATCGAGACCTTGAGAGATGTTAATCATGTCGGCTTTGTCTGCATTATCGAAACTCTTATTGCCTTCAAGGTTGTCAGTTATACCTGCCAAAAGGGCATAAACTTTTCTATAGTTTGAGTCAATTTGAGAATCGACTTTATGCTCCTTCCACTTTTGTATTTGAGAGTAGAGGTCATTTCTAAATTCGCTATCACCTGGTGATTGTGTGATGAGTGTTGCTAATTTATAATCACCTATGCTCATAGCAAGGTTTGCAGCTCTGACTATTTGATTACCAGTGAGTAAACTAAATACTCTATTGATAACTTCTTCTTGTGATTCCTTTATTTCAGATTCAACCGTCTCTGAGACTGTACTTTTAAGCCAATTTGAGAGGGCTTCTTTCCGTCTTACCGCCAGAACTCTACTGATTAGGGTATCACTAGTATTTTCAGGCAAGTCCAAATCGATCTCATCAAACAATGCACTAGCTAGTCTCCAGTAAGTAGCCTCATGTGCATAGTCATCTTGATTGAATGTACCAACAAAGTTCTTAAACCTTAACTGATAATCTGTCGATGCAACAGGTAACCCACTATCTTGATCGAGTTCGATGGAGGTGTATTGCAGTTGTAATTGTAAAAGCTTCTCAATAGCGGTTCTATTGGAATCTTCTGCCGTATTTTTAAAAGCGACAATCGAAGGTGATTGTTTGGATATATAACTGTATTCGAGATTGCTCAAACCGGGTCTAAATGAGCGACCGAGAGCGAGAGCTTGGTCTTTGTATATATTGTTATTATTGAATGAAGTGCTGGTGTGCTTGAATTTGCGTATAACTGCTGGTTTGAAAGAAACTTCTGGAGGTGGTGAAGTGGATAGTCTCTTGTTTTGTTCAACGATGTTATCAGATTGAACCAACTTTGGTAATGATTTAACTGGTAGAGCATTATCCTCTTCTACTTCGTCGTCGTTGTGAAAAAAGGAAGTCTGCATTACTTGGACCCTTTGAGGCTGTAAACCGAGACTAGCGGGGAGTCTATTAGAAGACGGCCTATCAAAGTTGAATGTATTGTCCATTTTAAAGTCATCATCGTCCTCAGATTCTTCTATAGCCATAGAGTCATCTCCGTCGAGAGATTGAACTGGCGGTGCGTCCTCTTGGTCGTCTATAAGGATATCCTCATCGCTGCTGTCGTCTAAACCATATCTGTATATTTTAGATGCCTTACTGTTTTTATATCTCTATTTACTCACCCCCGTGCCATTTCAGATGATGATAGTCGACTATCAAGATGGTTTTCGCCAACTTCTCAGAAGAAGACAAACAAGCGTTCTTTGAATTGTTAGATGAGTATTTTGAATCAAGACCCCACTTATTTGGCGGTACAAAATCAAAAGGTGCACCACCACCTGTGATGCCACGACAACCGCCTCAGGAGCAGGTTGTAGCCTTGTATGATTACAATGGTGTAAGTGGCAGTATTGCAATTGCATATATCTCTAATATGAACATCAGTCTGGTGAAGATCTCTCGTTTAGGACTGGAGATAGGATGTCGGTAGTGGATAAGCCATCATCTGACTGGTGGACGTGTAAATTAGGTGCTCAGCAAGGATTAGTACCTGCAAATTATATAAAATCAGCTTAAATATACCTTCTTTCCTTTGTACTATGAGATTAAAGATCATCTACGATAAACAGAAATACTTGATTAACTTTACAAATGATAATCTATCATACATAAAGGAATACATAAGGGAATTCTTTGATATACGTTACAATGTACACCTTGAGATTGATGGTTTTCGAGTTACGCAGGGTGCACTCAAGGAAGACGATATTGTAGATGTTATAAAGACCACCTTGAAGAGGGACATTAGTAGTAGCAGTAGCAGTAGTAGTAGTAGTAGTAGTAGTAGTAGCAGTAGCAGTAGCAGTAGCAGTAGCAGTAGCAGTAGTACCAGTAGTAGCACCTCAGATTCATCAGAGGACGACGAAGAACCAGTACCAGCATCTATCCAAACTGTACCGCCATACACTGGTACTACAAAAACACACAAAAGGAATCTTCGTAATAAGAAAAAACTAAAGTTCCAGAAACTTGAAAATCAACCGGTTAGGCCATATTCCTCATTACCCTTGGAAAGTATACCTAAAAATGTGCGCATAACGTCAGTTGACGTAGAAGACACATATTTCGAACCTGGTAATTACACTCTACACGCTGATTTCCGCGACGATCAAATGCAAGAAAGTTCAGAAGATAACCCGATGATAGATGAACAAAGTGGTAATGATTCAGCACCCTCAGAGGAACCAATAGTTAGCAATAATGCCACTGCATCTAATACCTCTCAAGATGTCAAACAGTTGCAAGCTGGTGTTCATTATCTTGGTTATGGTATGGGTAACCAACATGATACCCTTATCGATCAATTCATCACCAAAGCTCGCAAAAAAATGGAATCACAGAGACCACTCAAGGGCTTACCTAAGATTAATGCATTCATTGGCTATCAAGTGAGTAAATAATTTCACATAAAACATCTCTAACAAACAAAGGAATTACAACTCGATAATCAGAGACGCCCTGAGAACTTGATAATGATTGGAAAAATCGTAGGATGTACTGAGGAAGTTGTAACACTCCTAAGATGTTATTTTACACAAGGTATGCTCGAAATGTCACCAAATGAGAGCATTACACAAGATGAAATGATAGTTGAAATGCCTTTAAACGATCTAATACAATCTAATGCGGTAATTTTGTAACTATAACTTGCTATACATTCTCCAAAGTTGGTGTAAAGGAGACAGGAATCGGAGTGTTTGAAGGTGATGGTACGAGACTACCGTTTGGTGTATGAATTCGCGAAGATGGGGGTACTGGTGGAATTTCAGTCTTTAATGTTCTTGTTTGCTTCTTCCGAGGTTGTGGTGCATTAGAATTTTCAGTCATGTAAAACCTCCTAAGAAGCATAATAGCTTCATCTCTGAAGACACCACCTAATGCTGTATATGGCTTTTGGTATTTCAGCAGCGGTTCATCATTTATTGGTACAACCGAACCGCATCCGCCAAAACGTTCATTTCCAGCTCCATATACGACGTGATTGATACCAACTTGTCGCAAAGCACTTGCACACATGATACAAGGTTCTATCGTAACGTATAACGACGTCCGTTCAAGTAGCTTTTTGTCGTCTGACGTACGAAGAATTTCACCAATAGCTTCTAATTCAGCGTGTAGAGTTGCCTAAATGATTAGATAACAAAATAAGTTAAAAATAAATACTCACATTTCTCAACTCATTTGTTCTATTGCGAGATTTCGCAATCATTCTACCGTATCCTTCTGTTTGTAGGTAGAGCGGACTCCCAAATGGCGTTTGTTCAACAAAAACACATCCAACTGGTATCTCAGAAGCGTCATAAGCTTCCTGAGCCTGGATTCTCTTATCAATTTTGTCGATCATTGAGAAATACAGATCCTACCATTTCTAGAGCCATCCTCATCCAATATTTATCAACATCCGTCTGCGATTCCGGTGGTATGTAGGTTGCCATCCTATTTTACTCGACTCCTGGAGGTTTTCGTCAAGAGAGAAGACTGTCAAGACGATGTTTTATGGAATGGAATGGAGGATAATAAAAGCTGCAGTTTGGTATAAATTAATTGCTATTATTATTATTTACATTTGCACTACAATTATACCTTCATTTGATAGCAGTGCAGATATTATACTATCCGATGAATCTAATTCGTTTATACGTGCTCTCACAAAGCCGTTATTGAGGTGGGACACCTTCCATTTCGCAAATAGAGCCACAAGAGAGTCATCAACTTGGAAATGGGATTATGAAGTCGCTTTTATGCCACTCCTACCCCTTATCATGCGTTTTGGGGGTAAATTACTTTCAAAAGTGAGAATGTCAGCAATTTCTTACTCAGATGTCATACTAGGTGGTGCATTATTCACAAATATCATCAGCCTTCTTATTCCACTCGAATTGTACAGGTTGACAAGGGTGACGTTCCCCCACATGAAGGCTCAGAGGGCAGCTCTTCCAGTGATGATTATGTTGGCATGCACGCCCTCTCCACCATCACTGATTGCACCCTACACTGAAGCTGTATACGCACCACTGTCGCTCATGCTCGCCCGTTTAGTAAAAGAAGAAAAGTGGGGGCGAGCATATGTGGTTGCATTCCTAGCTGGTAGTGTACGCGCTAATGGATTCTTCCTTGGCGGATTCTTCATATACCAAGCTTTACTCTTCCCTCTCCTTGAGAAGAGACAGATACCCTCAAATTTGGTCTCTGTGAGTGTTTAGCTGCTAGTTAGATATACTTACATTATCTAGCGCATTATTATAACAGTACTTGGATTGTTGGCATCATTTGCACCTTTCGTTTATACCCAATTCGAAGCCTATCAACGTCTTTGTCCAGGTGATGACTTCTGCAATAACTTTATTCCAATTGCATACAACCATGTACAAAAACGCTACTGGGATAATGGCTTCTTGTCATATTGGACACTTCAACAGATACCGAACTTCGCAATCTCATTCCCAATCTATCTGATGTCTTTTAGGGCATTGAAAGAAAAGATTACACTAAACACACTCCCTCATTACATTTTACACTTAGTCATAATATTAACATTGTTATTCTACTCCAATGTCCAAATAGCGTTGAGATTTTCAACTGCTTTGCCTTTATTATGGTGGCATGTTGCTTCCAATGAAAATGAAGGAATACCAAAGGCGTTTATAATGTGGTCACAAACCTGGTCTGTCGTTAGTTGCATCCTCTGGTCGGTTTTTCTACCACCAGCGTGAGTTAACTTGTACAGAAGAGGAAGTTATCGCCAATGTCTTGGATTTCAACTTCTTCCTCATATTTATCATACCACTGGAGCTGAACAATCCAAACTTTATTAGAAAGCGTTCTAACTTTAGCATTCGGCACGTTAATCTCCTTGATTTTAATATTGTAATATAAACCTTTAACACTTCTCTCATGTATCATGTTACCAATTATATGATTAAAAGTAAAACCTTGAGTTTGCGTATTTGAGTACTTCGGAGTTGTTTTGAAACTTCAATTGGTAATACAGATATCCATATTGGATCTTGGGAAAGACACAACCTAGTGCAAAGATTGAGTTATCTTTGTCTAATTTGTGTATTGTCACTAATATTCGTGTTCTGCTCTGAAAAATATTAGACTTGTACAAGTTTACAAAAATTTAAAACTTCATCTCCAGTAATACATGCTTTTTTATTTAGTTAAAGTAACTTAACGTAGTTTTGCAATTCGAACACATCATATCAAAGATAACATACTATTATAGTCGCAGTCACTAACTTGGGTAACAGCTAGCATGATAAAGTAACGAATAACTATCGATTGCCTTATTCCTTGTTTGTTGATGTGTCCAGTCTCATTGTGTTATCTGAAGATTAAAATACAAACAAAGCACGTGTCTTTAGCAATGATATAGTTTATTATTTCACTTTTGACAGTCATCGTAATCCTATCCTTTGCTTAAAAACTTTCTGATTATAACAATATAACAACAGAAGTCATTTAAACTATACAACAGATTGCAATAAACAATACATAATAAATTACTTACTAACCACTTTCACTTGTTTAGATTCTATCTCGTAGTTTGCGTAAACCAATTGCTCAACTTTTGAGGGTAAATCGCGGTCCAAATCGACGCAAGTGGCATAGTCGGTATATAAAGAGCTAAAATTGTGTTAATTTTGCACTCTTATGGTGTTAGACTCACGTTATATCCTCCCTATGGTCGATAACACCAACCAAAGTGACATATATCTTTATAGGATGATCCTTTAGAAATCTCTTTACTAAAGTTTCTAATTGTAGTCTTCCGAAATCCTCAAAATTATCAACTTTACTATCATTCTCTTTGTTATTGTGACAAATATCATAATATATCTTCAATTGTGAGAGATTAGGTGAGTTAATGAAATAACCAGCAAAGTTGAACTTTTCTGACATTACGCCCATAGTTAAACTCTTCAATTTCGGGAAATTTATAATTGTATTGACGTAAGTTTGATCATGATTTACGACGCATAAGTTAGTAAGATTAGGAAAGTTCTTTAAAAGTGTTGCAGATTTCGTAGTAAATGAATGCGCCATTGGTAATCGATTAACGAATGTGCTTGATGATTTAGCGAAATAAAGTGAAATTTTTATCGATCTGGGTTGTTTTAAGTGATTTATGTAGAGAAAGTAAAACTTTAGACTCACTTTACGCCTTCTTTTGATGCCTTAAATCTAGATAAACTAGACAATCTCGACAGATTCAATTGTGCATCAGATTCATCAATTGATACTTTATTTGGTTCATATTCACCGGCAGAAGTGGCGATACATTCTAAATCAATGTACACCCTTTTATTTGCTAGACTAAAAAGCTTCTTACAGGTTAGTAAAGCTCTCACATTGCTACGCTGATCGAGGCATTCAACGACGTTCAGTAGAACCTCCTCTGGTAGAAGTAATAAAGGAGAGACTTCCTCAGTTAAACGTTTCTGGAGAATTGTTTTCGTCATCTTGATCGTCAGAGATAAGCATTACGGCAGTTGTATCCAACTATCATATTACGAAATATACTATGGAGAAAAAGCCAGAAGAGGAAGCGATATTGAATAATATAGAGACTAGCTTAACTGGACTCAGTCAGAGTTTGCTAGAATTGGGCGTGGCTGCTAGTGAAGTACCCCAGGCTGAGGAATCTGAGAGTAAAGAAGGCGAGAGTAGTAGGGTTGTTAGTGATAAAGTGTTAGTTTATCGATTTTATGTTAAGTACAAACTAATACAAGCTTATTAGGCAAGAGAGTTTAGGCTTCTTAACGAAATTGAATGATTTAAAAGGGAATACAGAATTAAGAGTGCCGTTGGAGGCGATAGAGTGAGTAACTTGGTATTGCAGATATTCTAGAATACTAACAACTACACCAGCCAAGTAGATCAAGGGAAAAATCCAGGTGTATATACGAAAGACTTCATCGAACAAGTCGCTGGTGAGAATATGTTCATGAATGGCAAACTGAGTGCGGTGAAGGTTAGCAAATGCTTTCTATCTTAACAAAGCTAATCAATTATCAGACGTATCAAGATATTTTAGCTACTGGAATAATGGAAAACTTTACAGAGTTAGTACAAGAAGTAGAGAAGAGACGCATTTAGTCAATTCTATTGTGTAGATTACGTTGTAAATTATTGTAATAACCCAAACTGAATAAGTTCTCTATGTGAACGAATAGAGGTGCTAAAAAGACGGCACCAGCGACGTTATCTAATAAAGCGGGCGCGCGTTTCTCATGTTTAGCGTGTCCATAGAATTGAGCGATCCAGCTGATTATGTGTATGAAAATTAGTGTGTATACTGAAGTGATGTAATTGCGACTAAGGAGCATGAGTGTCATGATAGGTAGATAAGTGAAACCGATTGATATCGATAATATAAAGTAATATGTTTGATAAATCGCAGCTAAAATTATCGCGTATGTCGTAGATAACTTGGCTAAGATAGCAAATGTGGACCAGAGGATAAGTGGCACACAAATCCTATGAATATTTACATTTGTTGTATTCTTGTGATATCTGAAATAAAAATGTAACTGAGATTCTAAGTCAAATACCTTCATTGTTGACGACCAAGATGATATCAACCTTGATCACCCGAGTTTCAGGTGAGTCGAAGAGCTCCAAGAGAAATGACGATATCGACTAACATCGACATAGATCAATTACCGTTGTGCGCGTCAATTGATGACGATGATGTACGTATACAGCCTGTCTTTGATATTCTCCGTTGACAGCTCAAAGCTCGAGTTAAAAGAGCAAAAGCAGCAATCAAAGTTAATAATTAGAAGGTTGAATAGTCAATCTGAACCTAAGTGTACTATAAGCTCTGGAAATTACAATCTACACTATCTTCTAGTAGACGATATCTGCATATTGACCATAACAGAGAAGAGTTACCCGCAAAAGTTAATATTTAACTATCTAGATGAACTAAAAAAGGAATTCTTTAACTTACACGCTAACCAATTTATCAACAAACCATATCAATTTCAGTCATTTGAGCTTTTCATACAAAAAACAACGAGGTTATTTGAACAACCGAGGCAATTCACTCAACTCAACAGTGAGCTACAAGATGTGACACAAATTATGAACAAGAACATTAGCGATTTACTCTGGAGAGGTGACAATCTAGACAGAATGTCGTCACTTTCATCGAACTTAAGGGATGAATCATTGAAATATAAGAGAGCAGCTAAAAAGGTAAACTTCGACGCTTTAATAAGGAAGTATACACCAATTGGAGTAATAGTATTACTCCTATTCATCATTATTTACTACAAATTAAACTAATAATCTTTCAATTTCGAGCTTAATTTGATTAATTGATGAATTTAAGTCCGTAGCTTGATTAGTTGTAACAGAGGCTGCGATGACTGGTCTAGAAACACCGCATGCTCTACCCAAAGCGACCTTTGAAGGAACGAAAACATATGGTACATTCTTGTCTTCACAGAGTAAAGGCAAATGAAGTAAAACCTCAATTGGTTCAGTATCAGCGGTCATGATGATGAACTCGCAGATACCTCTGTTGAGAGTCTTCGTTGCCTCGTTTGCACCCTTCTTCAATTGTGAATAGTGAGAAGATTGTTGGACTAAGTCCAAAATCTTGTTGGTGAGAGTAGCGTCTGCTAATGGGAAAGCTTTTGGGTTTGGTGCTGACATTTTAGTATCCTCGCGCTTGACTAAGTTCTGTGTTAGAAGTTTGCCAGCTATTTCCTACTATTATTTACCTGCGTTCCTTGGAAGATAACTTTGTAGTTTTTATCAAGCGGCGTAGATTGAGTTTTATCATAATAAAAATTTAAACTTTCTTCGATAATTTAAATTTTCTATAGTTTTTATTGGAATTATCTTCTAATAAATTCTATGCACCTATTAAATGTACCCTCTCTACACTTGAGCTGATACACTCTTCTACCACCACTGTCGTCATAACTTTGATATTTATAACGCTATAAGACTCTCATAATACAAAACGATGACTACAGATTTACAACAACAATCGTTCACCTTGGCGGACGACACGGATAACGCACTGAGCGTAGACGACCTCACTAGATCACAGCGTAAAGCTATAGACCTTGAAGCAGAAGAACCGAATGAACTCGATAGAGAGGCTCTCCTACAAGCTGAGTTAGACGCTTTGATAAAGTTTAGACAACCACTTGAAGCTTCCGTCGAGGCTTTATGCGTAGCCCAAGAGCAGAATCACGTGGGTTTAGCTATCCTTTTATGAATGGTTGATTCTAAACGCGTCAATAGAGATTAGCTGAACGCGTCGAGCAAACAAGTACTCTTTTGGATGAATACACGAGAATACTCAGGCAGCAGGAGCATACGCGTAATTTAATGCTTAACACTCACTGGAAGGGTGCCACAGAGGTTAGTTGGTGTGCTTTCATTATATTCGACAATAAGTGAACACACTACAGGATGTACGGGCAGTAGAGGAGAAACAACGCGAATTAGAGAGACAACAATATGAGGCTGCACAGGCAGAGGAGAGGCGTCGCGCTGAAGCTGAATTGGCACGAGAAAGAGAAGCAAAAGAAGCTGAAATGAGAGCGACAGCAGCGGCATCAGCTAGCAATCCTTCAAGAGGTTCTGTACGTGGTAGAGGGCGTGTCTCGGTATCGTCCACCCGCGGTAGAGGTGAGTGACATCAAATAGTATCACAATGAGCTCGATTTAACAGTATATAGGAACTCTGAGTAGTAGTGTACCATCTGTACGCCCGCAAAGTCGGATACCTCCACCTGGATCACGTATACCATCATCCTCGGCGAACTCAGGCCGTCCGAGTGCTAGCGTAGGTGCAAGTGCGAGAGGCCGTGGAATAGTACGTGGAAGTCTGCGTAAATAAGCTATTGTTGTATAATAATAATAATAATATATTTTTCTTGGTATATTTTATACAGTCGGGCACAATTCAGCTTATCACGAACGTCCATGCGGCTGAATAGAGTAATACAATCTATAGCATTAGTTAGCTACGCATTAGCTGCAGATACTCAAGGATTCAACGATCCTACAGAAAATGGCGGTAAATGGTTAACCCAGCTCAACGAGACAGAAATACTTGGAGAACCTTTAAATATCGTTATATCCGGTGATAGTGATCCATTAGTACTCACAGTAGATACAAACCTCGCTGGATGCTTCTACACTTATTGGGAGTGAGTATTTTATACCCTCAGCTGCGTATCTAAGAAATAAAATTCAGTTCTCTAAGCTTCATGCAAGAATTCGCTGGTATTCATCTTGGTGGTGATCAATTAGCAAACGTTGGCGATGGTCTTGGTCCGTAATTGTTCTTTATGAGCTAATTCATACTCACAATCCTAGTCCCTCAACAAGGTATCCTCAGATACAATTATAATGATAGAAATGGTGGTACTTTATAGTGAGTATTCTTATTATACTGCTATTTATTCTTATCTATCATACAGCGAGTCTCAGCATGGTGGCGTACGTCTTCTCTCTTGGGCTTTTATTAGATGACTTACGGAGAACAAACAGAATCATATTAGATATTGGAACCAAAGTAGCTCTAATGCTATATTCATTGCTGCTTCAGCTGAGATGTCAAAAGCTGGTGCGTTACTCCTCGATATATACCTATCATTTCTAATAATCATCCCAGAGAATCACATGATTATACCAGACGGGTGAGCTAATATATTCTCAAGTGAATTAGTCTAATTATTCTTCAAGCTATAACATCGGTAGAGATTGGATTGCTGGTAATGCAACAGGTCAAGAAATTAGTAATGCTACGGCTTCACAAAAGATTACTGGTCAATCAACCGGTTATTGGACTAGAAATGGTGACGCAGGTACAAACGTTTCTTTCACTTATGAGACCGAAGTCACTTATCAAGCGGGCTTAATTAGTAATGATTCTACTAACATCAACCACGCTGATGCAGTTGGCGTGAATGGTCAACCACCACAAGATGGTTTAATCGCTTTATTCAAAGTCAGCATTAAAAATTCAAACGAACCGGTTGATTCAAGTTCTTCGATAAACATTACACCAGCATTCACAATGCTAATATCACTCATATTTACCGCAATCTACATTATAATTTAATCTCACGAATTCCTTATTTAAATGTTTTGTTTTTAGAGAACGATTCGTTAACATGATTTATTTATGTAACAATATTGAATGAAAAATTTCATAAAACGGTCTCATAAGACTGGACCTTAGGCGGTTGCGTCGACTAAGACACCACCACTTTGGGCAACTTCTGCTTGCTTCTTGACCATTTCAATTTGCTTAGCGTTACCGTCGACTTTCTCTTCGTCGTCGAGTTCCCAAGTGAGATACTCGTTGGTGTAGTTTGGCTTCAAATCTTGAGGGAAGATACCAAGACGTTGGGCGTAGCCAGTGACCTTCTTCCAGTCACGGTCGACGTTTGCCAAATCTGAACGCATGTAGTTGTATGATCTGGCGTATTGTAAAGAAGCGAGAGTTGTTCTCATTGAAGGCTGTATATATTAGTGATGTTGACATTTAAATTCATAAGCACCCACCTTATGCTCTTGGAAGAGCTCCCAAGTGCCTTTAGGATCTTTGATGAGATCATCAGCAGCTCTCTTGACGGCTTTCATGAAGCCACGAGCTTCATTTGGATGGGCTTCGAGCCATGCTGTTGTTTATTAATCGTGCACTTAACCTACATGAAGTATTTCCCACCTTCATTACCAATGTAAAGAATTGAACAGAAGCAGCAGCATCCAAGTTCGGCGAGTTGGTCAATACTAAAAGAGCACACTTAATACTTGAACAGCAGAGCAAAAGGGTAAAATATACCGAAGCATTTTAACGTCACTAGCTGGACGTCCATTAGCTTTGCACCACTCTTCAAGCTATCACATCTGTTAGTTTGTTCAGGTTAGAAATCGACATCTTGGAAACGAGAATGATGACTTGTTGCCATGAAGGCATCCCTCCGCACGCATTATCATGGGCAGGTTCGGACCGTATAATCTCAGCCCTTGGCTGTCAGCAACGGTATGTTGCCAACTCCAAGTGCACCGGCAGCTCCATATGCAACAAGCTCCCGTTAGGAGTTGTGCGTACCTTTTATATGTGCTCTTGTCTGAAAAAAAAGGTGGCACAAGATTTACACCTTTTCTCGTTCCAAGTTGTTCGATTGTAATTATGCAGTAAAATAGAGCATGGAACTCATCTCACCTCTACTTGTTGCATGTTCTCGAGACCAATACCAGCATGGATTTTGCCGTCGATGAGTGCCTAATGAATGTTAAACAATTATCGAAAGTGAAACAGAAGAACTCACCTTTGAGATGTTCATTCCACATCTAACAGCTTCGTACTCATCTTCACCCATGCCGTACGCTTGAGCGAGTTCTGCTACTTGAACTTTACCGAATTCGCCAACATAACCAATTTTCTTTCCTTTGAGGGATCTGAAGTCTTCAGTGACACCATTTCCTTCAAGGTAGAGTAAACCAGTGAATGGCTCATCCATGAGGGTACCAATACTCTTGACAGGATAACCACGTGCTTTACCAGCGAGTGTGTGAATCATTGCCTTTAAACCGAGGTCTGCTTTACCAGAGCCGACGATTTCAGTGACATCTGATACATCCTCTGGGTGAATGGTAGCAACTCTGAGGTTTTCATCCTTGAAGTATCCCTTATATTTTGCAATAATAAGTGGTACATGGTATGGAGATAATTCCCAGTTAGTTGAGCATACAATGTCGATTGGCTTAGTTTGTTGTTGCATTTTTATTTCTTCGTCGTAGTTAAAGAAGCTGTTGTTCTCGAACACCGATATTAATATACCCTTGATGTCATCATATCTAAGATCACAGATATGACTCACTTCCTGTTTGCTTCGGTTTATCTCGAAGAGTATGATGTATTTTCTATAAAAATCTAAATATATGTATACAACTAAAATGTTTGCTACAAAAAGTGCTTAAAAATTTCATTCGATTAATTAAAAAGTGAAAGAAAGTACATAAAGTTCCGTGAATAAAAGTACAATTCCTTTAAAAGGAGTTTATTTCTTAAAATGTTCTTGCGAAGCTCCTGGGTCTGCGTCACCTAAACCATTAGAAAGCTCGCTTTCATGTATCGCTTGATTTACGTCATCTATATTGCGAACCATCGTTTCATCTTCTATAGTAGTATGTGGTTTGATACGCCACCAAACCATTGGAAGTGCAAGAAGTAGACCACCGGCCATGAAAGCCCAAGATGAAGACAATGCACCCAGTGATCCAATTTGACCATCGATAGCCCAAATAATAGCTGCACCTGCACTTTGAAGACCTTTATAAAATCCAGCATAGAATGCTAACTTTGATGGATCATTTGACATTGATCCCATCATCCAATACGCGTATGTTTGCCATGCGGCATCTAATGCACCTGCGAATATATATAACACAATTCTATTGGCGTATCCATCATCTTTAAGGTCCATTTCTTTTATTTCGTCGTCTGGTATATGGAAAAACTCTTTCTGTATAGTGTAGAAACCAGCATTTGTGGCCCAAACCATGGCGAATAGTACACACCATCCGAAAGTTGCTCTCCAACGACGATTGAATCTTGAAATATCAAGTAATTGACCGAATATAACAGCTCCTACGATTTGTGATAACCAATAACATAATCCATTCAATGATCGCGTTCTGACATTATGTAACGCTGCATTGAAATCATTGAACTGATAAGTGTAGAACCAGTTTGAGGCAAAGAAAAATGGAAACAGGAGTGCGATCCATGGATCATCAACTAGTGATCTGTACAGATTTAACAATTCGGTCTTCCAAGTTGTTTGTCTTTCAATAACAACTGAAGTACCATCTTCACGCAACATCTTCTTAGGATTGCGAAGAGTAAGGGGAAGTAATACACCAACACCTGTAATGACTACGAATGCTATATAGGTTGAGTTTGAAACACCACCCTGGTCGCTCTCCCAGTTTGTTCCTACTGAGACGGCAGAGCCAATGACACCACCAAGGTTGAAAATGACCCAGAAGACAGACGTGTAGAGACCTTTCTTGTCCTCAGTAGGGTACGATAACATGAGTGAACCCTGTGTTTTGTTAGACGAGAAGGACATCCGAAAAAAGAAGGTCACTAACCTGTGCTGTCCATAGGAGACCTGCACAACAACCTAATATAGCGCCTGCAGCAATGTTGAAAGCACCAGCACCTGGATGAATGTTGAGTGCGAGGAATGAACCAATGTAAAGGCAATAACCAGCACTACCAATCATCATAGCAGGTATTGGACCGATAAGGTTGACAACACTACCACCAAACCATGCTACTGTCGCGAATGTCGCGTATAATGCAGCGTTAGCTTTGTTAGCGATACTTGGATCAGCTTGACCACCACCACCGAGACCTGAAGTTAAAACGTTAGTTAATGTACTTATTTGGAATATAAATCAAATTGCGTACCGGTTAGAGCGTTGAACAATCCAGGACCACAAAAGCATACGAAGCCTATAATTACTATCTGCGGCGTATCGTCAATCGCGGTGTTACTGATAACAAACAACGGACTTACTTGAAATAGTGGTCTGCAAAAGAAACCAAATATGCCAGTCGGTTTACCCCTGTTGCTATTGTCTTTATTCAGTATGTTTATCAGCGTCGGTAGTGAAGATTGTCGCTTTTCTAATTGTGACATCTCCAACGTTAGAACTAGAAGGAATCAAAAGCTTAGGTTGCCGGTTATAGTTGGCAAATTAATGGTTTACAAATAAGGAAGGTAAGTCAATTTAAACCCTAATTGGCAGGTGATAAGCATTCCGGCGAATTTAGCGCGGACGATTAAGAAGTTAAGATCTTAGACCGCGTTTGTAAAATGCGTGAAATGTTTTCATACCTTTATAGTAAGAAATAAATCAGAGACGTGATCTTTGGTGAAATCTGGGGATGTACTTACACGACGAATGTAACGCAGGTTCCTGGGAGGATCCTTAAGGCATTGATACCAGCACCTTGATAAAACGCCAGTAAACCATCACTTCTAAACGTAGATATAACGCATTGTCTTATCGTTGTGTACGCTTTTTCATTCTATTTTCATTTCGGTTAGATTGTCTCAATTAGGCGAGCTCAGCAGGACGTACCTGTATCCTACTTCGAACAACCTGATAAGGGTATGTCATACCTAAAGCAACCAATTTTGAGAAACCAGACATTAATGTGTATTCCCAATTCGACTATTTATGGAAGGTGAGGAATTTCATTAAGACTGAACGATGTGACATACCAACCAGGGGAGATTCTCATTTACATTTCCGGATGATTCAGCGCGATATAGTTTAAGTTCTTCATAAACTGCAAATTGAATGGCACCCTGTAGAACGCCAAATAAGGCAAGTAGGGTACCTCTCCAGTAACCAGGTATGCCTTCTTTCTTGCCTATATCGATCATACCATCTTTTAATGTAGGAATTAGAGCATATTGGTTAAGTAATTAATAAAACGCACGTATAAGACCTCTATAAGCGTCTTTATCATTTCGTTTAGTCGTGAATATCCGTGTCTTTATTAACCAAAGGGGATTAGTGGTTATTGCGACAATAGAGCCTGAAAGGGTATTAGTTAGAAATGGTATAAACACTATACTAACCAGCTTCTGAGGCTGCATATAAGTGTTCAACAGCTGAGAGTTTACGGTTTGGATGTCGATCGTGCAAGCGATTCTTCACTTTCGTGTATCTAGATTATTGTTAGATGTAGCATTCATATAGTTATATTGCAAATACAGCCAAAAGTAACCACCCCAGCTTATGGAATTACCAACGATATTCGTTGTTAGACCTCTCCACATACCCTTCCACTCTTGTTTCTTTAGTAAACTCTTCCAAATGTCCTTCTGTTTCGATCTTTCTGATACTTGGAGCCGGACTTTGATAAGATCTAAAGGTTGCATAGCGATAGTTGAAGCTACGCCAGCGCCGAGACCAGCTATACCCTGATCCTGTAGTATGCTTTAATAGATTTTCTTATTAATTCTCTACGTACCACACTAGGACTGCTAAAATAACTCATAACTTCTTGATAGTGAACGACGAACACTGAGGGAGCGAGTATGTAAAATATAGCGAAAGTAAAAAATCTAATAGAGATACCACCAGTGCAGCTCGCCAAAGCGCTTCAATTCAATCCCGCCAGACAGTCTAGAGAAGCTTCTGCGAGAATACGCTCTATTTTGAGTTCAGGGAGGGATCATAACGATGCATACGTTGAAATACAAAATTTAGCTTTAAAATTAGGTCCAAATAGTACACTGGATAGCCCTCTATCGTTGGCCTTAGCCCAAACTAGCTATCTTCACGGTTTGATCAGACGTGGTGAAGTTTATCAAGCGCGTAAGATGAGTTTGGCGTTTGCAAGAGCTGCAGCGAGAGCACCAAATGGTCGTTATCCATTCAGTCGGAGAAGGTTACCATTAAAGACTATGTCTTCGATTATTCACTCCCTCATTGGTCAACCTGGACAGTCTTCTACTACTACATATAGCAAACCAAACGGAAGACCAACTTACTCGTTTTTATACCTCATATCTCAATTTCCAACTCCCGGTGCAAGGGCAGCTAGAATGTTCGTATCACATCATGCAAAATTAGGTGATAGAAGAGCTCTTAGGGATTTCCTAGTGATATTAATATTCGGCTTACTAAGTGCTGAAATGATAGGTGGTGCCGTAGCTTTATACTCCCATTGGTGTAGAAAATATGCGGTAAGCGAAGCGCAAAAAAGCTCCATTATCTCGCAAAATAATGATAAAACCACCAAAGCCGTCAATAATCTGTCAACCTCGAGTCACATTACATGGCAACCTTCAAAATCACTTATCAAAGTGCTTTTAAACAAGTTACATACATCTCGAGATGATCCATATAAGCAAATGAAGGCTGGTGTATTATCGCATGTTGCTCAATTGCTTGATGATCGGATAAGAATAGGTAACCTTTCAATAATGGTCAGTGAATTGTCTTCCTACACAAGGAAGCACAAGTCATCACAATATACTCGTCAATTTGAGCGTACATTAGAGAGTTTATCAGAGGATATTATATCTGGTCGTATTTTCCATAATACCAAACAAAGAGATTACAAAAGAGTGAAAGACATCAATGCATCAACATATAATGCACTCATTAGTCATTTTATGCATCTTAGAGATATGACGAGAGTTCAATCACTTTTGGAATCTTTCAACAATCGTTATGGTGCTGTCAGAAGTGATACTCTTAACGCTGTATTGAGTGCAAGCGTTGAAGCAGGTGATATTCAGCTGGCCACACGTTTAGTTGAACTTTTGCAATGGAAACTTAATTATCAGTATAGCAATAAGTCTCGTTGGTCCGGTTTCAGGATTGCTCAGGATGAGAAGGTATTGAAAGAATTAAAGAAATGTAATCACTACAATGTTGATGACAACACTGTATCTGCCCTTCTCAAGTTTTATGTAGCAACGGGAAATAAGAAGATGGTCGCACCATTAACGTACCAATATTTACCACATTTAGACTTAAACACTGTGAAAGAAGACCGTGAAAGTAGTTACAGGAAATTGGATGAACAGACTAGTAGTGATTTGTTTGCAGCCGTCCATAGAACACTCAAAACTGGCTTAGCTGTCAGATTACTAAATGATAGGCAATTAGAGAATATGTCTGTGGAATCACTTACTTCAGTTATGACAATACTATCCCAAGAAGCTCGTAAATGGAGCCAATTCAGTACTGGATGGGGTCCTAAAAGATGGATCAGAAGCAGCTTCTTTGAGTCAAAATCAACGTCTGATTTGAATAATGACACCAGGAGTAAACAAATTCATGATCAAATGAAATTGAGGCATAATAGTGCAAACTTTATGGCAACTACTCTTTATAAGTCTGTTAGAAATAGGCCATCAAAACATCAAGTTGATAGGAATGACGTTAGTATAGATGAGGGTTTCTTGAGAATGTGTTTGAAAGTATTTCATAGATCCAAGTATATGATCGCAATTGATGATGTTTTGATGCAACTACATCAACGCAATTATACCATCCCTCATCAACATAAGGAGCGTTTTGAATGGATTAAAATGCAAGATCCTCAACTTATTTTTGATAAATTTAATAAATCAAGAGTACCCATAGTTGTTTCGCCAAAGTTTCATAACATATAGAAACGTATTTTTGTAAGAGTAATTATTATGTATTTGTATTGTTGTTACAAATTGAATAAGAAGCGTGAAAAGTAATACATCCAATTCCTAGAATTAAAAGTAAAGTTATCCTTGTCTATAATTAATGCAAAATATCTCATGCAATTTCCTTGGTATCTTTCTTGCCTTCTTCATCCTCATTGATCTCTTTCTCGTTGTAGTCCACAGTTGCATTCTCACCCGCGCCTACCTTCCAAGGAAGCAAGAATAAGATTAGAAGAAGTCCACAGAAGTGAACACCAGCTAAAAACCTATGATCTGTGTTAGAAACTTTCTTTTAAAATACTTGCAAAAACCCACCAATCTCCTGCTGATGTACCGATGAAGTCATTACCACTTGTATCTCTTTTGTCTACTTGTAATTGAACAACAGTAAACAAACTGATACCAATAGCTGAACCTAATTGTTGCGCTGTTACGAAAACACCACCAACGAGACCAGATTCAGAGTTTGGTGCTGATTGTATCATTGCTACATTACTTGCGCAATAGAGGATCGCACTACCACCACTACCAATAACCATACCTGGTACTTGTAATCTCCAGAATTTATCAATATCATCACCGAATCCTAAAACGATAGCACCTGTCGTTGAAGCAATAAATCCAAATAATAGCGCAGCTTTGGTGTTAATGTAGCGTAACAAGTAAGCTATAGAGATAGAACATAAAACTGATGATATACCGAATGGTATAAAGTGTACTACAGCGCTTAAAGGTTCAAATTCCCATACGTCAATGTAAATTTTCGTTAATGATTCTAAAGTTGTCGTCCACCATGGTGTAATCATGAAACAAATACCAAATAAGACTGTGAAACCTGGATAAGTCCAAAGTCTTTTTGGAAGTAATGCTGAACGTTGATCTACTCTAGTCTGCCACCAAGCGAAGATAATAAAAGTGATAATGGAGATAACCAAAGGTGCTATCACTTGTGCTGTACCCCAGCCAACGTTATTACCACTTGTAAGTGCGAAAATGAGTAAAACAACTGCTATAACTAATTGAATCACTGATATAACATCTATACGCGCACCTTTATGGTATAAAACTTTCTCTTTAGGTGTCAAGAAAAATGAAATTGGTGACAAAGGTAATGCGATGATAGTCAGAATCCAGAAACACCACCTCCAATCAGCTTGTGTGAGGCAACCACCAACAATTGTACCTATGACATTCGCAAGACCACCTGTAGCGCAGAAGATACCTAAAGCCTTAGCTTGAGATTCAGTATCTCTATACATTTGTGTGATAAGTTTAATAGCTGATGGAATTGTAACTGATGCGCCTATACCACTAAATGATTTCAAAACAATGAGTCCGATAGCATTATCACAAAATGGTGCAACTAGAGATAAAATACCCAAAACAGCTAAACCAATAGTGAATATAATCCTTGGTGAGAATCTATCGCTTAGTAATCCGGCAAAAAGTAAAAATGAAGCAAATGCAACTAAGTAACCATTAACTATCCAATTTTGAGTCGCACTGTCGATATTTAGATCTTCACCTATCGCTGGTAAAGAAATAAGTGTAACGTAAACACCAAAAACATCCAAAAATCTTTTCTTTAGTCAACTTCGATTACTTTGATCGACAGTTTTGAAACTCACTGTACTGTACTAAATATCGCAAGTAGTATCGCTCTTCTGAAATTACCTGGATGATTTACAAATGCACTATCGCTTAATTCACTCGCCACCATCAAATTAAAGTGAAACGATTGAAATTTACAGTTTAATGGACTTTCGAGTTGCTTAAACCCGAGAAGTGAGGTACGAAATAATAAGTTTTATGCTTCATAAATTAAAATTTATACATTTTCATTTCCTTTCATTTGTTCTAATCTAGCTTTGATATTGTTAATATCTCCTTTTTTCGGCACTTGCCGTGGGTGTTCATTCATTCGTGTGGCGGATTTAGTAATATTATTAGAACTTTCGAGTGGCTTGGGTATTTTGAGCGTTCTGGGTTGTACTTTTAAACTATTGTTTGATGATACACCCGTACTAGCTAAGCTTTGTCGCGCTCTTGGGGGTGGTAGCAAGCTGGTACGGCTTGTAAGTCCAACACTGCGACGCGCTTGACCATTTCGTGTAGATGTCGGGTTCTCAACGTCGTTACCCATACTCGCACCTCCGATGCTCTTTCTAGAGGTACTACCCGGTATAGACTTAGAGACATCACCTTTGTTTACACCTGGAAGCAAACTCGTGCGAGATCTTACATTCGTTGTGGGAGTTGCAATACTCTGACGTTGAGAAACACCACTCTTCCTGATTGTCTGGGATGTCTGCTTGATGTTATGCTTGTATGAATCTGGCGGTATGCGATGAGATGCCCTCTGTGGTAATCTCTGTGATGCAATTGTAGGTCTTTGCAACGTAGTATTTGAGTTAATTGCTGGCAGAGCCGATGCACGTCTGTTAGTCACCTGTGATGGTCTCGATAGTGGTTTTGGCAAGGTGGTCGTCGTAGGAAGCGCAGATTGTCTTCTCGACTTTGCCTGTTCGCTTAGTGGCTTCAATCGTGGGTGCGTAGTAGACACTCGAGATAGTTTCTTCGTATCTGTGCCTATGTCTAGCTCAGGTTTAGATGGTATCTGCACTTCTGAACTTCGTTCTTCATGCTCTTCTGAGGTCGTTTGATCCTTCTGTCCATTTTCTTTCTTGTCGTACATATCCACGCTTCATAGAACTGTTAGATGAGTGACGACGATCTTCAAACAGCTAACCCACTTCGGTTGTTCTACAGATTTGGCTTTCATATTACCAACAAGTTTTTCATCAGTTAGACATTCTCTCTTGTCTGGTGATGGCTGTAGACTTAGAAAACTGAGTTCATTGCTGAGGAAATTAAATGAAGTTTCAGTGTTGATAGCGTTCAGATCTAGAGTCTGATTCGGGCTATTAACTTCTGATGATAGTTTAATCGGAGAACATTTCTCTATATCCTTCTGTAGACTCCTCCGGAGAATTTCACTGTGTAGTCCTCGCGTATATCGCGATCGACTGGAATTCGATGGGCTTTCGCTATCGCTATCGAAACTACCTAAACTTGCTGGTTTTGGCGTTTTTAATATTTCTTCAACTTCGTTACTGCGAATGTTTATATTTATCGAATCTGTTGAATCGTCATTCAGACCGTCGAGTATATTTGAAGTATTTCTATTATGATGAATGAGAAGATAGCGAAGATAATAATCATACTAACCCATCTGTCTCACTATCCTGCTCACTTAGACTCTTACCGAAGACCGTTATATCAATTAACTTTGATTTTTCAATATCATTCAGTTTTTCTACGCGTTTTTTATCAAACAAACTTAAATCTGATACATCCTCGACGTTTTTGTCTTTTAGTGGGTCAAATTCGAGTAACAAACTCTCGGACATGATGATAGTAATCAAGGCTTAACTTTAGTTAACAACAGGAAACGATAATTTATGAAAATCCATAATACAATTTAAACTTAAATTTAGAAATTACGCACCGCGACTTGCTCGTTATACCTTGGTTTGTTATCGGTTGCTGGTTGAGGTGATAAAGGCGTTGGTAATGAGAATGCGTATCTTTTGTTGTCATCCGGTACGTTTGGCGTGTTCAGATCACGCTTTACTGAAGCTTTAGATTGATCTCGCCGTTGTACTTCATCATTCACTGGGCTATTGTCCCTTCTATACCTTGCAAATCGTGGGTTTAATGTAAGTGATGGTAATTTCCTATTTAATACAGCTTGCTCATATTCCCTTAGGTCTTCTCCTGCTACTCTGGCCGCACCTGGTGGTCCGCTTAACATTGGTAATCTATATTGATCAGATAACGACTGTTGATGTTTATGTAAAGCTTTCATCAAAGGTGGTTGATTAAGCTTAAGATTGCTGGCATCTGATGCACTTTTATTGACTGCTGCAACTGCGAACTCTTTGCCGTTTTCCTGTTGCTGCTGTTGTTGTGACTGATTTTGCTGATTGGCAGTCATTGGTATAGAAAGATACTGAGACCATATATCTTGCATATTGTGTTCATCTAATTCTTGCTTTTGTGCATCGTCACCGTTAACACCGAAATCCTTCATAAGCATCTGCATATCTGCGTTATAGAGAGGTGATTTTGGTTTATTAACGAACTGATTTTGTGGTGATATAGGAAGCTTAAACTCTAATGGTGTGTGTGGTAAAGCAGATGGAGTGCTTGGTTTGTTCGTGGGCAATGTGCTCAAATAGTTAGATTGTGATTCATTGAGCTGATCTTCGTAAATTTGTTTGAGGGCGTTATCGTTCGTCGTACCTAGAGTTGAAGGTTGTTGATTGTTGAAGAATTGGCTCCAAACTGCTGCAGTTTGCGCAGCGAAATTTGATAGGTTGGTTGTCTGGGATTGAGGTTGAGCTTGTGGCTGTACCTGTGGCTGTGACTGGTTAACAGGCTGAGTAGAAAGTAGACTAGGTGTTAGCGGTGGTTGCTGCTGCATGTAAACCTGTCCAAGTGACTGAGCAAATGCGTTCAAATCGTTATCAGGCTTGATAGAGGAAAGATCAAGAACAGGCTCAGATAGATTGACATCCTGTTGAGTGTTCAACTCGTTTTCCTGCTTCTGCTGCTGTTTCTGTTTTTGGGCTTCTATTTGCTGAATTTGCCTATCGAAGGCGCTGGACATGTTAGCCTTGCGATTCTGACGCTGGCCTTTCTTTGGTACGAGGGGATGACCTGCGTGACACTTTGACTGGTGTCTATTGAGTAAGTCGCTGTGTATTCCGTTAGTAGCCGTAATAGGGGATAAAAGACTATGACCTTCTAGAGAACTAGGTGCTGTTAGTTCAATAGCCCAATAAAGCTTGTAAAAACTCACAGATTCGTTACATATTTCGCACTCGTACGGCTTTTCCCCTGTGTCTATTAATTTATTAGCTCGGCCATCGCTACTGATAAGAATCCAGCTTACGGGTTCTCATGTGTCCTAATTGAGTTGTTAGTAAAGAAATAGGAGGAATACTAGACTGACTATAGACGTGCTGCTTCCTTGTGAACTTGGCACTAAAACGGAATTAGTTGTCGATCATCTGGCTTCCTAGTCTACGCACTGGCAAGTTGGACAGCTAAAATCTGATCCTTCAGGCATTTTCTAGGCGTTTTATTTTCCGGTTCTTCCCACTCTTACTTTTTCTTTTCTCAAGTGATGGACAAAACCGTCGCTCAATTGGGATCGACGTGACGACGTTTACAAAAAATTAAAATGAATTCCTTACAATTTCCACAAAAATGGGCAGTAGTTCTGTTATTTTACCCGTTTCCGGATAATTTATGTTTTCTTCCTCTTCTTCTCCATCCTCGCTTTCATTTTCCCCAGCAGCCGTAACCTCGGTTGTGAGGACTTCATCGACGCCCAGGGACCCCACCAATCCAGCGACCCATTCGCTTGATTCTCCCTTCCCATCGTAGTCCTCTTGCGACTCAATATACTTTTCACGCATACGTTCCTCATGCATCACCTTCTTCTTATAATGATAAATCGCTAGCTCGTCAACTTCCTTGAATATCTCTTTACGTTCCGCCTCTGAGTGTGGAAGGAGCATTTCTAAACTTATCTTGCTCTTCATTCCGTCACGCAAGAAGTCGAAGAATCGTTCAATCCATGAGCCAAAGCTATCAAACATGTCTTCGCCTTTGGAGTGTACCTATAGTGCTTTAATAATGGTATAATAATCCTCTAATTACCCACTTTGTGAACGAACGAGTAAAATTGCCCTTCGTGTCGCTTAACGAGATCAACAAAAATGTGGACGGTACCAGCTGGGTCAGCTTGTGAGCCTTTCTAGTTGTCAGTATTGAGGTTCATTATTTACACCTTACTTACGCTCCTCCACTTGCTCAACTGTCCTTATGAGGTCACCTATGAACATCTGCAGATCATACAACGAATCCACAATATTGGCAGCCTTATACACCTGTGCTAATGGAGTATAAAAGATGGTAACCATATCTTTGAGCAATTCAGCCGTAACTCCCTGTTGTGCTGTTAGACTGTATGCCTTCTTATTAGAAAAACGCACCTCAAATATCATTTCAATTAGTTGTTCCTTATCCCGCAACTTGGTATAAAGCTTAAGCAGGTAGCTGAGATCCATGAACAACCATCCTTCTTCACTATCTGGTCCATCGTCGGTGTACATCACTCCATTGCGTGCTCGTTCTTCTTCATATCTTGCATAAGTCTCCCAACCACGCGCCATCTTCTGGAGATCGCTTGGTGATAGGGTCGGCATATCACCAGACCTGAAAATGATATTGATAATATGCGTATTCTCTTCTGCTGTTTCGGTAGTTTTAGTAATGCTCCCACTTTGTTCACAATCACTCACCTGCATCATTACGATATAACTCTTGTATCTCCCTTGGTGCGTCGACAAATTGTTTGATTCTATCCGATAATACATCGTTAGAAACTTTCGCTCTTGTCAATTCAATATCACTCTCGAGTTGTTTGATGTCTTCGTAAATAGAAGCAGAGAACATCCTTAATGATTGATATTAGTTATGAAGCATATTCATAGTAATCGCCCACCTCTGAAGAATGCTACGCTGTCCAAAAGGTTGCGCCAAAAATAAATCAATTACACCTCTAACCATTGCTATTGGATTACTGACACGCAGAATACTACGAAGCACGAAGTATGGCATCAAAGCGTGAATCCTTTTTAAGCCACTGAAAGTTTCAGAAGAAGTATCAGAGCCAACGAAAGTTTGGTATATTGTTGAAGCAAATGATATTCTCGCCCATTCGAATACTTTCATATATCTCTCTGGTAGACTATCTATAGTTTCGTTATCTTTTATTATGCTGAACATCTTTTTGAAGCCATCTGAAATGATAATTGAGACGGCTGTAGGAAGAGAGAATTAATGACTTACCTTTCGACGATATGTCAGATTTGAACATTTTAACACTATCCATAACCTCATCTGCACGTGCATCCATCTCCTTTTTGAATCTGTCTTTACCGGAGTTCTTCACGCTGTCATTAAACAACCGTCGTTCGGCATCCTGTAATTCTTCCTCAGTGAGTGCTGTTGGATTTGACAAAAGGAAGGTCTGTAAAGTTGATGAATTTGCAACTGAGCGGGATATATTCAATAAATCTCTCAGGTATGCGCGTAAAGTCAGTCTATTTTTTTCTCTAAATAAGCTTGTTGGAGTGGACACATCGTCATCAATTTGTGAACTCGATGAAGATGCCGCATCTTGTGCAGCTAACGATGACGATTTGTCTTTCTGGGGTGGTGAAGGTATCACTTCATCTGGGAACTCATTACGTAGCTAAAGATGTCAATTAAGTAGTCTGAATTGGTAAGGGTTACCAACATTTTGGGCCAACAATTTAAAGTCTTGGTATCTTCTACCTACGTATACTTCTTGTACATTTCCATCATTTCCAACCAGTTTTGAATGGATGATAAACTCCTGAAATGTTTCAATGAGCCACTACGTTGTGAGAAAAGAATATAACCTACCTCATGTGCTCTATTGTGCATGATGCCGCGCTTTTGTGGTACTCTAAGAGTAACGACATTTACTTGCATTTTATAGCTGTTAGCGCATGATGGACGGGCTTTGTTTGCGACAATATCACTACCATCTACTTTGACGACAGCTTCACCGCCTTCAATTTTGCAGCCAGAACTTAGAAGAACGGCTAGGTGCTTCTGTATTTTCATTTTAAGTGCGCGTCTCTTTGTCAACTCCTCTTCATCTCCTGTGGAGGCTAGATTTCTCTCCAAAAACTCCTTTACGAATACTTGCACTTTATCAGACCAAAAATTATCTGGTGCTGATTTCAGGAATGGAAAAGTGATGACGAATTCTCTGAATATCAACTTCAAGAATGGGATATCAATATCAGGGACTCTAGTTGATTGCTTGAACGGTGGACCAAATAGAGATAGAGCGTCTGGATGACTTAGTACATCTAGTTCATTGTCTATTTCTTGACTGATCAGGTGTTTCTTCAAGTAATGAGACCGCAGTGGTGTTAACTCTGTAGTATTACAGCCTAACTCGTGTTCTAATTTATTTAGATTCAACTTCCTCAATTCTCTAACGCTATCGCCTAACAAATTATTCACTCCTTCTTCACTCATCGTCGTTTTAACGATAAAACTATCTTGGCTCTTTCGTCATTTCACCCACCAGCAAAAATTAAAATGACTATAGGAACTTTCTTATCATTAACGTTCTCTATAAGTTATGTTTATGCTGTGTATTTCACTTCTCTCTCGAGGGGACAGAGAGATGACCCTGCTGTTATGATCTCACGTATGAAGAACGTTGTTGTATCAAATATAGCTTGTTTGATAGTTATTGTTTATCTAGAAATGAAGCTACATAACCACTCTCTATTTGTGAGTAAATTGGATAACAAAGTGACCTTTTAACCGTTATCAGCTGGGATTGAAGCAGACAGGGTTATCTATACCAAATATAGACGCTTTAAAACCTATCATATTGGCACCAATTTTATATTTCGGTCATATAGTCGCTTCTCTTCTCACAAAAGAGCCACTTTTACCAACTGCATCGGAAGTCAGATCACTAACTTTTGTTAGGAATATTATAGTAGTGGGTAGTCTACCAAAGCTCTCATTAGTTTGGTAACACTTAATTAGGCTCCTATTACTGAAGAAATCACCTTTCGCGCGTGTATTATATCTGCATTCAGATTAGACTCACATAAATGGTCGAATACGTCGATCATTCTTTTAACACCTTTGTTCTTTGGATTGGGTGGGTTTCATGAACTTAAAATATCACCCTTTAACCAACCTTAGCACATGTTCATCATGGTCGACAAAGATATCTCAGCTCAGATAGATCCAGTCAGGCATTCATACGTGAAATGCTTGTAATTGGTATGTATACAGTCCATGAAATCAGTTTTCTAATATCTTAATAGCAGTACAACTAACATACACCACACTCTTCGGTTCATTTGCTGCATATGTCTTTTTAAGAACTAGTAAGTAAAATGAATATAATTAATAACTATCTAACAAACTCTAAAGATTCAATTTGGCCTTGCATACTGACTCATATGCAATGCAATTACTTTGGTCTGCCAAACTTCGGTCTCATAAACGAGGTTCAAGGTGTACATAGGAAGGTCACAATTGGTCTATCCTACACAGCAGGCATAGCGCTCTTCACATACTTACTTAGATCACTCTGATAGAAACAATAGACGTGTACTTCCACTCAACTATTGTATTAGATTCACTATACCCTGTAAAACTTTAATGGGATATTTTCAATAGACGATTTGCTCTTTAATTTACTATGCTAAGTTGAATGATATTAACAGCTGAAAGATTATAATTTGGTAAAAAAAAAACTGACAAATAGTTCTTCAGATGCTATTCGAAGTTTTATGTTGGGTGACTCTTATGAATTTTATAAATGTCCTTTCCTAAGGCAACAAAAATGGAAAGGCAAAAATAAAGGGCTCGACAGGGATTTGAACCCTGGACCTCTCGCAAGCTGGTAACCCAAAGCGAGAATCATACCCCTAGACCATCGAGCCGCTGTTGATTAGAAAACATAAGCTAGAATGTGTATCGATTAACTCGGTTCCTAAGTCCTATGTTTGACACGAAAATTTGCATATCCCAGTTTTTAAAAGAAGCCAAGTAACAATTCTCATCAAAAACTACAGTACAGTTGTCTAGAAAGGCCTTAGCCGTCAAGGCATTCCATTCAATTGTCATGCTACTAATAGTATTGATGAATGCGGCGATTTTTCTATACCTAAATGATATAACGCGATCCTAAAATCATCATTATAGTTATAAGAAAAAGAAGTCTAATCCGTATTATACTCGAAAGGTGTTTCACAAATGCTTATGCTACGCTTGATAACGTTCTACATGCCACATCTCTTGAGAGCAGCACTGAGAGGTTCCAAAAGCACATCAACAAAATATTGTGCTTATCAAATACACGATGATAAAGCACCATTGCTGAATATTCGATAATTCTTTTTATCTATAGCTCTCAAAAATTAATATCTAGTAACCTGATTTACATTTTTATTATATAATATAATCTAAGCGAACAAAAGTATATAGGATGGCAGAACAAAGTATCTATGCTTGAGCAATGAGTTCGTTTTGTGAGATACCATAGTGTTGACCATGCTTATCTAAAACGACCTTCATGAAACCAGCAATACCGGCCTTGTCTGGTCTGACAGGTTTACCATCGACAGATTTACCATAGTAGCTTGCGTATTCAGTGAAGATTTCTTCGAATTTCTTAGCTTTCTCTTCGTTTGAGTCATCCCATGGTTCAGCATGGTATCCCACTGCAGTGAGTTGTGATCCGGCGAGTGCGAGTGAGAACATTGGATTCACTAAGCTCTTCCTTGCGCTACTAACTTTACCCTCGAGGATGTCTTTACAGAGGCGTGGTTCACCACATAAAGGTCTAGCTAAACCGACCATTTGGGTGGCACCAGTCTCGACAGCTTCTGCCATGGCCTTTGAGCTACGGAAACCACCAGTGACAGCGATTACTGCGTGCTTGATGACTTTCCGTACATTCTCTGAGTATTGGATGAAATAAGCTTCACGTGGATTTGGTGCTGAATTCATGAAAGCGCTACGCTCGTAGCTACCCCCTGAGAGTTCAATAAGATCAACTCTTTCGTCCAACCATTGACAGATTTGTTGTGACTCTTCAGAAGTCAAACCGCTGTCTTCGCGGAAATCTTGTGAGTTGAGCTTAACGGAGACAATGAACTTAGGATCATTGACTTCTGCTCTAATTGCATCGATGATTTCAAGAAGTATACGTGCGCGGTTTTCCAATGATCCACCATACTCATCTGTACGACGGTTGGTGTGTTTACCAAGGAAGGAAGAGATTAAGTAACCTATAATAATATTAGATCAGGCTCAATATTATAAATCGACTTACCGTGGGCTGAATGAGCTTGGACACCATCATAGCCTACTTCCTTACAGAGCTTAGCTGAATAGGCGAATTGTTTGACAATGTTCTTGATGTCTTCTTTGGTGGCTTCCTTTGGCATACCGAAGGAGACACCAGGCATTTGAACACCTTCTACGGGAACAGCAGATGGTGCAATTGGGTTTGGGTTTACTTGCTTGTAACATTGTCTGCCTGAGTGGGTGATTTGGCAAATCGCGACTGTAATTCCTCGTTAGTCACACTTTTAGCATTGTGTAAGTAATAATTACCTGAACCGCCAGCCTTAGCAGCTGAAACGAGTTTTCTGAATTGTTCCAAACGTTCTGGTTCTTCGTATCCAATACCGAGGACTGGGTTTGCAGGAGCTTCAAGGTGGCTATAATAAATTAGAATATGGTTGTGGGTGTTTTAAAATCACTCACTCTCCAGCAACCGGTGTGTTACCGGCTATGATCAAACCAATTTGACCTTGACCCCACTCCTTATAAAGATCGATAAGAGCTTGAGTTGGTATACCTCTAAGCTTTGGGTTTGGATCATCGTTGTAAGTAGAGAGTCTCTCTGTCATTGGAGACTTCAAGAATCTGTTAGGGATAACTACACCATTTGGAAGAGTAACCTTTTCAGCGAGTTTGCTAACGTCGACCTTTTCGTCTGAATATCTGTTAGACATTATTAATTGATATTGTTTTCGTTAGTGTTGAAGGGGTTTTGTCGAAATTTATCTACCCTGGAGGACACCTCCGGTTGATTATCTGAACCTCCACATTATGTCAGCTACTGAATATCCGAAACAATTCCAGTAGTTTCATGTATAGATTCGGTATTCATATTGATTAAACTCCAGTATTAATTAGTTAACCAAATGTGGCAATAGGCTGTCTCCAGCAAATTAGCTATAAAACTCCGGATGAAAATTCCATAGTCATCCATGAAAGATTATAATACAAGTTGGTTAGTTGACAACGCTTTTTTCTTTGGTAGTTCCAAGTGTGCCAATAGGATCGACAGTGTGGCTGTAAAGAGAGTGAAATAAACTTGTTAGACTACTAGAACATATATCTTAAATAATGTTGCTATATATTATCATAATCTTTATATGCGCGTGTAATGACGCGATAAGATTACCCCTACCTCAGAGAGCACGGTAGATCTCAGACAGAAAGATGAACTTAATATCTAACTAAATCCCTGTTCTTCGTATAATAAATAGTATTTTTTATTAAAACGTCGTAACTAATTCATCATTATCTCGCTCCTCCTAAACCGTCATCATCAGAGATCGAACAACAAAGAAATGAGCGAAGATAGCGACAACTATGATATGGACGCTGCATCATTTGAAGGCTCAGATATCGTAGAAGGTGTGTATATCGTCCATATCGCTTCATAAACTTACAAACCCCCAGACTATCAATCCAGTAACCCTTCAGAAGCATTCTCAGATGAGGATGTTGATATCGACGACAATGACGCATTCAATCCCAGTGAAGCTTTAAAACCAAAGAAATCAAAGTTTGACGTTGATTACAAAATATACGGTATTGATGACATTATCAACAATCAACAATCAGAAACTGACCAAGTTTGTAACATATTTGGATTACAGGTGGGTCAATTTTATCTTATACTCACTCATATTGAACGCACCACTTTCAGCCCCAAGATGCTATCATTCTCCTTCGACACTTTGGCTGGAACAAGGAGAAACTTATTGAGCGCTACAGTGAAGACCCGGACAGGATATTGAAGCAAGTTGGTTTGGCTCCGGGCACTTCAGCCGCCGCACAGTCTGATTCACGTGCCAGCCCTTCACGCTTGAAGAGGGTCAAGGGATTCACCTGTGAAATCTGCTTCTCTGGCTCTGAAGATGCTTCTATTCAGGTTTGTGATGATTATCGCGGCAGCTCAATACTGATATAACGCAGACACTAGCATTATCTTGTGGCCACAGGTTCTGCTCAGATTGCTGGAAAATGCATTGCGAGGAGAAGATAAATGGTCAGGGTGAAAGTCGCAAGATTGAATGTATGCAGAGTGATTGCCAGGTGAGTCTTTAAGGTTACCATACGATCATCAGCTCACTTGTGCAACAAAGACTGTTATGAGTGAGCAAATTATTGGCCAAATAGTTTCAGAAGACGTCTTCCGGAGATATCAGAACCTTGCAAATAAGACATATGTTGAAGATAATAGGAGAGGTTTGCGTTTTTGTCCAGGACCTGATTGTGAAAACGTGATCGAATGTCAAGTTAGAGGTTCTGATCTTGAATCCTATATCCCAATAGTACTTTGCAAATGTGGACAAGTCAGCTGCTTTGGCTGTAGCTTCAACGGGGACCATAGACCGGCTTTATGTGGTGTAACAAACCTTTGGGTAAAAAAGTGCGAGGATGATAGTGAAACTGCTAATTGGATTAGTGCAAACACAAAAGAATGTCCAAGGGTGAGTATACTTCCTCGGAGATATCGTACCATCGTTGCTAATGTGACTGCCGTAGTGCCACTCAACGATTGAGAAAAACGGTGGATGTAATCACATGACTTGTCGCAAGTGCCGTCACGAATGGTGTTGGATTTGCATGGGTGAATGGAGTGCACACGGTACCAACTATTACAATTGCAATCGTTATGAGGAGAAGTCAGGTAAAGATGCACGCGATGGCCAACAAAAAAGTCGGGTTTCTTTGGAGAGATATCTTCATGTGGGTTTATATTAAGGTTAGAACAATTTCTGACAATACATTAGTATTACAATCGTTATGCAAATCATGAGCAATCAGCTCGTTTAGATAGAGAATTATATACAAAGACTGAGCGCAAGATGGATGAAATGCAAAAATCTACGTCTCTTACATGGATAGAAGTACAATTCGTTAAGAAAGCAGTGGAAACAGTAACGAAGTGCCGTATGACATTAAAGTGGACTTATGCAATGGCTTATTACTTAGAGCGTAATTCCATGACAGAACTTTTTGAAGACAATCAAGCCGATTTGGAAAAAGCTGTTGAAAACTTGTCTGAATTGTTGGAGAAACCGTTAGATGTTGAAACGATCCCAGATTTACGCTCGCAAATGCAAAATGCTACAAATTATGTCAAGTCTAGGCAAATTATACTGCTAGAAGATACTTTACAAGGTCATTTGGAGGGTAGGTGGACATACCACGCCGCGATCCCATCTATTGCATAATCACAAATCACAAAATTGGCAATGGCATTTTTGCATTTCTTAGATTCTATTCAATATGAGCATTATTATACTCTTTGTTATATAGTAGCATAAAATGAACGTCGCATTTCTTGAAATAATCTTATTCTTATTGCATCTGTATGTGTTCTTCGTTTACATTGGCAGTTGGAATTAAAATTTTTCCATTGGAATGAACTGGCGTGCCTAGCTGATGGAAGGCACGTCGTGTTTGATAAAATTAGCGGAGGAAAGGAAGAAATGGAATGAAGAGTTACTATAAAAGCAATGCTTCTTTAGTCTCTTTACTTACACTTGGAATAGGACCATTCAATGTTTTTCAATAGGATAATAGCACTTTCTCTCATTTCAGTAGTAGTTTCGTCAGCAGCTATAAACTCTAGGCAGTTGGACGATGTTAATAACTCTATCAATGATGCTCTCGGTAGTTTCCAAGGGTCAGGTCAACAATCTAAACAACAAGACACAACCCAACAATCCACCGGCACCGACACAAAAACGAATGAAGAAATTACTCCATCTGATCCTGCCAACATTGATTGGAAAAAGATTGATCAAATCGCACATGCAAAATTTACAGGTAATGTCGAGGGTACTGTTAAGTTTGGTGGTGACTGGCAAAAGCCGACTGATGTCGAAATTATTATGGAAAAGGGTCTAGATGACGCCAAAGGATATAGATATTCAATCAATACCCATCCAATCGATAACAATGATTGTAACACCGCTGGAGACATTTGTAAGTTATAGTTCATCTGGAGAGCTATTCTAATATCCTTCCAGTAAACCCTGTGGGCATACCAGAAAATGTAGTTTGTGACGAAAAGAAGCCAGAATACTGCAAGGCGGGTGACTTATCTGGAAAGCATGGTAAACTTGGATCAAAACACGGACACGGTCGTCGCGGCCACAACAGTGGTAATGCAAAGGACAAGTATAGTGATAATTACTTGAGATTTTTCCCACAACCCTTCTCGATCCTCGGTAGATCTATGGTTATCACAGATGATTCAAACAATCGCGTCGCATGTGCTAACATCATTTCAATGATTGACGGTACGCAAAAAGACGAGGGTAGTTTCGAAGGTACAGGCAAGGCATCAAACTACCAAAACGATTATCGTGAGCCAACTAAAACTGGTGAAGGTCAATCAAAAGTCACGCCATTTCAAGACGGCAAGACCGTCGACGCTAATTCTATACCAGCGAAGTCTAATCCAGCTATCAAGGAGTCGCCCTCTGTTGATCCAGGGTGAGTTGCTATCTGTTCTTTCATCTTTGTCGCTAATACATCAACAGCATTGCTATACTTGAAGATGATACTTCTGATGCTATTTCCACATCAAGTGTACCATACAGATTCGTTGGTTTGACCATCGTCTCTGCCATGCTCGGTGCTGTTGTACTTTAAGTGGACAGAAACTATTTCACTTTACTTAATTGTCTATTTTATTGTATCTATAATTACATCTACCTAATCTTCAGTCGATACACAAGGTTTCGTTGAGAGCTAAAACATGGAAGGTAAAGAACAAAGAGCAACGCCTCGCCCCGAAAATAACGATTTCATTACCTTAATAGGCATAAACTTGAACTAGTTTATACCTTCCAACGTTAAGAGAAAAAAAAAGGTTTCGATCGATCCATGTAAAAAGACCGAATTTTGAATTGCAAAAGTAATTTCGGATACCGGGAATCGAACCCGGAGCTTCGGTGGTCATTCAAGTGAAAAACCGATAGGTTAGCCGCTACCCCATATCCGAATCTGTTTGTTCTCTATTCCTAATACATGTTGATAGATGTTTGAATTGGCAATCTAACCTATTTTGCCGAGGGCTTTTTTTTTTTTCGAAAAACTTTCCACCTCTACTTTTATGTTTTCCAGATTTTACTAGAACACCTGATATAATATGGCACGTTTAAGTTTCATCACTCTAACCTGCATTATATTTGGTGCTATGGCTTATAAAACTAGTACAGATATGGTAACACTTGGAGGCAGTGGTTTCGTAGGAGGGATTTTCTTTATAATTGACAGATGCTCCCACGACAATGGTGGTTTAACTGGTGACCAGTGTGCGCGAGCAATCTTAATATATCTTTTCTTTGGTATAATATATGGAATAGGTAGAAACTTATCCCCTGACTAACTTGGATAGCTTCGAATCTGGGTTAGATATATCGCACACTGTACTGGAAATGCTACACATTTGGATTTTATGTCTATAGCTGGTAATCCCGATACTCCACAAGATCATGTTAGATCCTTTAACAATCCCAATATTTTCCATATTCTCAAGTTATTTAATGATAAATGATGGAGCATCTTACTCCGCGGTAATGCATAGATTTATCCCTGAACTAAATAGTTATCAGGCGCATTCTACGACCCACTTGAATGGTAGTGGGAGCAAGAGACAGCAGTCTAATAATGATCGTTGGGTGTTTTCTTACGCTGCGACCTCAGAACCGTCCACGATGAGTTGTAATATGAGTTTCATCTGAAATCAAGAACTGAAAAAAAAAACACAATTCAGTTTGATTATAAGATATGAAATACGGAATTTGTTATATATTTTGATAAGCAATCGATCACTAGCCTAAGACAGCGCAACTTGTAGAGTTATTTAACTTACTTTTTCCCTGGCCTCTACTAGGAGCACAGCTTTAAGAAATGAAACTATACAAGTCTAGTACTAATAAAACTATTATGTGCTTTTACATATTCAGCTATTTTGTAAGACAGGGTTTTCATAACATTTTCCACACGTCTGCGAAGAAACCCCAAACCTCTAAACTTCTATCCCATGTTCGATAATAAATGTTATCTATTTGTTATCAGTATCTTGTCTATACATATTATATACAACTTAAGCCTAGACACTAGCCTAACATAGCGGGTATTGTTTTCGCCTTCCATATAAACAGTCGAACAGTCATTTCAGTCATCAGTATAATTATACAATAAATCTCCATACTCCAGGTCGAGCTGAGGTATAGTGTAAATTTCCTAAGGACCTCTCTTACTCGATACTGGCTCTTGATAGGAAGTCTCGACGAGTTCATTGCGCTTTTCGAACTATTACTCCCTTCAAATTGCATAAGTTGAGTAACTTCATGATTGAAAAATCCATCTCCCAATCTATAAATTGCGTAAACACTAAAAATACACCCTACAACCAGGTTGATCAAACACCCTTCCTCGTTTATTATTTTACCTTGTTCGTTTCTATTACATTCATTTTCAATGAAGGAAGTGCCGATGTACAATGATACTATTCCCGCTCTCAAGTTGGATGTGTCAGCGTCTAGCAAAACCCACTTGATCCACTGCAATATATTATTTTCTCGACCTTTAGTAGCTAAGATTCCTTCCGCATAGACAGAACTAGTTAAAGTCATAATTACTATCAATTGAAGAAACAATGTCTTTTTTATGTTTCTGAAACCCGCTCTCATTCTCCTGTATTCGGATATATTGTCTTACTGTATATTATTTATAAGTAAAATCACAAGTATCCTACTATATGGAACTCGCTAATGCTATATAATTTTTTGATATCGATTATTTTATCTCGTTTCTATAAAAAAACCTTATTCTTTCGTATATTTGACCGTCCGCTTGTACCTTACTGTCCTCATATTACTATTTATATGTTTATAACTAAGAATTAGTTGACGCTGTAAGTTCAGCACTTATCTAAATCAGATAGTTCCCCACTACTAAGTCATATCGCTACCGCTTGAAACAAACTGATTCACCCAAATACAAGTCGTGTGGCGTATGTGGTAGTGGGTAGCACAAAGCCCCATATTTAGAAGACACGTAGCAGTCAGCTAATATCACGTCAATGAGGAAAAATAACCAAGATCGACGTTCTTGTCTAATTAGATCCAGCTCAGGAACACCTAAGCTTTACAAGCCGCAATTAACTACGCACGAAAGGTACTTTCTCATGGTTTGGCGTCACCGAGAACAAACGAGCGAACATAAAACATCAAAACATTTACGTCATATGTTAGAAAGCGTTTCCAGTTATTTATCATGCCAATTAAATCCTCATACTATAAGAGTTATTGATGGACGTGATTGAGCTTTTATTCTTCAGAATTTATGCAATTTTATCATCACACTGTTTTTACTATTCATTTTTAATTTTTTTAGAAAGGTCTTTTGTATTTTCGACTGGATGGATCATGGTCACGTTTAATAAATGGAAAGTTTATGTAGTCATGCTACTTTTACCTTGTTTGGTATCAATTATACGCTCAGTAATGTCCAGTACAGAGTTACAGAAAATTAGTGGAACCGCTTTTGGGGCGGGTCTGTATAATTTGCAAGACAAGTGCATACGTCGTAACCCGAATGAACATGAATGTTTGAGAATGATCTTGTTTTCGTTAATATCTGGAGCTTTGTATGGTGCAGGGTTGTATAGCGATGCACATGAAGCAAGTACTGTTCAAGAAATTTGAGTAATCAGACTTCGATTTCTTTGGGTGACAAAGAACTATCTCACCGCATTTGCTTAAATTACCTTTCGTGTATTCAAAAAAGCGATCTGTTTTTCGAAGCGCCGACAGAGAAAGTGTATGCCGAACCCGGCAGTATATAATTTATCAATTACAGTTCAGAGTATATGATGGTATCTGGTTACCTGGTTGAGAACGAGGGTCAATCAGCATCTTAAACAAAAGACATCAGTGTTCTCCACATTTTCGATACTGACAAAAAGTTTGTTCATGTTATTTCCATGGAGGAATCTTCATCCGATTCGAGTAAAAAAGATGACACATAATGATATATGCACCTCTTTTATAGTGTTAATAGCTAGCAATTTAACGAGGCAGGCTAATAAAGAAATATGTACATTTTTTTTATCTCATCATCATCCTGTCTTTTTTTGGAAATAAATCTTGGCAGATTGTCTTTATTAAAACATTACATTTAAACCGATACCATCAAACACCGATAAACTAAACTAAATATGGATATAATGCCCTTACTATTGGCACTGTTTCAATTAGCATCTATATTAATAGCGAGTGGGGTCAGCTTATCAGTGCAACGCAAGCCAACAAATGAATGGGGCGTGAGAACTGTGCGGTTGCTGCTTTTCGTAATCCATTTTCAAATTCTGTATCAGAGTTATTTATATGATCTAGCAAAAAAGTATGTGGGTTCCAAGACAACAGCGCCGAGAACAAATGACATTGGAGATTGTACTGTAGAGTCGTTTTTAAAGGGGAAATTATCCAACTTTTTGGCCACATTGGGGTTATCTAGTATATGTGATAACACTATATTCTATGATGTTACGAAAAATTCTGGAGTAAAAATACACATATTAAACGAAGGGACCTGTAGTAATGAGGCTACAAATGAAACAATCTTCGATGGAGTGCAGGATACTTTGTCCTGGTTAATAGATGCGAAGTGCCAAAGGTGTTGCGCGACTTTGGCACATGATGGGGGATGGAAAGCTACTATAAAGATGTCAGGTGATGATAGTCGAATGAATCCTAGTATAATAAATTGTAATAAGAGCGCTAAGTACAAGTGTAAGTGGAACGAAAACAGTCCACGAGTAAGTTGTGTTGCATGGAACGAATATAACAAGCTTTAAAGATACATTCCATATAAATGGTTTATATAGGTGTATAATACTCAAGAAACGCGATTATATGTCACATTCCTCACTTTAGCTGTCTAGTAGTGTTTCTTGTTTCATTTGTTTTTAATAAAATACATGTACGAAAATACAAATAAAAATAAAGCAATACTGCTGTATTTTTACCACAATCGTCGGCGGTGGTTGATCATCATAGAAACTAGACAATTTGTCGGATAGAACTGAAAATCTACGAGTAAATTCGGACGCATTGAATTCCAAGAACTTTTCAAAAGAGCATTGGACAGTTGGCATAGCTAATAATACCTTGCACAAAGTTAAGGGTCTTCAGACGGCACATATGACTAGGATCACGTTGAGAAGCAAGATATAGAAATTAACATCCGTTACGAATCAGGAACAAGGTTCAAGGTTTACAAGTCTTCTTTGAGGTTTTTTTTTTCAACCGCAATTAACTCTGAGTGCAAGGCTATCTCGGTGATTTAGCGTAAATTAAAGTAAACAGGGAAACGTGAATTATCAAGACATTTACAACATTAATCAAGAAACGTAGCAGCTAAATCGTGGCATTCATATCCTCACAATACATAAATTAGTAATGTGCCCACTTAGATTTTGTATCCTCTAAAAAGTTATGTCATCATCATCAAAGTATAAATGTTCAGAAAGATAAATTGGTTCCATAAGATTGGACCAATTTGCTGTACACTGAAGATGTACTTGAGTGTGTTAACAATTAATTATGTTCGATAGAGGAAATATTATCGTTCAGACCCCTGTTATAGAGTGATATTAATCGTAATCCTAGGGGTCCTTCTCACACCTGTAGTCCTTCCAATGATAGTATGTATCTGGCTTACGAAGAGATACAATAAATTCTGAGATATATCTATTATATTTTTTGGTTAAGAAATATGGTGTTTTCGAGTCAAACAGATGTCTGGCAAGAGCAGAAAGAACGAAAAGGGAATAAAAAAAGAAGCTATGACTGCGCTAATTTTCAGGAATACGTATTTACAACTCAAGATAGATAATGTTGTTTAGATTTAGATAACCCATGACATTGCGGGCATTAGTAAATATACACATTGATCAACATCTTGGAAAGCAACGTACATTCTATGAATAAGAACCACAATAAAAAAAACTACAAAGACCTAAATAGAGCCATACGTTGTAACAACTATAAATTTAAATTAGCATTGATAAAAAATTATAAAACTTCCTTTTCAGAATCCAGAAGATTTACACTTCTGTTAGAATGGGGTAGCTGATATAGCCGATTCTATATCCTCGATTCTATATCCTCGATTCTATATCCTCGATTCTATATCCTCGATTCTATATCCTCGATTCTATATCCTCGATTCTATATCCTCAGATTACAAGAAGGTATTGAACACACCAGTATATACCTCAATATTATCACTATCCCCGTTCTGCCTCGATCCAGTCCAAGTCATTGTGTTCAGGAGATACCTGACGTCATTATCACAGATATGATAACATAAATAGTCGGGGAACCCTGAACACAATGCAATGGGGCATATAAAGTTTCCCGATACTGAAAATTATGAAGACGGCTCTTGTACTCTAATATACGTAACGAATTAAGGAAGTTATTAAGAAGCCCGATCAACCAACTTCCAACGGGTACACATATTGATTACTATTATATACGACTGTATCTAATCAACACTATAAGCAATAGTTAGTCTCGATTGGAGCACTGTAAGTCCTCTTGGTTAACCCAATTCATAACTTCATCAATTTAACTTGTGGTAGTTGTATGGACAATATCTTATACAACATTCACAGGATTTCTATATATCTTGCAACTGTTCTCCTATTTTTACAAGCTTTACTCTCCATTTATACTAATCAATATGAAGCAATTTTTCATTGGACATATTCTATGCTGCTTACTGTTTGTATCAGCTACTACAATCACTGAACAAGAGTTTAATCAGCAAGCAGACCAAATATTGGATGTCCAAGAAACGTATGGGAATCCATCTTTACACATACCTAATACCTACCATAAGGGGTAATTCTCTCTTAATAACAGAGATTTATTGCAGAAAGAGCCAATATCGGTATGTGGATATGTAGGCGCTGCAGCTACTTGCTTAATAGCAGGAACAACAGTTGCAGACTTTATCTATAAAGTCAGTACCGATGCAATACTGAAATACAGCAATAGAAATAACTGTGGACCGATTTATGGACAAATGGGTTCTTTGTACTATATCTATAGAGCTGAAGGACCTTGTGCTACTACAGCAATATTACAAACAGTAGAAGGAGCTTTGGATAAGCATATTGAGAACAGTAATATGTGTCCGTCCCAATGTTTGAGATCGGACCATGCTGGAGACTGGGTGGGGTATTTGACCTTCGGTAGGAACGCGGCAGCAGTTAAAAAGTCCAAGTGTGACTCTTCCGGCACCTTTGCCTACTGTGACAGCGGTGGAAATAACAACTTACCTGACGGAACAGACAAAGACGATGGCCAGAAGAATTAGGGAGTATATAAGAAATATTTTATATGCATCTCCCTTCCTACTTTTCCTCTTAACTCCTTTGATCGTTTTTAACCACTTCAGATTTTATGTATTTTTATATATGATTGTTCATTTACTAAGTATTTACAACATGTGCCGCACTATGAGACAAGTTTATTGATTATATCAGAGTTTCTTTTAAACAAAGAAAACAATATATAAATTATATTAAGACGACAGATAAAAATCAGAATAACAGAAAACAAAACTACTTATCATTGGTGTCTGGGTATAAGTTTGTGTTTGTTTCCTATCTTAATTGATTTACCAGAGTTCTTTAATAGATTCCTTGTAAGAGTTCGATTCTCTAACCTGTGCTCCTGGTGGAGGCAAATAAAATTCAGGATCTGGGTAGATTCGTTTTTTGTCGTCGTTGAACTGTGACCATTGTTCTTGGAAGTGGTCGTAGTGTATACCTGTTTTGGTATCTTCGGCTTTGCTAAGTCTGTCGTCTTCTTGTTGCTTAAAGACTCGTGCTGCTTGTTTGGCTTGACCCGGTTGTATTAGAGTGCCTTTGACACGTGTGGGTGGGGCTTTGCATTTGGAGCTATGGTTGAATCCAAGGTATTCGTTTGGGAATTCTTCCTGTTTGTCGAAGCGGTCATATATGGTTTTGAAAGATGCTGGTGCCGGTGTGTCATCGGTATTAGCGTTGGGTGAGGTTTGCACGACCGATTCCTCAGTATGTGTGTCATGACGATAGTGGGGAATTGGCAATTTTATGTATGGTGGCTTGTAGTATAGATATAATTTGTATTTCTCGAGTAGTCTTTTCGAGAGAATTGTTGAATTGTAATGCGGACTATAATACGCTTCTGTTTCGATCCAGTTGATTGTACCGTTCTTATGTCCCAGGTTTAATTGCATTGTTCCTACGAGTGACGAGTTTGATTCACCGCTAAGTGTGCCAAAGCGTTCAGGCACATTGAGTTGTCTTATATTAGTAAGTAGATCCAATCTACAAGTGCATGTAACGTCTGAACCTTGATCGAAGAATGCGGTATCAGGAGAAAAACGTCCTGTCATTAATGTCCTATAGTTCGCAGGTGAAAGTTGTGGTTGAGAGCTTAGCTTTGTCTCTGGGGTGTTGATAGAGCGTTGTCTTTCGAATCTGTTAAGTTGTTTATTTTTCATGTGTTTACCTTTGAGTTCTGGATGTAGGTGCCCGCACTCATTGTCTGTGTGTGTTTGTGGTGATTTATGGCGTTTTTCTAGACAATATGAACAGAATTTGATATCAAGGCGACGTAGTAGATCTGTCGTTTGACTTTGATTCTTGGAGGTGTTTTGGTCATCATACTTATCCACGTGTTCTATCTGAGTGACTTGGTTGATTGATGCAGCTTTGGCTGGTGGATCAAGTTTGATTGTGTCATTGTAATCTTTAATGATTGCTTTTGTGAGTTCATCGTAGTTAAGATATTGGGATTTTTGGTAGAAATGGATTTTGGTAGAAATGGAGTTTTGATGATTTTAATTCAATAGGTATTGTTTGTAGTGCTCTATATTTCAAAGAATTTTCTCCAAAGATTGAGTCTAATTTCTGTAGTTTGGTGAACAGTTTCTTTAGGTTTGTATAGAATTTTTGTGCATTTTCTCCATATATTAATGTTCTACTGAGGAATTCTGTTTGCAGTTGTTCCAGGCTTTCTTCTGGTTCAAAGA